TTCCCGAATGTGTCAGGAGGACAGCAACCCGGGCTTCCCAGAATGCACTGTGCATGGCAGGCCTTCCACCAGCTCTCTGCAAAAACGGCTGGACCCAGTAATTCTTCCGTGCAAACAAAAACAGCTTCACCAGCAGCGACTAGGCACCGCAGGCCTGTGGTACAGAGCCAGCAGCAGGGGCCCCTCTGCACCCAGCCAGCTGCTGAGCGAGGCTGTCCCCGTGATTCCATTAGTATTGGCTTGCTATTTGTTAACTTGTTTGTTATTTATTAGCCTTCGGCTAGCAGGTGATCCAGCTAGGAACAAAGGTCAAAAAAATTTAGAGGGAGAAAAAAAATCCTTAAAAAATGAGACAGTGCCTGTACCTTGGAAACCATCCTCCTTTGCTTTTATTGGTGGGGCTCCACAGTCGGGCTCACACAAGGCTAAGATTCACAGGGCCCAAAGCAGAGTTGAAGACAAACAGCTCTCGAACTAGGGACTGCCTTTGGCTGTGAACTCGGTTCTTCCGCCCCAGCCCTCTCTCTTTCAGTTGTGGCGAAGGCTCCCGGTCCCCCTTCTGCTGATGATCCAGGGTTTCCAACTGGTGGCTCCGTCAATGACACAGTTTGGATGACTCTCCAAGTCACAGGCTGGGGGAGTCAGTACCCCCCGGGGGCAAACCAGGTACCTGCCTTCACTGGGCTTGTACTCTAGTCGGGGAGACAAATACCCCATATTTTTTTAAAAGACAATTATAACTTTTGAAAGAATTTGAGAAGGAAATAAACAGGATAAAGTGGAGGAGAGAAGCTGGCAGGAGAAAGTGGTGAGTCTAGTTCGGGGGTCGGGGGGAAGCCTGTCTGCGGAGGAGGCCTGGGGTGGGAAAGGCCATCTTTGGGTTGGGCCAAGGGAAGAGCCTTCTGGAAGGAGAGCACAATGGTTATAACTCGACATCGGGAGAGGAAGACCAGGGTGGCTGCAGCCCAGTGACCAAGGGGAGGGGACAAGATGAAGCTGGACAAGGTGAGTTGGGACCCAGATCCCCAAGGCCCTTGTAGGCCAAGGTGAGAGGTTGAGATGGTGTCCTTCTAACTACGTGCACCATCACCTCACGCCCCTCTTCCCCCAACACAAGGAGATAGGCCCCCAGGTTGTGGGGCTGAAAATGCAGAGGCAGGCAGTGGGCTGGGGAGGCGTGGAGCAATGCCGGGCGTTATTCGGGACCAGGCTGCGCACTAGCCCTGCGGTGAAGCCCAAGGCCTGTGTGTGCACTTTGTCCCTAACAGTCAAAGAAAAGTAGGACAAAGGCAAAGAAGAATAGACGGTCACTGAGATCTCCACCCTGAGTTTTGCAAAAGGTGTTCTGAGAGTTGGCTGAAAAGGAAGCTAAGTTTTCTATGAACATCACCTGATTCCCACACGAGAGGATGTGGTTCTTACCTGTGAGCTTCTAATGCACCAGAAATGGCTTCTAAACACGTGCACAGTAACTCAGAGCCAATCGCAGACAGATCGGTAGCAGATGTGAAGTGTCCCCCTTTGTCCCTCAGGCCTGCTTTTGGGAACCTCAGAAAGCCACTCTCTCTCCCTGGTTTCCCCTTGGGCTGGCTTTCCACTGGGCCAGGGCTTCGCTGTTAGCACCCCACCTCCCTATTGCTGCCAAGAGGACAACAGGTATCTGTCCTCACAGAAGCGCTGGGAACCTGGGAGTCACCTCCCAAAGTCCTCTGAGGCCTGGGTTTGGGCTGATAAAGTTACTTCACCTATTGGGACCCACCACAGGGAAACTGCCCCGGTGACCTAGGTTTGTGGCCATGTCAAAAACCTAAACCCGGGCCAGCCTGCATGCACGGGAACCCCCCACAGAAACTAACATGCAGCAAAACCACAGCACTTGTGCTCAGCTTTAGCTGGCTTCCCTGACCCTAGAAAATAGGTCCCCTGGCCTCAGAAGAAAACCCCCCACCTCTCAGCCAATCCTGTCCTGTTTCCCTGTTACTTCTTCTAATGCTTCCATGAAACTGACTTTAGCCCACAATCCTTCCGGAAGAGGCGCAGGGCTCCCCCAGTTCCCAGATTGTTTCCCCTTGAATAAAGGGGGGAGTAAATTGGCCACTAAACCGGTTTCATTGTGTCACGTGACAGGGCTGAGGCGGCGTGAGCCCCGGGGTACCAGCTCTGGAAAGGCTCAGTTGCTAATAAGAACAACACATTATCCATGGTCTGAAGACTAAGCTCCCCAAAACACTGTTGCATTTATTAATTCACTTCAAGGTGTGTCATTTGGAGGCTTATGGCAGGTGAGGGTCACTGAAGTCATTGCGGACTCCGACTCCCTGGTAGATTTCTAAAATAACTGCAGGGCAAACTGGGACAAATAAAGCAGAATGTTAGGGATACTAGACAGACTGCTCGAGAGAGCAAATGTCCCAGAAAAGCCACACGTGGGAAGTTAATACGTGATAAAAATGGCATTATAATTTAGTGGAAGAACACAGTTTTTTAAAAAAAATTATTATTGCTGGAGGAACTAGTAAACAGAAAATTTAACTATTTTAGGTCCTCATCTCACTTGATCCATGTCTCTAAATAAATTGCACGAGGGTCCAATGGAATGTCGTGAACAGACAAAAAAAATGTCTCAAAACTTTTATTTATGAGCGAGAAAGAATGCTCTGAGCTTACAAGCAAACTGAAACCACAAAGTAAAATCGTATGGATTTAGCTATTTAAAAATGCACATTTCTATACAACAAAACAACAAATAAAATTAAAAGTCAATGAGCGTAAAAAATACCTGCAACCAATATGTAATGACTACTCTACCTAATATACAAAATGTTCATGCAAACAGATAAAAAAGACATTTGCCCCATCGAAGCAGACAAGAGGTATGAAGAGATATTTCACAAAAGAGGAAGTGTAAAATTGCAGTTTAACTGTGAAAAAGTGTTTTTTCTTCTCCGTCCTCTCCACCAAATGCAGGGGGTTTCCCTCCACTTGGCAGTTCTCTGGATGTCCTACAGTTTAACTTAATTCCGACGCCACCCACCTGGAGAGAGCATCGGACCCCCGCCCATGAAGGGCTCGGTTCCACAAGAACCGCCCTCCACCTCAGATGCGAAACTCATGTCTGGGTGGTCACCTGTACTTCTGACTGACCAGCTGTAATTTGGAGGCTTCTAAGACCCCCTCCTTGGGTTTGTTAGTTTGTTGAGTGGCTCACAGAACTCCAGAAAACAGATTACTTACTAGATTACTGGTTTATTATAAAAGGATAAAAATCAGGACCAGCCCATAGGAGAGATGCTTAGGGCAAAGTACAGGGCGAAAGGGGAGCACAGCCTCTATGCCCTTTCTGGCTTCGCACCTTCCCAGAACCTCCTCCGCAGGTTCACCAGCCCAGAAGCTCTTGGAGCCTGTACTTCAGGGATTTTAATGAAAGTTTCATTACATAGGCAAGACTAATTACATCATTGCCCGTTGATGATTGGCTCAATCTCCAGCCATTCACCTCCCCAGAGGCTGGGGGTGGGGCTGAAAGTTCCAACCCTCTAATCACATGTGTGTTTTCCCTGGTAACTTGAGGGATTTTCCAGAACTCACTTTGTGGTTTAAAAAGGTGAGCTATAGATAAGTTAGACACCTTTATCTGCATTATCACTTGGGAAATTCCAAAGGTTTCTAGGAACCCAGTACCAGAAATGGAGACAAAGAACAAATACTTATTTATTAAAAGTCACTGTACCCCATTAACTAACATGAAAAAGCCTGTACCTTAGGCAATGTAATCAAAGCTATGCCAGAGAAAATAACCTATGAGCTTCATCAAAAGAGCAGACGATGAACGTGCAAATTCCTACAAACTTCCTGGAAAGCAATTTGGCAATCTGCATTAAAATCCTAAAAACGGTCACATCTTGTGGCCAAGTAAATGTTCTATTTGGAGGCAGCAATCAGAAATGCAGTCAATGATTAATATAGAAATGTTCATCACAGTATTACTTTGACAGAAAATGGAAAGCAACTTGAATGCCCCACGTCAGAATTAAATTAAGACACATCCGGATGATGAAACTCTATGTGGCTTTTGGAAAAACCAGGTCTCAGGAAACAGTCTGACACAATGTTAGCCTTGGTATTTCTGGATAATGGCATTATGAAAGTTGTTCTACTCTTTCTGCATTAAAAATATTTCCAGAATTAAATGTTAGATTTATGAAAAAGTGAAGTGATAAACATAAACAACCTTAGTAATTAGATCAAGCAGGGAGGAAGCTGGAAAGAATGCTGAGAAAGACGAAGACATGCAAACTGAAAGGAGAGTGACCCTGAACCCCTGAACTTTGGGAGGGTTGGGTACAAGGAGAACAAACGCATTAGCTGTCATGAGGGAAGAAAGAAAGAAGGGGGTCGCATAGATGCACGTTCTTTTCTTCCTTTTTCAAAGAAGCCTCTGACCTTACAGCTGAAGATGCAGCTAGGGAAACAGCCCACATTGGAAACAAAAAGCAAGAAACCTTTGGAGATATACAGCAGCAGAACTAATACCCCACCGTGAATCTCCACTGAGGTGTGAGAAGCAATAGAGTCGAATAACATGGGCGCTGGATATCTCTTAGACCCTCTGATATTCTTTCTGAGTCCAGAACACAGATCTGACAACCTCAATCCACAGTGTGTATTTTTAGGATCTACAGTGTTTCTGCAACTGCCTTTGAGTAACACTGCAGGTCGGTGATCTGCTTTTGCCTGTCCGCCAATTTCTGATGAACAATCCACCTCACAAGCCACAGGTGTTTTGCAGGCTTTGGGAAGCTGTGAGGCCGATGCTGAAGGGAGGGGGTGGGGGAGAGCAGAGAGTCCAGGGTAGATCCCACAGCAGGAGGAAGGTCACAGACGCTGATCACCAATAACCGTCCCGTGCCCACGGCTGGGGTGCAAAAGATCTCAGAAGAAAACAAACTCCTCTTAGGGAGTGGCTGGCATGGGTGCGAGAGTGCATGCAGGCTACTTACCAAAAAAAGAAGAGGCAGACCCACAGACGCACTTGTAAAAGGGAGGAGCAGGAGCTCAGGTTCGGTGGATTGTCCTTTCTTGCCGGCTTGCTACTGTCAGGCTCCAGAAACGTGTTGCTGGAGAGGCGAAAGGCAGCGCCTGGGCCACCCCAGGCTTGTGCAGGTCCACCGCATGTGCTTCACTCAGTAAACAGTTTTTTTAAAAACATTTGCTGAGGTCACAGTCAGATGATTTCACTTTCACTTTTTATTTTTCATACCCGAACGACTTCTGAGAAAGGAGGCTGATACCTCTGCCGTGTACCAGACTGTCCTTTGACCCTGAGAGGAGCCAGCCACCTGATTGCAAGACCCGGGCAGGGGTCTCGATTGTGTAAGTCCAGGAAAGAAGCTGGTTGGTCCAGAGGTTCTCAAACCTCCCAGTGATCTAAACTCTGAGTTACACACAACCTAGGATCATGTTCAGTAGTAACCTTCAAGTTTACCTGGTCCAAACTCCTGGACCCAGGTTGTCCCCTACTTTCCAGAAATCAGCTTTGGAGGATGTCTGAGCTTCCTCTGGACACAGCATTCTGGTTTGGGGGGTGGTGGTGGTGTAGACTCAGGCTGGAGCAGCTGGAACACCCCCCCTTTCAAAATAAGAGCAGAAAGAGGCTTTTATTTTTGTAATCATGGGGGCTCCTAGCCAAAGTTTAAAATTGTTTGCTTCACTCACTGACCAGTTGGAAATTCCGAATTGGGGTTAAGTTTGGTTAAGTCTGTAGACTGATATGGAGTATTGCTCAATCCTTCTGGCTTCCTCTCTCCCTGCAGATGAGTTCTTTAATCTGCTCATATTTTGCTCCGTTTGCAGATCTCTTAAACTCAAATCCTAGAAATAGGTAATGGGACCAAATAGAAAGGAATAGAAGTTTTGGCATCAGGGGGCTGTGCTAGAAATTAGCCAATTATTTAACCTCTGTGAGCATCAGTTTTTCCTCTGCAAAGTGAAAGCAAAACTTGCCTTGCATGCCTGCTGTGGGGATGAGAAGCGATGAGCCTGCTGAGTTTATGGTGGGAACCCAGTAACGGTAGCTGTTACTATTAAAAGCAAAATTCCCAAGCATTTAGTTCAGCCTCCATAATAATGGCGAAGACCACACGAACATTTTGGTACTAATATAAACTACTGACTCAGCAAACAGAATACTGATGAGTGAAGCAATGCAACACAGGGGAGATAGAAATATACATTTTAAAAATGTATTCAAAGTTATGACGCATATTAGTTTTTCAAGAGTCAAGTATTCTTCAGAATTAATTATGAAAAAGAACCATCTCACATTCTGCCTCCCTTCTTCTCCCAAGGCAAACACTTCTGCTTATTTTAACGGATGCTTTAGGTATTTACCTCAGTTCTTTAAACAACATGCTTATATTATTCAGAAGGGATTTTTCAGAAGTTCCAGGTATAATCTACTGACTCTCCATTGATTAGGAAGACAGCGTTTTTCTTCCTCACTCCATGTTCCACAAGAGTAGGTCCTATCTCCCTCCTCCTTCCACACTGATTATAATTTTATGTAAATCAAGACTCAGTGTCTACAATATGGTAACTATGTAAATACAGGAGCAGAGCCATGTAAAAAATTATGACTTCTTTTTTATGTCTTGCATAAAACTTTTTGTCTGCCTTGGAGATAATTTCCTTAATTTTTTTTTGTTTGTTTGGTTTTCCAATGTACTTACACTAACAAGTCTAACCCTCCAATCTTCATCAAAATTTCTTTTTTCCCCGAGAAACCTGTATGGACAGTTTCTGACCTCTGCCTGAGAAAGGCCACTCCAGCCTGGGCCGAGGGCCACCTGACACACGACAGTCCTCCTGGAACCCCACTTCACTGCCACTGTTCTGGGGTCCCTTCACCTCTCTCCTACGTGGGATCGCCTATTTCCAGCATCGAAGGCTTTTATTTATTCTCCCCCCCCCCACCTTTAAACATGATGTATCAAAGGTAGACAGGGTATAGAATTTCAGGTTAAAAATAATTTGCCTTCATGCTTTTGAAAGCCTTGCTCCATCCCATCTACCTCCCATGTTACTGTCGAGAAACTGAAAGCCATTTTGCTTTACTGCTTCCAAAATGGTTTCCTCTCTGATTTTCATCCTTGTACCCCTGTCTTAAAAAATAAAAATGATAGTCATTTCCGTGGGTTTTGGAGAGGGAGCCAAATTAAATGTGTGTTTAGTTTGCCATTTTTAACTGGAAATTTAAAAAAGTGTAAACCCTAGGTGGGTTATTTCTGTCTTTTTTTACTGGTTCCCTCTGGCGCCAAAGCTGGCTTCTGGTCTAAACAAACCACTGGCCTCCCCGTAGCTGCTTACCACCAAAATCTCCATTGCTTCTGACAACACCCTTAGCTTGAAAACCCTCCACACTCGGTTCCAAACAGATCCCCCAAACAGGTCCGTTCTCCTGGGGAGGACTTCAGAGCTCTGTTTTCAGGGTATGCTCGCCTCCTGAGGCAAAACTTCTGAGTCTCTGCAGTGCAGCTGAGGGTGGAGAAAGCGACTCATTTCTCTGGAGTGAGGGACGCCTCTGCTTGTGGAGCGTGGAGCCGAGTGGCCAGTAGCCTCTGGTCTTTTCGGCTTGCCTCTCCCTGCGTGGAACCTCCACGCTCCCAATAAACTTGGGCAAACACCGGGGCTGAAGTTTTTCTTGGCCTGATGATTCTGGGAAGAGCCTTTGTCCTCTGACTGGGTAGAGGAAGGAACCCTGAGTTCTTGGCCCTACTCAGTTGGAATTTAGCCTCTGTGACCTGGAGGCAGGGACCCGAGGAATGCCCCCGTGGGCAGATACCACAGCCCTTGACCGGGGGAAGGGCAGTGGGACCCCTGTCTTCTCAGCCACACGCTCTAGACTCACTGCTTTTACTGAGATTTAGTAGATTTTCATCAATGATTGTTTCTTCACATGTTGTATATCCTTAGGACCATTTCCAGGGATTTTCCTCTTCTTTTTTTTCAGTAGTTGTGGGAATAGGGAGAGAGCACCCACCTACTGGCCAAGGTCTCTGAACATTTCCTGTTTCTTACAGGGAAAAGTTTTAATTGCATAAACGGACCTTTACATAGCAAAGAATATCATGAATAAATCTAAAGTGTCAAACTTCAGAAAATTACAGAGTGAGAAACAAGTGGCTGTAAATTTCACCCCTTAAGTTAATCTATGAATTTTGAATTTACCGATAGGTTCAGCTGCGGGTCTCTTCAGTGTGGTCGTTTAGGTTTTTTGTTTTCTTAAAACTAGCAAAACCAATAGAAGTTTACCGAGGTAAATATTAAGTTACTTTTACGGATTTCTAAAGATTGATACATTGAAAGAGATTTTGTCTTCGATATCTCCATCTGGTTTTGTAGAATGTCAATGGTGGTTTAAAATAAACGTAAAAACAACACTCTCCTCGTCCATCAGGATGCCCGAGGAAATGGAAATAATGTATCACAATTAGATCAAAACCCTCTATGTTTAAAATCGCTCTTAGGGATTACAATTCTATCAGAACTCAGAGAGAACAAACAAAGAATACAATTGAGTAATGGCAGTTAAACTAAACGGAAGTACATCTAGATTATTTTTAAAGAGAGAAAAAGCAGATGTCTCACAGTGGGTGTGGATGTGAGGGTTTTCCGTTGGAAATCTGAACTGAACCTGCCAGGGCCCCTGTGACCCTGGGTCTCGGTGGCCTCGCGAGAGAACGCTCCTCCTTGCTTTGGGCGGGAGGTTTGCCACCATCCACCTGCTTCTTTCTGCAGAGGGCAGGTCAGTTTACTGCCTGCAGCAGCGTTTTGGCCAGAGAGGTTAGGGGCCCCTTCACCCTCTGCAGCCTGTCCCAGGCACGTGCATTGCTTTTCCAGCATCTTTCCCCCCTGGTCCTTCAGTTCCCACACTCATGCTGTTCCCCCTCTCCTTGGGGAAGCAGCTGTAGGCTTTCCCGGAGATGAGTGTTTTTATCCAAACCATCCGTTAGTATTTCCCTCTAAAGTTGTTCTGGATTTTTTTTTCCCCCTGAGATGTGTTTCGCTTTAGTTAGGATCAGAAAGATTTTGATCCACCTTTGACTGATGTCTGCCCTTGAAGGAGAGATCTTACTGAAACCGGAAAAGACTGGCATTCACACTGCCTGTCCCATACCAAACCCAGTAAGCAGAGACAGGGATTGAATCTTCATGAGTGATTTATTGAGATGGCCAGCGAACTGAGAAGCTGGTGAGTTCATACCCTAGCAGACCATCTTAAATTCCATTTCAAACAGCTCCTTTTTATAAGGAGAAAGTATAGGTAAGGGGCTTGGAATTCAGGGAATAGTTAATTGGATTAAGAAACTGTTGGATTTTTTAATCCAATAGTTAATTGGATTAAAAAACTTCTAGCCCTGGGTAGTGGTCTTTAGCTGTGTCCTGGGCAGTGGGTATCTCACTCTGGAGCACAATGGCCCAGATTCCATCTCGATGGCCTGCAGGCCTCCTGGGGCACAAAGGTGGACCTGCTTGTGGTTTCCTGGAGTCAGGCAGGGTCACCCCTTCAGTTCCTGGAACAGTAGCTTTTACATGCATTATTATGCTTATTAGCTACTACTTAAACTAAAATTTTCTAGCTCTTGAGTCCTCTATCATTACGGCCTCTACAACTGGTGAGTTGAGGGCGTCATGAAATAATGATACTCTTCAACCAGGGCAGAAAAGCCTTTGGCTAACTCTTTCTTCCTCCTTAGAGTACGCTGGCTTCTTTTTAAAAAAAAAAAAAATCATAGCAGCGGGAATAGAAGGGAGACCCAAAAGGCTTTGTCTCCAGGAGTCAGGTAACATCACCAGCACAGCTGGGGAGCTAGCTGGACTGATGCTTCTGCAGCAGCTGGAGGCCCTCCGCGGGCCCCGTCAGTGTCCAGGAACCAGACCACAGCTACCTGCTTGGAACCCCACAGACCGCTGTGCTTCTAAAACACGCAGGTGCCCGGCAGCCCAGCCAGATGATCCGTGGGGCAGGGCAAGCAAGGCCTGGTGAATCCAACATTCCGCTGACAGCTCTTGCTTGCACACACAGGGAGTGACACTGTTTGTGCACTGGGGGTAGCACGAAAGGCTGCTTGCAGACCGAGGGGGCTAGCCCGGGAGCTCTGGCTCCTCGAGGCCCCACCTGACACTGCAGCCAACATCTTCTGCAGGCGAGCATGTGAGGGCAATAAGGGTGAGACATGATGCATTGGAGGACTCCCAGGCCCAGGTCCCTGAGGGAGGCCCCTTCCTCTGGCCTGAAGTTTCCTTCTGTAGCATTGAAATCCGACCCTGATTGCAAAGGTTGCAGGGAACTCCCTTCCCTGTGGGCTCGCTCTAGAGGTCAGTGCAAAGGAACAGAGTCAGAGACGTGGAGGGCGTGACCAAAGGTATTAATGACTCCACTGAGCAAAATGTCTTGAGCCTTGTCAAAGTTCATAGGTCATTCCAAGAGTTCTCAGATGGCGTGACTCAGGGACCCAGGCTTCTGTGGCCAGGCATCTTCAGAAGAGTGCTTCTCTCCGAGAACGGACAGTATTATTCCACCAGGTGGATTTGCTATCTGCTTTTTCTCTAAACAAAACCTCACACTTTTAGGATCGCTCTAGGGGGCCGAGGCCCAGGCCCACAGCCTCGGTTGTCTCTCACCCAGAACTTGCCATGAACAGTTCTCTCCAAGGGCCTTTAGAACAAAGGATGAAATAGTCAGCCCAGGCTGGCCTTGGAATCTAGGGGGGCACCACGGCTTGTTCGGGTGAGCGGTCTGCCAATGACCGTGGAGACTTAGAGGCTCTTACCAGACTTGGTGGTGAGGGGTGAAGATGACCAAACTCTGAATAAAATGACCATTGCTTGCTTATAATTTATTTCAAAGAGAAATCACAAATTAGCAGTTGATAACACGTTTCTGAAAGTATTCAGCTCTGATAAAGAAGAGTTTTGTTTTGGGGGGACAATGACTTAAAAAGCAAATCCCTTTTATATGCAGAAAGGGCGCTCACCCTTCTGGGGTAAAAATGAAGCACAATTTTTTTGGGTGGTGGTGGGCAGGTCATTCCTATCTTAAAGCCTAAGAGAACAATTTACTGTGCCAGGGTCAAAGCCCCAGAGTCAGCGTCTGCCCTTTGTTTCATCTCCCCACGGCCCCTGCCTCACTCAGAAGCGTCAGTGCTGCGGCGCAATCAGGGCCCCGGCGCGCATCACGCTGCCAAGTGCTGGGAGCCAAAGGGGGGGCAGATCTGGTCGGGCCTGCGCAGAGGACGTGCGTAGCAGACAGTCCTTCTTTCACAGTGGCCTTGATTCTTTGTCTTTTTCTTCCTTTTCTTAAAATATTTTTTAAATACTCAACTGAAGACATTTTTTTTCATTCCTTCCAGAGAGAGAGGAAGGGAGAGAAACACAGATGCGAGAGAGAAGCGTCGATGGGTCGCCTCCCAGACCGGAGCTGGCAGCCACAGCCTCGCGTGCGCCCTGACTGGGAAGGAAAACCACAGCCCTTCACTGCGGGACGACTCGCCAACTGAGCCTCGCCGGCCAGGGCTGTCGTTTTCTTTTGCTGCACAGAGAAGCCCAGGTTGCCAAGACCCTATTATCCTAATTACTACAGCTTTATAGTAAGTCTTCTAGTCAGATAACAACAGTCCTCTGACTCTGTTCTTCCCTTTCCAATTGTATTGGGTAGTCTGAACCTTTTGCCTTTCTGTATAAGTTTAGAATCAAGTTTGTCAATAACAACTGGCTAGGATTTCGATCGGGATTTCACTGCATCTATAGATCAAATTGGGAAGGACCAGCCTCTTGACAATATTGAATCTTCCAATGGATGTACGTGAATCTCTTTCCATTTATTTAGATTTTTTATTTCTTTTATTAGAGTTTTGTGGTATTCCTCAAATAGATCTTGAACGTGTTCGGTTTATATCCAGGTCTTTTTCTTTTTTTTTTTTTTTGGCGCTAAGGTAAATGGTATTGTTTTTTTATTTCAAATTCCTGTGTTCATTGCTGGTATCTAAGACTGATTCACTTTTGTATGTTAATTTTGTATCTTGCAACCTTGCTATAATTGCTTATTATTTCCTGTGGGGTTTTGTTTTGTTTATCTGGGATTTTCTACATAGACAATCTCGTTCCCCGTGCACAAACATAGTTTTACTTGTGCATACCGGTTACTTCCTTGTCTTACTGAATTATCTAGGCCTCCACTCCGGTGTTGAACAGGAACGGGAGGACAGACATCTGTGCTGGTTTCTGATCTTAGCAGGAAAGCACCTACTTTCCCATCATTAAAATGTTAGCTGTAGGTTTGGGGGTAGATGTTCTTGATGAAGCTGAGGAAGTTTCCCTCCATTCCAAATTTGCTGGGAGTTTTTAATCGTGAATGTGTGTGTGGAATTTTGCCAAGTTCTTTTTCTGCATCTATTGATACGATCACATAACATGGTTTTCCTATCTGTTGATGCGATGGATTGATATTTAGATATCGAACCAGCCTTGCATACCTAGAATAAAGGCTACTTGACCGTGGTGTATTATTTTTAGATGTTACTGGATTCCATTTTTCTGATATTTTGTTGAGAATTTTTGCATGTATGATTATGAGAGATATTGGTCTGTAATGTTCCTTTTTTGTAGTATCTTTGTCTGGTTTTAATATTAAGGCAATCTTGGCCTCATGGAGTATGTTAGGAAGTATTCCCTCTCTTTCTATCTTTTAGAAGAGATTGTAGAGAAATGGTTTAAATTTTTGTCATAAATTTTTGGCAGAATTTACCAGTGCACCCATCTGGGCCTGGTGTTGCTCTTCCAGCAGGTTTTTATTTATTAATTAAATTTCTTTAATTGTTATAAGGTCTATTAAGACCGTCTATTCCTGTATGAATGTTGGCAGATTTTGTCTTTCAGGGAGTTGATCCATTTCATCTGTTATCAAATTTGTGGGCAAAGAGCTGTTCATAGTATTCCCTTATTATGCTTTCAATGTCTATGTGATCAGTTTTGGTGGCCCTGCTTTCATTTCTGATTGGTCATTTGTTTCTTCTTCTTTTTCTTAACATTGGTAGATTATACATTTAATTGACAATGCAATACTATTTACCACTAAAAATGAGCTATCAAGCCATAAAAAAAAGATAGAATTTATATACATATCACTGAGTGAAGGAAGCCAATCTGAAAAGGCCTGCAAACTATATGATTCCAACTGTGTGATATTCTGGAAAAGGCAAATTGTGGAGACAGTAAAAAGATCAGTGGTTGTCCGGGGTTAGAAGGCAGAGCATAGAGAAGTTTTAGGGCAGTGGACTACTCTGTATGATACAGTACTGATGGATATGCTTCCTTATACATTTGTCCAAGCCCATGGACTGTACAACACCAAGAGTGAAACCTAATGGAAACAGGGAGCTCAGGGCATAAGGATGCACGGTATCAACGGGGGTTCGGCAGTTGTAACACATGTAGCATTCTGGTGGGCTGTGGTTACGGGGGCCAGGGAGGATACGGGAAATCTCCGTGCCTCCTGCTCAATATTGCTATGACCCTAAAACTTCTCTACAAAATGCGGTCTATTCAAAACCAAAACCAAAACATCATACTTACTCTTTAATATCCCAACGAGCTCTCCGTGAATTCTCTTTGGCTGCTGAAAATATCACTGAGCCTAGGCTGCCCAACCTCAGCCTGTCAGGTTCCATCTGGCTGTAGTGACCTAACGAGGCTTGCGGCCTGTGCCTGCAAGGTCCCTCTCCTACCCGATCCGCAGGCTTCTTACCTTCATCCTGTGATGGGCACCTTCACTGACAGCGACTGCAGGCCGGGTCGGTTCTCACCCACCCCCTGCCCTCGTCCCCCACTCCACTGGCTGACACAACCGTTTCTCAGCAGTGTGTCTCCTGGATGACAAACCACCAGGGGCTCCACTTGCTCCTCATGAAGCCGAAGCTGCACATTCAGTGGCTCTAAAGGACACTGCCCATCTCGTCTTTTACATTTCTGCTAAATTTTCAGAAGTGAAATGACTATTGCAAACCATAACCTATAAACCTACATAGTTCAGAGCCATTTTGTGCCAAACTTTTGCTCTGTGTTATTAGCATTTTTCAATATATAGTATTTTTCAAATTGTTTGAATCTCAGCACTTTACTGTGCATTATCTATCTTATTCTGTAATTATTTTAGTCATGCATGTTTTGTATGTACAATTATACAGTAATCTTCTGGTGGGGAGAAATGTCTTCTCCCCCCGCTTTTTAAAAAATCACCAGTGTTTTCTATCACACTACAGATAAAACAGAAGTTCAGGAAGTGTTTGTCGACTGATTCATTCAAGTGCCTAGTAGGGACATTAAAGTCGGTGAGAGACAGGACAGGTCATTCCCTCCTGAGTTCCTGGTTCTTCGGTGTTGGATGCATAGGTCATTTTGGGTGAAATAAAAGGTTCAGAGAATTTTTTCCCACCCTGAGAAAAATGAAATATAAATACTTGAGAAGATTTTAAAATCCTCTGTGTTCTCCCCAGATCTCTGAGTCTGTCTCCGAAAGATGCCCCACTAAAGAAGATGGGTGTCTAGACTCTGTAGTCTGACCTGGGCTCGTGCACGTGTGTGGGGGGGAACAGTGCTAGAGGTGGGCAGAGGGCTTTTCTTTCTCTTTAATATGTAAGCACGTGTGATCTTTCATCCCAAGTTTTCAGAGCAGCGTGAAGCTACATTCTTTCTGCCTCTGGAACTCCAAATGGAAGGTGGGTTGTCCATCATTCGTATCTGGCTGCTCACCCTTATTTTCAGCGGGATGGGAGAGCTACTACACAGGGCTTTGCTGGTTGGATTCCTTAGCTTGAAGACTCTTGCCTTTGATAATATTCCCATCTTTTTCGAAACTCGAGGATGTGGTTTCCCATTTGCTGTTGACAGGTGTCATGTCTTTGGTCCTTATGCCCTTGAAGTGAGAACATGTTTTCTCCTGCCTTTTGGAAGTTGACAAACTTGCGAATGACCTCTGGGACACAGGCTGGAGCCATTGTGCAGAGCTGACCATAAGGTTCCCGTGGCTCATAAAAGGGGAGTGTCTGGGTGGTACCCAAGGTGCGCTGTATCTCTTTATGTTCATACAAGTAGCTGGGTTTCTAGGGAAGAAAGACAATGTATGAGTTTTTGCCCAATATGTACCCTTGGCATCTGGGATGGTATCAGTCTATTTTCTTTCTCCTGCGCGGAGGGAGGTCATCTTCCCTTAAGCTGTTTTACCGCCATTGCTATGAGAATGTTCTAAGTCCTCATCTAGGTGATGGCTTTTCAGTGCAACTCCAGTTCTGCGTTTCTCAACACCCAGAGGGTGTGTTTGCTTGGGCACCTGCTCTGCCCCAGGCTGAGACTGTCCCGATGGAACAGTCACTCTGAGCCTCAGCTCCTTACATCACCTAGTGGACGTGACTGTTCTCTGGAATTTCACAAATCCACTTTATTCTATTAGAATGGACTCATCATACGTACTCTGAGATTTTTTTCTACAGTCATTAAAAAGATCAATGTAAGTCCAAGAAAGGGAAGTTTTCCTTCAGAGAAGGAGGTTTTGTAAATTATAAATTGCGCGCCACCTAAAGTGTCTCCGTTTTCTTTAGAATTTATTTTTTTCTCCCCCAAATCTCGACTATATTTTCAATCAAAACTGTAATTTTTAAATAACTGTAGACTCATGCACAGTTGGAAGAAATAATAGAGAGGTCCCACGCAGCCTTTGCCCTGGTTCCCCCAGAAGGAATACCTTGCAAAGCAATAGTACAACAATATAATCAGGATATCGCTCCCGGTTGTCAAGGTACAGACGGTTCCCTTCTATTTTCCTTTTATAGACATACCTACCTTCTTCCTAGCCCATCCCCTCCTTACCTCCTGGCAATCATTAATCTGTTGTCTGAGTTACGTAATTTTGTTATCTCAAGAATGTTATATACACAGAATCATACTGTACGTGACGTTTGGGATTGGCTTTCTCGCCTGGCACAGTTCTCTGGTCACGGATCCAGACTGTTCTGTGTATCAGTGGTCCATTCCTGATGACCACTGAGCAGCAAATAGTCTGTGACCTGGTGCACTACACTGTTTCATGACTCAGCCACTGAAGGACCTGTGGTTGCTTTCCAATTCATGGCTGTTACAAATAAACCTGCTGTGAATATTTGTGTACAGGTTTTTGTGTGACTGTAAGTTCTTCATTTTTCTGGGACTAACGCCCAGGACAGCAATGTCTGGGGCATAGGGTAGTTATATATGCAGTTTTAAAGGAAGTTGTGAAACTGTTTTCCAGAGTGACTGAGCCATTTGACATTCCCACCAGCAATGTATAAGAGGCCCAATTTCTTTGCATCCTCATCAGCATTCAGTGCTATCACTATTTTTTATTTTAGCTCTTCTGATAGCATGTAGCTAACTCATTGTGGTTTTAGTCTGCATTTTCCTACTGGTCAAGGGTGTGGAATGGAATGTATTTTTTTTGTGGTTATGTGCCACCTTACATTGTGTTTGGTGACATGTATGTATATCTCTTAGTTTCTGAATGAAATGTTTGCTTTCTTACTGTTACATTTTGAGACCTCTTTAATCTAGATACTAGTCTCTTGTTTACATGGTTTACAAATATTTTCTCCTATAAAATAGGAGAAAATATTTTTATCCTCTTAACCAGATCTTCTGAAGGGCAAACACTGTTATTTTGATGTAGTCTAATTTATCAATTTTTTTTTATGGATTATGCTTTTGGTGTAAAGTATAACTTTTTGCCCAATTCTAGATTATGAAGAGTTCCTATTTTTCTAAAAGTTTTATAGATTTCTGTTGTGTGGTTAAGTCCGTGATCCATTTTGAATTATTATTATTTTTTGTGTGAGAAATTAGTTTAGGTCAAGTTTTATTTTTTTGGACTTTGGATGTCTAATTACTCCAGCAACACTGATTGAGAATTCTCTCTCCTACATCGAACCACTTTTGTCAAAATTAGTCAAGCATATTTGTATGGGTCTATTTCTGGGTTTTGTTTAGTTCCATTGATAAAGATGTCCATTCCCCTCCGATACTACACTCTTGATTACAGTAGCTACATAAAAGGTGTTGAAATCAGATAGACTGATTCTACTTTATCTTGCTTATTCAAATTGTTTCTTTTTTCCTCTAGTTTGTAAAAACAATACTGAAATGAACATCACTACAGAAATCATTTAGCTCTTTCCTAGGCTTTTTACCCCTTAGGATCAATTTCTAACGGTATAATTTCTTTTCAGAATGAATGAAGATATTAAGGATTTTTCATTTATATTGTTGGGTCATCTCCCAGAAACTCTGTACCAGTTTACATTCCAATAATTAGTGAATGAATTCTTTCACTGAGAAGCAAAAATGAAGAGCATTTCATTATTTGCTTTTGATGTGCACTCTTTGGATTTAAGTGAGATTGAACATTTTAAAATGTTTATTGGCCATCGTTTTTGTAACCCTCTGTGAATTTCTGGTTCACAGCTTTTGCTCATTTTCCTACTGAAATACTTTGGAATTGATTTGTAAGTTATCTTTCAATATTACTCTGCATTTTGCTATGTAAAATGTATTCCCATGTATAATGTGCCCCCATGTTTTTGGCCCAAACTTTCAGGAAAAAAAACCTTTTCATTTTAATTCTGTTATTTATTTACATTTAGATACTTATTTTTTTATATTGTAAAAAAATTTTAGCATTTATTTTTGAACATACGGTACAAGAAATTTTATGTGACAAATAATTGCAAAACACAAGAACTGATACAAGGTTTTTCAGGTACTGCCTGAATAGTTCGTATCCTTATTTTTCCCTCAAAAATTTGGGCAAAACAGTGTGCATTATACACGGCAAAATACAGTAAGTACATTGGTCCCGTTTTTCATTTGTATGAAAAGGGGAAATGTGAGCGCCTGGCGATGAGCGACTCTGGAGTCAGAATGTCCAGTAGGGGTTGAACCAATTCTGCTACCTACCGGCAGCGTGACCTCGGACAATTCCTAAACTCCTTTGTACCTCCAATTCCTCACGTGTGGACTGTAAACTGTGTGTACATGTGTAAACACAAGGCTGGGTCTAGTACATAGAAAGCAGTTTTTCAAAATCTGTTGATAATACTAATGTTATATTTATTATTTTCTGCTTGTCATTGTGTTACTTTTATTTGCATAGATTTCCTTTTAGCTTAGTGTTGGTTCTATTTTCTTTTTTATCTTTAAAAGAAATCTGGTCTCATCCTTTCTGTCTTCCTCCAAGGATCAACAAGCTGAAGTAAGTCAAGTTAACTACTTCTAAGTTTGGCGGCCTCCTAGGACTATAAAGTTTAAGCACACCTGAGAAATTTCAAGTCAGGCTATGGTCGTGCTTTATTAATGCGTACTTTAATCATAGACTCAAATTAATGAGTGGTTTCATGCAGATAAACATTCAAATAAGACCCGATAACTCTTTCGTTCCCATATCTAGTATTTTCTTATGGCTTTGGGCCTATGTCCCTTTGTCCAACATGATGTAGCTGCCACCATTTTTAAGAGCTTATGTTGGTTTCCTAGGCTAATGACTCAATTAGCTCTGCTTCCTTTAAAAAGAATGTCTTAAGTGGTTAAGAATGACAAAATCGCATTGACTTACTGATGTTGGTTTTGGAAGCAGGTTCTTGGGTTGAGCATCTGTTTTATCTGAGTGGTCTGCACATTTTTAGTGCTTTTTATGATAGGGATCAAATACTGCAATAATTCTTCCGTTTGAGTTATTCTTTTATTCCTGTACATTCTTTTTTCATCATCTGTCCAATTTATGCCAGTCTTCTTGCTTTGGAAAGAGGCAGATTTTTTCATTTTGCTTTTTATGTTGTGATGCAGATCTGGAGAGCAACCACAAAAATACGTACAGATGTAGAGACTGAATTGCTCCAACAATTATTTATTGAGCCTTACATGCCAAGGATCCTATCTAAATAAAAATTCTTACCCGTCTGAAGCTTACTCTTTAATTACAGGGGCAGAAAATAAGCAAATAAACAAGTAAAATATGTTAGATAATGATAAAGTTTATGGGCTAAAATAAATCGGGGAAGGGGATAGAGAATTCTTGGGCAAAGGTTGATTTCTGTTTTTAAAAAGGTGTTCATGGAAGGCCCCCGTGACGCTAATGCATCGAAGGAGTTAGGGAGGGAGGCAGGCATCTTCCACAGGAAAGAGCATTCTCGGCAAGGGGAGCAGTGAGTGCGAAGGCCCTGAGCCAGGAGCATGGGAGTGTGTTCAGGGAGGACTAAGACGGCACAATGGCTAAAGGAGAATGAACTAAAGGGAAAGAGACTAGAGCTCAGATAGGTAGAGTGAGGGCTCAGTTTCCATGAGGGCTCAGAGGCCACTGAATGTGAAACAGGGATAAGTGCAGGGCTTTGGCAGAGGAGTGTCACATCTCAGCTCTGTTTGAACAGGATCATGCTGGTTGCTGAGTTAAGAATAGACTAAACAGGGGCAAGTCTGGACAAGCAGGAAGGTTACTGAAATAATACCCCTTTCTCTTGGAAGGTTAGTGAGATAATGCAGGAGAGAGGGATACAGCTGGGCCCAGGGTGGTGGCCATGGCCAGAGAGTTTTACGTCAAAGTCATTTGAATTTGGTAAAAACAAACCCCACTCTTGCAGGAGGCCTTCCATTAGCCAGGCCTGTGGTTCCAGGCGTCACTGCTCTGCCTTTGGATCATTTCACCCACGTAGGTTGTTTTTGTTAGCCACCTGAAACCGTTTCTACAAGTGCAACTGGTGGATTCCAAACATTGATCAACCACACCAGCAAAAAGAAATCAAATTATTGAAGCGAAGTGATGGGTTTCAGAGGGAGTTTCTTACACTATTCTCACTCTTGAAATTTTTTTAAAACGAAGTTCAAAAGTGCATTCCCTCAACCATCAGTGGCCATCCAGACTCCAGGGCCATCAGTTTCCTCGGGGACATACTGTATTTTGCTGTGGATAATGTGCTTCTGTGTACAATGAGCACCCATGTCTTTGGCCCTAACTTTTGGGGAAAAAATCTTTTGTTTTAATTTTTTTATTCAATTTTTTATTTACTTATATTTAGAAACAAAACTGATTATCATATTCCAGGTTATTATTTTTGCATATGGGTATAATTATTGCTTTCTGGAGTTATACTTTTAATGCATAAGCATAAATCAAAGAATCAAAGTTATATAGACCAGAATTAGTACTACCCATGTATCATGCTCATCCTTCTTTTCCCCTCAAAAATCTGGGCAAAAAATTGTGCATTATACACAGCAAAATACAGTCATTCTAATTAGTACCCTCTTTCTCACATCTATCAAAATACAGTCAATATTCACAACCATCACGGCCTGCCTTACCTGGATACTTCTCACCTGCTACAGTCTGGCTTCTACTCTCACCGCACCAGTGAAATTGGTATTTCCCAAGCCAACTGGCCTGTTGTACTTGATTTCTCTGCTGTTGCTTATTCCCAGAGCCTTGAAAGACTCCCCCCTTGATTCACTGAGCATTTCAAGTGTCCGGGGCGCCGCTCTTGCCCTGTTTTACTCCTGTTTCTCTGGCCATTTGTTCGGTGTCCAACACAGGCTTCTCTTCCTCCGCCTAACTTTTAAGTGGGCTGTTCCCCAGGATTCCATCCCGTGGTCTCGCCTTTTCTCACCACGTGATTTATTCTGAGCACTCACAGCTGTACCCGTAGCCTCCACAAGCCACGGATGATCCAAATATCTGTTCCTCTTCAGTCTAAGGGTGGCTCTGAGTCCCTACTCATCTGCCTGCTGGGTGTCTCCGTTTGCATTTCCCCACAGACACTGCTAATTCAGCTTGCCCACCGCAGCCCCTCTCCTCCTGCATTCCACGCCTCAGTCAGCAACACTGCCGTCACCCAGCTAAGACAGGACCCAAGTCAACCTAATCTCCTGCACCTCTGTTTTTGGAAGCTCTATTCATTCTACTTCCAAAGAGTCTCTTGAATCTGCTTCTCTTCAGTGTCCTCCAGCTCCTTTTGTTCAGACTCTCTTTCTGCCTCCCTTGGACTTCTGCATTAGCTTTCTCACTTGTCTCCCTGCCCCCAGTCTCACTGTTCTTCAGCCCGTCAGCTGCTGTCCCCTCAGTCTTTGCCGTCTCAGCGGATGGAGGGCTCAAGCCAGCTAGTTGCTCTGGCCCCAAACCCTGAGTTTTACCAGTGCAGACACCTGGGAAACAATCATCAGTCAAGATCTAGGAGCGATCACCCCTAAAAGGACTCCCTGTGCGCCTTCCCAGTTCGTTCTTCCTTCATCCCCTAGTTTAACCCCTCCTACTCCGGGAAACCTCATCTGTTTTTGTCTCTATAGATTAGCTCTCATTTTTATTGCATAAAAATGAGATTTCATATAACGTCTACTTTTCTGTGTCTGGCTTCTTTTACTTAGCACAGTGCTTCTGAGATTCCTCCATTGCTGTAGCAGCAGTTCTTTGATTTTTTATTGTATGGTACTGGGAGGCATCATTAACAAGGAGATACTGAGAATAAGGCAATTAAATAGATTTTTTTCAAGGCTATAGTAAACTGAAATAATTTTCCTCTATATTCAACTCATACAGAGATTGAATAAGGCAAGTATTTTTTCAAAGTTGGGAATAAAATGGCTATTAATCATCCCTGTTTACAAAAGCTGTTCCCCAAAATCCTGATTTCATAAGATTTATTAATGATGATACAGTGAAAGCCACCTTTGTATTTATTAAAATTCTAAAAAAAAAAACCCACCTTCTGTGGGTATCCTTGTCTTCTCGGTCCAACTGGAAATTTGTTTGCTCGTAGCAGGCTTTAGGGATGTCACTCGGAGGCAGTTTTCATACCAATCTATGTTCTTGGGCTGAATGATCTCCTGGATTGGCCTCTTACGGGCTTCTAAGATATGTCTCAGTTGGTCTTTGCTAAGCCTCTGAATCGTGCTTCGGGAGCTGAAAAAAAATTGGGTGCTCTGATTTCAATGTCAACAGTGAACTCTCTAATCAAGAGTAATGTAATACTGTATTATATTTGTGTACTACAACTTATAGTATGCAAAGTATTCTTACAGACAGTATCTTACTGGGGGCTCTCACCAGTGCTGCGATAGAGGCAGTATGGAAGTGTTATCCCTGCTGTTACAACAGAGAGGGAATGTAAGAGAATGTTAGGGAATCAGAGAGATTAAGCTTTGCATTTTCAAGATCACATAGTTAATATAAGGGAGAAGAAGGTCTAGAACTCATATCTTCTTGCTTCAGTACTTTTTCTATTACTTTCTTTTATCTTGCTGTACCATTTGATTTATTTCCCTAGATATGATAAATAAAATAAAAAAAATTAAGTCTTAGTTTAAATCAATCGATCCTAGATCCAAGTAAGGTATGGCCAAGATGATTTTCTACTTAAATTCTGGGGGTAGGAGAGTTTGCATGTTTCAACAGAACTCATTTTTGCTGAACAGCATTCCAAGTTCTTAGAGATATGCCAAGGAAGGGAGGACACACCATATCTCCTCTGCTGTACAGTTTCAGTCTATTCCCAAATACGTGCCTATTCCACGGGTCATGCACATTATTCCTAGCAACAGGGAAACTTGCCAAGGGAGCCAGTGATGTAATAACTACTGGTTTACACACAACTACAAGGTTTAGCTCCATTATCCCTGATGTCTCTTCCCATTATTCCTTTTTTAGTGTTTAGGTCATAGTGTTATACCTACATGACCAGTGCTCCAATTACTATTACAGATAGTGGAATATTTGATAGGCATTCATTCTAAAATGCTAAATAGGTTTCTTATGCTAGAAATATTCCTTTTAAAAAAGACAAATTCAGATAATGCAATGAGAAATGCAGAGAACTAAATGTCTGCTGTACATTTTAAGGCATCCATTGGGACAGTGTGGGAATATTGAGATCTCAGAACCCTTCAGAACACATCATATGGGCAGTCCTCTATGGTGAGACGGACCTAGTCATGGGAACTGTGTAGAATGCAAGGAGACAGCCAATGAGCAGTTGTTGTCAAAATGTGACTTTTACCTTCACTCAAAATCAAAACCTTATAAAACAGAGGAAAAGGAGTTAGGTAGTACTTCTCCTACCTCAAATGTCCTTTTAGAAGGCAGGGAGGGGCTTGTCCAGAAATTTTCACTGAAAAAGAAATTATACCATAAAATTTCTGAACTTAAGATTTTTAAGATGAACAAAACTTAATGCCTTATGTTCTTAAAAATTATATATTTAAGGGCAAATTTAATTGAGCTTATCTTTAATGGTCTCTTTCAGACATATGATATATGTTAGTACATATTTTCCTTGGACACCTTTTAATTAAACTGTTTCAACAGAAGAGCAAACAGTAGAAATACCCATCTGATAACAGTCCAGATTAAGAACTGAGTGTTAGTCTGTGAGGATATATGAAGGGCACCTACCCAAAAAGTAGGACAACTAACTTTTCAGAGGGCCAACCCAGGGCACAGCCATACCAGACTGAAAAATAGTAAAATATGTAATAAATCATTATACACACATGTATTATGATTTTAACATAAAATATAAAATAGGTGTTTATTGCAATTATATATTATTTGATTTTATGCTACATGAATACTTTAAAGCAAAAACAACAGAACTAGTTAACAGTGGTAATTAGCAGTAATAAAACAAATTAAACAGTGTGTGTGAGAGTAGTATAACAATATATTTATGCTTCTCTGATACAGATTTTAATGCTTGATTGGATATTTAAATTTTATAAGCCATATTATTGTGTTATTTTAAGACACACACATAAGACCTTTTAGAAGCTGAATGTAAATACAGTGGGGCTGACTGAATAGACGTCACCCATACTTAACACAACTGAACACTGACTTGTTTCTTCAGGCCCCATGATACAGTAGGGCCTTTTCGCTCTGTGTTTCCCTTCCCAATAATATTCTTTAAACCGCCTGCGGCATTTGGGGCACCATACTTTTCTTTTAGTAAGTGGTACAACCGAACGCATTCAACATCCAGCTCTCTTTGACTTGCAGGTCTCTTATCAAGCCCACATCACACCGATTGCTGGTGGCAGTCCCGTTCAATGACATCGACTTAGATACCCTGTCAACAAAGGAGTCTGATCTGGGATGTGACTTTCCTTATCAGCAGTAACAGGTTTCTAGACTTGTAGGAATAAGTCTCTAGTTCTGCAAAAACGTCTGTCGTCTGGTATCTACAGACTTGTGTTAGCAGACTAGCTTTTCCACATTCAGGCTCTTTGCACCTTTAAATTCATGACATAAGGTCCCCACGTCTAAATGTCCCTCATTTCTGGAGAGCCCAAAGCACACTGGCTGTCACCACAAGTTAAACTTTTTTCTCAGGAAAGTGTTTTTAAAGCACACAGGTAATCTGAATTTAAACTGAAGGTGGATGCCAAATAAGTGAGTTTTTAGTGTGGGTTAACTTGGCTGCCCTTTTCCGGTGTCATGCTTTTGAATTCTGAGTCAGGCTTATTTACCCCCAAATGGAATTTCACCATATGAGTTTTGGTCATCATATACATAATATCAAACAAGTCAGGTGCAGTTAATTCATCCTTTCCCATATGCCTTATGGACTCTTCCAAGGCCATCAAACATGTTTAGAGAAACAGCACTGAGTCGCGCCCCCTCATCCACAGGGTGCATGTTCCAAGACCCCCGGTGGGTTCCTGAAACCAGAGATCGTACTGACCCCTCCGTACACTGTGTTCTTTCTATACCTCCATGCCTGTATAAAATTTAATGTACAAATTAGCCATAAGAGATGAACAACTAATAATAAAATAGAACAGTTATAACAATGTACTGTATTAAAAGTTATGCGAATGTCGACTCTCTCGAAATATCTGTACCATAGTCACCTTTGCACAGAAGGAAGCACTTTAACGGCATCTTTTGTCATATTCAAGCCGCCGGCGTCACTGCTCTTGTACTTGGGCATTTCTTGCACACAGCGCTGCGACACCAGCACAGTCAGTCTATTTGGTAACTGAGACGGCTGCTACATGACTAATGGGTGGGGCAGCGTCTGCTGCAAGGAGATGCTGGACAAAGGGGTGGTTCACATCCCAGGCGAGATGGAGCTGGATGGTACGAGATTTCCTCATGCTACTCAGACAGCATGAGATTTAAACCTTGTGAAGTGTTTATTTCAGGACTTTCCTATTCAATGTTTTAGGACCGAAGCTAACCTCAGGTCACGGAAAGCAAAACTGTGGATGTGGGGGCTACTACATGACATTGTTTGACTTTCCTACGTTAAACCAGCCTCTCATTCCTGGGATAAATCCTACTTGTTCATTGTGTGTGAGCCTTCTTATATGTTGCTAGATTTAGTTGCTAGTATGTAGTTGCTAGATTTAGTTTGCTTGTCCTGCTCTCTTGTCTTAATTCTTAATGATTCAGAACTTGGTTAAGAAACATATTATCAGGCCCCTGTAAATTCTAACGATCACCGTTTTGAGAAATCCTCTGATTCTTCTGTTCCCCCAGACAGCGCCTACACAATCCCACGGCACAGTAAGTTGCATTGATTCAATTATACAGTCCTATTGCCCATTCACTTGTTATTCTCTCCGCTTCTTGAGAACAGGCAATATTTTATTTCCCATTTTCTTCTAATATAAAGCACAAACTTTGCATGGTATAACTTGAGACCTCTGTGAAGGAGATCAACATCAGATTTTTAAAAGAACATGAGCAAAGATGGAAAGGAGATTATATAACAAAGAATGAATATAAAAGAATGGCTGAGGCATGGAAAAATAGTATCAGTAAGGTTAAAATATCAAATGAACTAACATATGAAGATATATTGAAAAGATGAAGTAAGTTTTGCCTAGCTACATTCAGAATGAAAATATACCAAAGAATGTTTAGATTTGTTCTGCTGGGATTATTTTAAAATACTGATGGGTGACGAAGAGCAGAACCCTCAGCCTTTAACTTGTTTCTGTCTTTCCTGGCAGAAAGCTTTCTTCTGACTAGAAAGAGGATGGAGGTAGAATAAACACTGGCAAGAGATGACAGAAGTCAAAGCCTCCCAATGAGTTACCTCTGGTCTCAGGCATACTGCCTGTCAAGTGAGAAAAGAACTTGCATCTAAGATCACAAAAGCATTGACAACATTTAAGAACTCAAGGAAATGACTCACCTCTCCCTGTTAAATGCCCAACTTGTCAGTTAAGACTCCATCCTAATTTAAGGACCAATTCCTTAAAGAAACCACTCCCTGAGATGGACAGGCTGGGTCAGAGCCCTGCCTGAGGCACCAGCCCGGCCAGAGCACATCACTGTCACGGCACCTGTCTCACGCTCACTGTATGGAATTAAATGTGAGTCTTAGTGGACTTTAATACCTGCTCCTTAAATAAGCAGCCAACCTGGCTGACAAGAGGGGGAGTTGTGTTTCGTGCAGAGAAGACAGCATAAGCAAAGACAGGAAGGTGAGAAGACATGCATTTTGAGGTGACAGGAAGATCATCTTTGCAACAATGTTGAGTAAAAGGCAGAGAATGGCCAGAGATAAAACTGGAGAGGAAGTCAGGGGCCGGCTCACTGGGAGTTGTGTTAGAAAACTTGGTTTCTGTGCTGCAGCTGGTGATTGTCAAGAAAACTGCTCAGGATGCGTAACGGTTAGATGCGTGAGGTGCCACCAGCTCTCCCTGTCACCCCCAAAGCGGGGAGCTGCAAGGCTGGGAGCTGCAAAGTGCAGTGTGCAGGTCACAGCCCCAGAATCACGTGAGGTGATATACAGAATGTGCAGAATCTGGGGTTGACAGCAGAGACCAACTCAGAGTCCGAAGCTGATGCTTTCATAAGCTCCTTAGGTAATTGTCAGGTGTGCTCAAATTTTAAAACCAGACATTCTACAAGAAAATTGGCCCATGATCTTCAAAACTGCCAGTGCTGGGAATAATAAAGGCCAAGCAGCTGTTTCAAATTAAAAGAGATTAAAGGGATGTGGCAATTTAATGCAATCTATGATCTCGACTCAGGGAGAAGTTTTGCTCTAAAAGGACAGTGTTGACACATTTGGCAGAATTTAAATGTGGTATGACATGAAATAGTATCGTATCAAAACTGAATTTCCCGATTCGAATGTAAGAGCGCATTCTTGGAAAATACGCAATGAAGTTGTTTAGGGAAAAAGGAGCACAATGTTTATGAAAAATTAATCGGGGGAAATACAGGTGGGTAGATAGATGCAGTTCTTTGTACTAAATTATTTAAAAAGCAGACATTAAAAAAAATGAATAGAGGTAGCCTAAAAAACACTAAGTCTTGGGGCTGTGCCAACTTCAACCACTGTAAGAAAACTGGGAATCACAGAAAGGCTTTGGGCACATGGTTTGCAGGAGCAGATTTGTGTTACTGATGGATGGCTGTTTGGTAGAATGAAAGGTGTGGTAAGGATGACAGTACTGGTGGCTAGGGGACCAACTAGAAATCTGTGGGACTCCTGGTGATGGGTCATAAGAGTCTGAGAAGAATGCTGGTCGTTAAGGGGGAAGAAAGAGGATTCTGAGGTAAACTCAGCCTCATTCAGGGGCTGACTAGACATGAGATGTAGAAATGAAAGGAGAAAAAGGGTTTAGCGTGGCTGGTTATGGAGACAGTACTGCTACCAAAGTCATACAAAATACAGGAGGAACAGCACTTAGTGCAGAAGTAGATGAACTTGAATTGGAATATGAGGGGCATCTAGGTGAAGATGTATGGCAAGCAGGTGGTTAAATATGAGTCTGTAGCTTTGAACGAGGTCAGGTATGTGTACAGGTATGCATGTATACATATTTACACACAAATATGTATGTATATAAACACACATATGTATATAGTACAACACTGACACAACCAAGATCAAGATCATGAGATGCTGAGTCTGAGAAGATTTAATTTAGCAGAAATGAATTTAAGAACCAGCACATTGAGCCAAATACCAAACCAAAATTGAAGAAGGACAGAATAGGGGAGATATAACTTAGCAGCTGCCCTATGAAAACAATGCTTTATATGTTTGGAGTACATGTAAATCCATATGTCAATAGTTCAGGACAGGGGTGTCAAACTCATTTTCACTGGGGGCCACATCAGCCTCGCAGAGGCCTTCGAAGGGCTGAAATAATGTTAGGAGTGTATAAATGTAACTACTCCTTAACTGTTAAGGAGTTGAAATGACATTTGGCCCTTTGAAGGCAACTGCGAGGCTGATGTGGCCCCCGGTGAAAATGAGCTGACACCCCGGGTTTAGGACAGTTTTCAAACGACAAGTGCGACCTTACACTGCATTAATGGAAATCTAGTATCTAGAAAGAAGCAAAAGAGAATGAAGGTTTATTCGTGTACTCAGTAGATGACATTTACAATACCGTGTTCAGCTTCATTCAAGCTTAAATAGGGATGGAAAACAGTGAAATAAGATGGTACAGAGAGTTGGATCATGCCATATGAGGGACGGTGGACAGAAATGGAAGCAAAGTTTCAAGGAAATAAATCATAGCTTAAAAAAAATACTTACAATCTATCACATGGAAGAGGCATTATGTTTGTTCTCATTACTTCAAGGAGAATCAGGGAAAACGAGTTGGTCAGAAATGTTTGCCTTTAAGGGTTCTTTACTCTGTGTTTGATGTTATTAGATAGATGGGTGAACTCTACAGAAACAAATGTTTTTAGCTCAACACGGAAAGAACTGCTTCTCGGGTCTATAGCTCTGTAGCAATGGAACGAGCTGTATTGTGATTTGGTCCAACAAAGGTTGGGTGTGCCTGGGTCCTGTGATGAGTTGGAGATATGAAGAGAGGACTCAAGGTTTCTCTCTGCTTTAAGACTCAGTGAGATGGGAATGAAAAAATTAGACAGTAAGGTGAATAATTTCTTTTTATGGACTATCTAAAATAACAAAAGAGCAAGTTGACATAGAGTGTTATCTGCTGGTTTCCTCTACATATTTCTAGAGCTATAATTAAACATAAAAATTTAGGTTTAAAATTTCTGGAAAGGTGAACTGATCCTTGTCTATCCATTTGGAAGCTAATCTAGCTTCTTATACACAGAACGTGATCATACACATATCAGTAAATGGCTCACGTACAGATGGTAAGTCACCGCGCACAGCTGCCCGATATTCCCATTTTACTCACCCAAACCTGGATTAGGAAGCTGTCTTCTCAGATAACCAAATACACAATCATCTGATACATTTGGCCTCATATCTAGAAAAGATGGCAAAAGAGCCTCAGTTGTGTGGAAATAATTCATTGATTCTTTTACAGTTCTTATTTTTATCTTTTTCTAAATAAACAAATGCCAACAGATGAACATGTAAACAGTTTACACATTTAGTTTAACTCCATTAAACCAATACAAACAGCTGTCAAATCTTATAAATTTTTGTTGCATTTTTGCTATTTAGGGCAAAACTCTAAAAAATGTTCATATCCTTTAAAGCAGCAATTTTCTTTCTAAGAATTATAAATAAATAAGAATATACACAAATGGGGAGTTATAAAGTCTTCAGCGTTGTTTATGATAGAAAAATGTGAACAGTGGTTACCCATTGGGACGGCTAAATTAAGATAATGGAGCACTTTGCTACCATTTATTAACATGTAAAGAGGTTAATTGATAGACTGCAATTTTAAATGAAAACATAAGTTGCAAAACAACTTGAACTTAACTTGTCTCCCTCTATTAAAAGACGAGCCCTCTATTAAAAGAAATAAATGGTATGGCGTACTTCCTAATATCCCCAGGCACCAAGCGCAGTGGTGACCTTCAAAGTTGTGGCACCAAAAAATGTTCCTTGAGTAAAGGGGAATTATTTATGAAAAGGCACGAACAGAACATTACCTTTCACATCGGAATTTGAGTCTTTGTGTCTTTGCACAAAATGTCCTTCAGCACAAGCCTAATGGGGCACAGAATCAGAAGGAAAACAATTCTGTTACAGGCACGAACATGTGCATTTCCTATATGATAAACAGAAGAGCTGTTTTCAACATTATTCCTTTTATATCACAGGTTTAGAATGGATAAAATAATCTCTTAAATCAGAACCTCTTAATACTTTTCACAACACCACTTTTCTCCTATAGCAAAGACTGGAAGAAAATATTGGTATCAGCCCCGGCTGGTGCAGCTCAGTGGATAGAGCGTGGGCGGGCCTGCAAACCAAAGGGTCACTGGTTTGATTCCCACTCAGGCCACATGCCTGGGTTGTGGGCCACGTCCCCAGTTGCGGGGGGTGCTCCAGAGGAAACCACACATTAATGTTTCTCCCCTCTTCTTTCTCCTTACCTTCCCTTCACTCTAAAAATAAATAAAATCTTTTAAAAATAGGTTAAAAAAAGAGACAATATTCATATCATATTTTGGCATTAAAAGGAGTTTTAAATATTTTCACTGCATGTAGAACCTATTTACGATGAGAGACAAAAATATCATTTATAATCTCATTTATTAGAATGAGAAAAGTAAAGATATAGGAAGATAAGATTGTGTGATGGGTAAAAATATATAAAATTGCATGAAAATGTATAAGCACTTACGAAACTCTGCTTACACAGAAAAGATGAAAAATATTTTCTTGTAGCTTTTAAAGATTCCGGTCAGGAAGCACGAACATGGCGCTGCTTTCTATCCTGACGGAAGGTGCCAGCGTGACCCAGATGGGCTGAAAGACCAAACACTGTAGAACCGTGACTGCCTCTAACAGTGAGTAATCTACAGGTCCTTGGGACTCTGAACACATTTTTAATGTGTTCAAACTTTTGTTTCTGCATCTGTGGTATGTGGATATTATAAAGAATTTTTTAAGAGGGTCTGAAAAAGGAAAATAGAATTAAAACAATTTTTGCCAAGATAGAGTGCATATCCTAGGCTGGAGAAAATGGATGATAAGACTTGGTCTGATGAACCCTTAATGTCATTGTTAGCCCTCTTCCCTCGATGAAAGTGATGCTGTGAACCATAATAAACTATCACATTTATTCCATAGAAACCACCGGGCCAATGACCTTATGAATGGGATCTGCGGATTTTAACCACAGTAATCTACGCATGTTGTTGTGGGAAGTCTGTAAAATTATTGAGTGTGTCCCGGTTAGGAAACGAAGTGAACTAAAAAAAGTTTTCAATAACTTACTACTATTATTTGAAGATGTACTGATGTTTTACAAGCAAACCATTAAAGTAATAGTTCAAGAGCAGGAACTTGAGCTGTCCTGCTTGAACTGTTCACCGCAGTTAAGATGGCATCGTTCACTCTTTTTGCCAAAGATTATTGGAAAATAAATTTCAGGATCTATGACTAAGACCTCCTATTAGTTTATGGGCACATTTAGAAAATATGCAACATTCTGAAATGACCAAATGACAAGGTGGTTTTCCATCTGGAAACTCCAACATTATAGGTAGATTATGATTTCATAACAATTTTTAAACCTTCAATCAAGAAAGATGAAAATGGAGATATTTAATATAAAGAAATTTATTACATTTTACATGAACGATAGCTTGGGTAGATGAGGAAAATCACTATGTGGATATGTTTACGAGAACTAAGTATGTGTTTCACAACATCTACATACCTGATTTGGGTTCTGTAAATGACAACACATTAAGATCAATTAGAGAGTTTGTCTGAACAAAACGATTTATTTATAATCTTGGCTCTGGCCCAAGCACACTCACATTGCCTAGTTTACAAGCAGAAACTCAGATATCAATGTCAAAATATACAATATTACTGTAACAGTAGGCTTTAAAGAACAGAATTTAAAATGTAGAAGGGCCCCCACACAGAGGCGTGCAGGCATCCTGGTAAAATCTGCATAAGCTCTGGATTGTATCAATGTCAACTTCACGGGCGGAGAGAACCCAGTGACCGATGCAAGATGCTACTATGGGGAAAGGGAAGTAAAGGATGCAGGGAACCTCCTGTACATACAGTCCCCACAACTCCTGTGACTCTACAATTATTTAAAATAAAAAGTGAGAGTAAAAGAATTTAAAAAGGAAGAGAGGAAAAATTCCAAAAGTCCTTAGGAAATTAGATTCTGTTAATTCAGCCCACACTTGCGCTCAGGGTGTGCTGAGTGAGCTTGTCACTGCCAACGTTTACTCCCCACTGGTGCTCCATTACAGTAATGGGAAATGTTTGCAGAACAATTTCTAGCATTTGCATTATTTGAATATTTGAGTAGAAATCTTCTCATCTTCTGAGTCTGTTACTAAGGTCTTCTCCAGCTTCTGGGTTTTCTGACGGTGGCGGCGGACACTTAGGGATGGACTGCCTGGACCGGTCAGGTAGAGACATCACTCTATAACTGTTCCCTTGCATTTGTCAGGCTTATTTCCTAACTAGACAATTCCGTTGAACTCTGGGTACTGACTTCCACCCGCTCTGTCTTTTATCCCTCTGTGCTTGTTATTTACTCGTGTGTTTCTTTGCAGAGTGGCTGGGTTGTTTCAGGGAGCTGCTTACCCTGCTGCGGTGGTAGGCTGCTGACTGTGCTCCTCGGGGGTGCAGACTTGGGTGTGCGCACATTCACTCTGGGGTGGCAGAGGTCTGGGCAGGGTGGCCTTTGTCCCTTTCCCTGAGCACAACCAGCTGTGAAGTTCCACTAATTTCTGGCTGAGAGCTTTACTGTGTTCAACAATGCCCCGGGGAATATGTTGTGCCACAGACCAAGCCAATCAAATGCGTGCTCCTTTGAAAGCGGAGCTCCTGAGGTCCGTGTTGGAGATTTGTTCTGACCTCAGAAGGGCTCCTCCCAGCTGTCTCTTTCCCCGGTTCTCCCTGGCAAACTTACAGCCTACAAGTTTAGCCTCTGTTCCCAGTGAACCTACCAACCTCCCACCCTCTCCCCGTACTTCCACTGGTTCTGAGAATGCCCTCAGGTGTCTCCAGGACCTCTTGCAAATGAAGTCACTTCTTTGGGAGAGAGATTAGGAGCTACGTGTTTTATCTGGATTTCCCTTAAGGCAAAATTTCTGACTCACGTGTCTCTACAGCTTTCTCTGCAGGACCCCCACCGTGGAGCCGAGCTGTCCCTGGGAAGGCGGCAGCAGTCTTGGCTTTCTCAGTTTGCCTCTCCCAGTGTGGTACCACCACTAGACAAGCCAAGGCAAGGGCGATTGGGGCCAAAAATATTTTCAGTGATGTAGCACCCAAGGTGGTCTCCCTCTCATGAATGGGGTCTGGGTGGAAGACAGGACCCCGGTGTCTGGGCTGCACTCACCCGGAATGTAGCTTCAGCCACAGGCAGCTGGATGCGTGGGCAGGTAGCCCTCTGACTGGTGTTCGTGGGAGAGGAGGCCCTGCCGGGGCTGCGCTGGTCTGGAGTGGGAGGGTCAGGCGGGGAGGGAGAGGAGGTTCAAATACCTCGGGCTTTCACTGTGCTCTTCTCCTTCCCCTTCCTTTTTACCAAGTTGTACATTTTCATAAATAGGTGTGGTGGTTTTGGTTTTTTGTTTTTTTCATTTGCTGGATGCCATGAGGACCATTTCCAGGTTGTTAGTTTAATTTAAGAAATCCGTATTGAGTCATTTCTGCCAAATCAGCCAGTGCGTGGATGTTCTATGCTCTGGGGCAAGGGACGCTGGGGTGACAGACGGGCGGGGTGTTCACAGCAGATGAAGACTTGGTATAAAAAGCCCAGTGTGTGTGAAAGCCCCAGGGGTGAGTGTGTTTTCCCTACTGTGTGTGCTTGAGTTTTGTCTCCGGACCAACCTCATAGCAGCTGGCGTACAATGCGCTTTGTAAACCCTCCCTTAAACTCTTTTTTGGTGTGGTAAACGAGGCATAAAATTTACCATCATCACCACTTCCAAACGCACAGTTCAGTGTCTGTAAGTACGTTGATGGTGCTCTGCAAACATCGTCACCATCCTTATTGGAACCCAGTCACCTTCCCTAACTCTGTCCCCATTAACTACTACCTCCCCAGTCCTGCCTTAATCCTGGCCAAGTTCACCTTTTTCACAGATAAGCAGCTGAATGCATTAGAAAGAATATTCTTTTTTGTGTGTCTTCTTACCAATTTCACGACTAACGTGCATACATTCAAACATCAGCGGTGTAAGTGGTGGAAAGCCGCCCCCACAGCCCAGGGATAACCAATGGTAACTGTGCTGTGTCGCCCTGCAAACGTGAACAGCACACTAACCATAAAGTTGTCTTTTTCAGAGCTGCAAACAAAGGCGACTTCCTCACAGAGGCTGAAAAGCGCCACAGCGCTAGGCAGATGCGCCCAGAGAAACCGGGCATGCCGCATTCTTTGGCTTTCCCTTGCTCTCTCTCTCAGAATCCACGTCTGGTTTCTTGCCTTTTAACTTTGCGGGAGGAGTCTTTAAACCTCATTGTTTAAATGTTTTTCTTTTGCTTTGCTAGCGAATGCATCTGCAGGGCTCCCGTTCTGCATGGTGGAAGCGATCTCCCTGCACCGTCTAGTTTATACTCGTGGGTTCCTATTTAATTTTCCTTAGTTTTAATTTACTTCTTGCTCTTCTGGATGCAGCTCTGTAAGACACCTCAAATCCTCCCAAATAAGGTCAGTATAAGTAAAATTTCACACCTTAATAAGACCCATCTCTCATCTGTCAAGGTCCTTTTGTGCTTTTATAAACAGTAAAAATGTGAGCAAAATTTTAACCATTCACTTTTACTGAGGAAAAAAATGAGGGTCTAAGAAGGATAAGAGGACACAACTTGCCATTCTCTCACAGTCAGTTTTTCAGGAGCTGCTAACAACCGGACAGACGAACACTCACCTCTCGACCGGCTCTGCTGTGGTGGCAGCTCACTGTGGTAGCATTTCTCTCCTTCCTCGTTTTCAGATGCTTTCTATTGCTTTGTATCTGGGTAGAAGATTCACATTTAAAATCAACATGGGATCAGCCCGTCAAGGATGGTATTTATGCAGACATAAAACTGTCTTCAGACCTCCACTTGTAAGAAGATGAAGTACTTTTCCTATGCATCCCACTACGTACAACTAAAGACAGTGGGTGTTGGATACAAAATAAATTTAGAGGCTCTGAAAGGTGAAAAAAAAGGGCAAAGGGATCTGGGTGAGGGGATCCGGGAGCAGAGGAGCTACATGACCTTGAGCAGTTTCCCAGGTGTTTATTTGTTTGTTTTTGCCTCATGTAATGGCCTTAGAACTGGAGGGGCCAGCAACCCAGAAATGCCAATGAGTTAAATAATGGCTGAAAACTCCCCACATTTGATAAAAGACATGAATGTAAATATCCAAGAAACTCAGTGAACTCCAAATAAGGTGAAATTTTAAACTCCGCACCAATTCCATATACATTTTAGGATTATTCATGCTGGTTCTGAGAAGAATGCCATTGGTATTCTGATAAGAAATGCATCGAATCTGTAGATTAGGTTGAGTAGTATGATTATTTTAATGATGTTAGTCAGACAGAGAAAGACAAATATCACATGGTTTAACTTATACACAGGATCCAAAAAACAAAACAAATGAGCAAACAAAGCAAAACACTGAAAACAGACTCATAGAGACAGAGATCAAACTGGTGGTTGCCAGGGAGGGGATGTGGGGGAGTGGGGGGGGGGGCGAGTAGGAGGATAGGTAAAAAGGTGAAGGGGAATAAAGTCAATATTGTGATGGGTTTGCATGATGACATTGTAAGGTGTATAAATAAAAATGTCAAATCCCTATGTTGTATACCCGAAACTAATATAATATTGTATACCAACTATACTTAAATTTAAAAAAATTTTGACAACATATTTGCAATGAAAAACCCACACCAAGACACATTATAATCAAACTTATAAAGTCAGAGGTAAAAAGAGAATCTTGAAAGCAGCAAGAGGGAAGCAAATTATTACATGCAAAAGATCCTCAATAAGATAATTAGCAGATTTCTCATCAGCAACTTTGGAGGCCAGGAGACAGTGGGCCACTATGGCCACAGTGCTTCAGGAAAAAACTCTGGTAGAACTGTCCTTCAAAACTTAGGGAGAAATGGAGACATTCCCAGATATGCAAACACCGAGGGCATTCATAATGTCTAGACTTGCCTCATGAGAAATGCTCAAGCAAGCCCTACAAGGAGAAATGAAAGGGCACTAGACAGCATGACTGTGCATTGATAGAAACTATTTCTTTGATATGACCTTTTCTTTCTTTCCTTTTGATTCCTAGCGGTCTCACCCAGCACCCTGCCTCACCTGCTCCCTTGATCAGCCTAATCACTAAGCCCTGAGGACAGTGAGGTTCTCATTGGCATCAGATAATCTTAGGAACAAAGCCTCAGTTCTGTTGACCCCAGAGACACAGTTTCCATCAAACTAGCGATAGCATCTAGGCCACAGTTGAGTTTCAGCTCCAGGCCCATACAATCAGTGAAACCAGACAAAGAGACGCCGTGGCTGATGTCAGGACCAGACACACTGCCCCTGGCACAGACTGATCAGTAGAGAACACGACCGTGACCAAAACCCTAACTCCCCTGGTCACCATGATGAACAACTTTCCCCCGTACATCCCCACCCCTGGAAGCCACTGGGGAGCAAGGTCTCTGAGCATTAGCTCACCTATCTTCCTGAAATAAACCCTTACTTTCTTCGCTGCAAGCTCTTGTTCCTGTCTTATTAGGCTTCACAGGGAAATGCACTCCGTTAACCCAGTAATGACAGGAACTTGAAGGTGTGGGGAGAAATGAAGATTCCAGGACAGGTGAACACATGGGCAATTATGAAATCTGGTGTTGTTGTAACAACGGTTTCAAACCGCACTTTTGTTTCCTATGTGATAAGTGACTAACACATTTAAAGAAAAAAAAACTATTATTAGTGTAAAAGCTAGTATTACTGTAATTTTGATTTGTAAGTCCAAATCTTGTGTTCTTGCTAAGAGACTAATACATATAGAAAAGATCAGTTTATGTTTTTGGACACACGGTGTATAGAGATGTAATTTTTGGACATCAACAACCGAAAGGAGTGGGCTTGCAGCTGTATAGGAGCAGAGTTTTTGGGAGTCATTGAAAATAAGCTGGGACAAGCGAACATGAGTGTTACAGCTATAGGGCGTCTGATGTAATCCCCACAATGACGACAAAGAAAATACCTTTGGAATATGCACAAAAGGAAATGAGAAAGGAATTTAAATATTTCACTACAAAAAAATCAACTAACATAAATGAAGACAGTAATGCGGGAAATGAATGACAAAATACTGTAAGATGGATAGAAAACAAATAGCAGAATGTGAGAAGTCAGTCCATTTGTACCAGTCATTATTTTCATTGTAAATGAATGAAACTTTCCAGTCAAAAGATAGATCTTGGCGGGATATATAAAAAAATACATGATCCAACTATATGCTGTCTTTAAAAGACTCAAAAGATCCACGAACAGGTTGAAAGGGAAAGGATGGGAAATATGTTTTATGCAAATAGTAACCAAAAGAAGCAGGAATGGTTATATTAATATCAGATAAAATAAACTGTAAATTTTTAAATGTTACAAGAGACAAAGAAGGACAATTTATAGTAATAAAAGAGTCAATATGGCAAGAAGATACCGCAATTATAAACATCTGCATATCTAATGACAGACCATTAAAATATCTGACATCTGCGTATCCAATGACAGACCAGTAAAATATCTGAAGCAAAATGGGCAGAATTGAAGGGAGAGACAAACTGTTCTACAAACGGCTGGAGCCTTCCACTCTCGATGATGGACAGAGCAGACAGACAGACGGTGTATGATGAATATGGATAACATAGAAATTGATGCCTAGAAAGTGTGCTGCTGCCCTAAAAAAAACCTCAACTATGGGACAGTCAGTGGCTTTGTGGCAAGCTGACAACGGGCGGTGTGGAAACTGTCCTGGGGGGCTAGAAACATGGTGACATAAGGATTGTAGAGGTGATACATCTAGTAAAACTGTCCCCGGTGACAGCGTGACGGACAGAAAATGCACCTAACAGACAGACCCGGGTCCGTGGACATAGAGATTTTGAGGCAGAATGTTTAGTGTATATATTGGTTGTTGCCTGCTTTGTGTGATAAGTTGTTACAAGAAAGAAATCAGCTCAGAAAATATTTGGACAAAAGAATTGAATTGGGAGGGAAAACAGAGAGCCCCCAATTTTAGAATCCGAAGGCCGGCTTCAGGGAACCTTAAGGCAAAGGTTGTATCAAAGTTATGACTTTTACATTCACGGTGGACAGTCGCTAAGATGGCTATAATGATCCCCATCTCCCAGAATCCTCAGCCTTCTATCTGTGATCCTCTCCCTTTGAGGGTGGGCTCAGTCTAGTGACTCCCTCCTAACACATGGCAAAAGCGATGGGGTTCTGCCTTTGAGATCAGGCTGCCGTGAGGCCGTAGCTTCTCTTGCGTGCCTTTTCTTGCCCACTTGCTGGCTCACTCATGGGAAGCCAGTTAGGCATGGCCTACAGAGAAGCCCACTTGGCAAAGTACCGAGGGAGACATTCAGCCAACCGCCAGCAAGGAACTGAAGCCCTCAGCCCAATAGCCTATGAGGAACTGAATCTTGCCAACAACCATGTAAGTGAACTTGACAATGAATGGGTCCTTCCTCAGTCAAGCCTTCATGGGGACCACCGTCTGCCTGACCAACACCTGCACTGCAGCCTTTTGAGAGACCTCTGAAGCACCCAGCTAAGCCACCTCTGGATTTCTGTTCCACTAAGTGTGTGATAATACATGTCTGTTGTTTCCAGTGCTAACGTTTTAGGTAAGTTTTTACTCAGTAAAGAACACTGATAGAACATCTGTCTAAGTCTGTCTGGCTGCTATAATAAAATGCAGACTAGGTGGGTTATAAATAACAGAAATGTATTTCTCCCAGTTCTAGACTAGAAGGTTGAGAGCAGGGTGCCAGCGTGGGCAGGTGGGAGCGCTCCTTTGGGTCACAGGGTGCTTTTGCATCCCCAGGAAGGGGCTGGTGAGCTCTCCGGAGCCTGCTGTATGAGGCACTATTACCACTCATGAAGGCTCTGCCTTTATGACCTAATCCCTTCCCATGGGCCACACCTTCTAGTTCCCTTATACTGGGTATTATAATTTCAACATATAAATGGGGGGGGGGCAGAAATATTCGGACCATAGAATCCTTTCCCCATTTCCAGAAATTCCTGTCCTTCTTACATGCAAAATACATTCATTCCATCTCTACAACCCCAAAAGTCTTAACTCATGCCAACATCGACTCCTAAAGTCCAAAGTCTCATCCCAATATCATCTAAGTCAGATGCAGGTGAGACTCAAAGCATCATTCACCCGGAGGTAAAGTCCTTCTCCAGCTGCGACCCTACGGACCAAACAAGCCGTGTGCTTCCAAAACCCAGGGGTGGGACAGGCACAGGACAGGCATTCCCATTCCAAAAGGAAAGAACAGGAAAGAAGGATGAGGTGACAGGTCCCACAAAAGCTCAAAACCGAGGAAGGAAAAACTCAATGAGATTTTAAGGCTCAAGAATACTCCTCTCTCACTTCACGTTGCGGCGTCGGGACCCACTGGGGTGGCAATGTCACTCCTGCTGCTTGGCAGGGTGCCGCTCCTGCCTGGCTCTCTGTGGGCCCTGCCCACACCAGAGCTCCTGGCTCCAGGTGGGATACCTCCAGGATCACTGTTGGAGGCTGTCTGCCTGTTAAAACGTAGGTGGTAGTGGCCCTGATAACCTTCTAGTTACCTTTGGGCCCTTACAAAAATCTCGTTACAAAGATCAGTGCATATTCACACAAAACGGCTCTGGGGTACCCTGCTGCCAGACTCAAGTCTACCAACACCCTGTACACGGTCCTTTCTGTTCTCACCACAGCTCTCCTCTTTCCTTTCTGAACTCTCACCAGATCCCCCTTTGAAATCCTTCCGTGGCAATATCACCACTTTCTAACACGCACTTCAAACTCTTCCAGCCTCTCCCCATTACCCAGTTCTAAAACCACATCACATTTTAGGTATTTCTTACAGCAGCACCTCATTCTCAGTGTTGTCTGTCTTGGCCTGGCTTAGTCGCCTCCTACTGGCACTACCCTGGGGGGCAGGGTGTCAACATTCGTACTTGGTAGGGGCGTAGACATTCAGCACCACGCAAAGTCTCTACTCCTCCCCCTGCACTTATTATCATCTAACACATCATATATTTTACTTCCTCATCTTAATTTTTTATATCCCCAACTAAAATATAAACGACGAAAGGGAAGGATTTTTTGCCCTGTATTTTTTACTGCTCTATCCGTAGCATGTAGAACTGGAGCTCAATAGATAGCTGTTGACTAAGTGAATGAATAAATACTGGACTAGCGGTCAGGCAACGTTATATTACCATCTCCCATAAGAAGTGGTACGGCTCTTGGGAAATCAATCTCTCTGGCTATTAACTGTTTTTATCTATAAAATAAGAGTGTTAAGAACCCATAAAGTGAAGACATGGTATATAATCAGAGAATAACAGTTATTGCTAGGCAGTAGTTATACAACCGTGAGCTTTTTCTGTCTGTTAGTGACCAAAACAGACCACCAAGCAGCACATCCACACCGTGGGCAGAAGTCTCCGCCACACCTGGGGAGTTACCTTGAGAAGAGGGGCCTGAGAGTCGCTGGATTCTGAACAGTCGGAGCCTCGGCTACTGCAAAACATAACAGGATATTATTTCAGCTTACACAATGTTTTGGTGTCATTTTAAAATTTCAACAGTTACTTTTGCCTTCTTGCCTTCTTGGAGTGGTAGAAATAGTTCTAATTATGAGACGAATGTTTACAAACACAGTGTAGACATCTATCTAAGATGTCTGGTAGTTCTAGGCATCTTGGACTATTAGACGAATGATGGCTGAAATTGACTGGAACACAGAAAATATACACACAGCCACAAGTTCAAAATGACACTCTCCACCTGCAGGTGAACTTACGAGTCACCCAGGTTACAAGGCCACTAAATCAACATCTAAACATTTATAAATGAAGGGGAAGAATCAAATATTTATTCTGCCTTTCCTATAGAAACTATACTAAAAATTAGTATCTTTTTTCTTCAAACAATATTCTCTTAGCACTGAATTTGGCACTTATTATTCATTTAGAGTATTTATGTGGCATCTTTATAAATGTGTCAGTTCTTTGTGGGTAATGACAGCATTAAAAACAATTTCAGTCTGTCTTTCACATATAGTACATAGTATGTGCTCATTTAATATCACTTCACTAAATGAATTAATAAAGTCTAGATGAGGTCTGGATAAAGGAACGTGCATGGGAAAAATTCGCCTCCACCCGTAGTTGGGCTTCCAGTTGAGACTGACGATTACATCCTACTACTATGAAAAAGAATAACATGAAAGACAGTGAAACAGCGCACCAAAGTACAGTACTGCCACCTCTTGACTTACCTGGACTCTAGATCCAAAGCAACTTCTTCCAGAGAAGTATCTGAATCATCAGGGACTTTCTCCAGGTTGATATGTTTTTGCATTTCTTCTAATTCTTTTAGGCACTGATAATACTAGGGAAAATGATAAATGAGATGACTATTAAAACAACTTTATTTTCTAATTAAATTGATTGACTATTTATAGACACCTGGAACAACAGCTACTGGGACATCAACTACCCAAAACCCCTGAACTAGGATATTGAGAGGAGTGAAGGGCCAGAGGCCCAGGGGTGGGTCCTGTTGCCTGGGAGACCGGAGTTGGGTGTGTTACCAGAGGGACTCTGCTCACCTTACTTCGGTCTGGATCACAGTAGTCCAAGAGAGAATCACAAAAATGATATCCCATTGCCTCCAAGTCTTTTGTGTTGAAATGGGTGCCTCGTTTATTACCTAAAACATCAATAAGTTAATTCACCCTTGAGGATGACTTAATTTTTCCTCAGGAGATAGGCCTAAGCTGTAAAACAGAGTATAAACAAAGCATCTGATATGATTCCATATCCTGTCCTTTGAATTTTTTTCTCTGGGGCAGGTCATCTGACTGGTTATTGTTTCTCTTCATTCCCCGTCCACCACCTGGACCAAAGGTCAGTCTATGCTGTAAGGCAGGAGAAAATTCAGTGCAGAAGTTATGGGATACTTGGTTATCAGTTATAAACACCCTAACAATCACTTAAAGAAAAACTTGGGAAATGATTATAATGTTTTCATCGGCATTAATAATATCAGTTTCGAGGTGCTTTAAAGACTAGCTAGAAATTACACGTGGATTTCCCACTCTCCTTTGTGTTGATACATTTTCTAATAATTGACAATTACCTTAATGTGGGGTATTCTAATGATATGCTAGATGTGATTAAAAGATTTCTTAAACGGAACTACAGAACATTGTTATTTTTAGTTCAAGGAACCAAGTACTTCCATTAAAGTATAAATCGACCAAAAACAAAAGCAAAACACCAGTGTATTTGCCTTGCGAAAATTAAGTGCACTAAAAACATTCCTAGCCTGATATTATAAGTATGAGCACCGCTTTTCTCGAAATCATTAGACTCATCTGTAGGAACCCCTTCTTAAAAAAAAGCAATTAGGAATTAACTCATGAAACAACCAATTACGTATTCTATCTACATGCTAAAACTTCCTATTCTTAAAAAAAAGGGAAACAAAAAGGTTATTTATTCATTCCATCAACAGAATTGATTACACATCAGTATGTGTTTAAGTGGGAGGACAGTGCTCACTATGAAACTGTCTACACTGTTATCTTACCTTGAAAGTGGTTTAAAGCTCTGAGAGCCATGACTGAGAATACCTGGTCTTACCCAGAGTGGATCCACAAAAAGTGGCCTCCATGGTAAAGCTGTTCCTGATCCCCATTTTCCACATTACCACCCTTCCTGTTCCCTGTTTGCTCTTCTGGATATTAAACTTGCAAGCTGAGAATGAAAACTGGAAAGAAACAAATGAACAAGAGCTATTGTTTTCAGGATAACAATGTGTTTCTCAGGAAGCAGGATGAAGATGGAAAAGGGGTTGTGCAAAACCAGTAATTCTCTCTAAAACTTCGGGAGCTGCTTTTATTTTCTGACCAGTGGAAATAGCTCATTTTAAAAATGATATGTTTACAGTACTGAGATTTAAAATCTCATTACTGTAGTTCTCATTACTGAGAACTACAGATTTAAAATCTAGCAAGAAATTTTGCTTTTTATGTACAAGTAACATACACATTCAAAACCAGTTGAGTAATTCTTAACACTGCTGGGATAAGATTTTAAATGTCAAAAAAGCTTCAACATGTTTAGGAATGAAGATTAGTGTTATAGATTTTCAGAACAGAATAAAGATGCTATATTTTCATGTGAAAGAGCATTTGAGAGCTGCCTGAGAGATCATTATGACGTCAGTATCTACAGAGTTTTTTGTCATTTTATTTTTAAATTAACATGAATTTGACATGTTTCGTGTTCCATTCTATGAGTTTTAACACATGTGCAGATTTGTGTAATCAGTACCATAATCAGGAGGGAGAATAATTGCATCACTTCTAAAAAACTCTGTGCTATTCCTTTGCAGTCACAAGTACTTCATTTATTTTGGAGCTACAGTAAAGGGTACTGTTTTGAATTTTAGTTTCCCATTGTTCATTGTGAGTTTACAGAAATTAAATTGTTTTTTGTGGCTGACCTTGAATCCTATGACATTCTAAACTCACTTATTAGTTTTAGGAGGGTTTTTTGTAGACTGCTTTGGATTTTCCAGGAAGACAATCATGTCATCTTTATTATTGTACTTCTTCTTTTTCAATCTGTCTGCCTTTTATTTCTCTTTCTTGCCTTATTGCACTTGCTAGAATAGAACCTCCAAGAAAAGTCTGAACTGAAGGGGTAAGAGTGAATATTCTTGCCTTGTTCTTGACCATAGGAGGAAAACAATGCTTGTTTGTTTTAATCATTAAGTATGATGGCAGGATAATGGGCACTTCCTTTTTCATATTTCTAATTATTGGTCACTAACCATTCCACATAGTTGCTTTCTTATGGCCAATTGTAAAATCAGACAAAATAACTAAATAAAAAAATTAGTATACTGAATAAGATTATCCATTCTGTCTCAAGTGGGCAACACTTTAGTAAAGGAAAACTTAACATCTTAAAAAGTGCTTACTTTATCTGGACAGTTTTTGCTCAGCATAAGTGGAAAGATTTGCTGCTGTAGGTATAATGCTTTACATCTATCGCTACCACCGCAGCCGTACATGAAGATGTTCTCTTTCCTGCTGTGGCCATGAAGGTCACAGTATAAAATAACCTCTCGTTTCTCCATCAGTCTACCAAGAAGAAAAAGAGCAAGTCACTCAAATTTACTTTTGCATTTCCCTTTTATGTGTGTAGCTATGGGTTAACAGGTGTGACATCCAAGTGAATAGAATGTCTTACATATTAGCTTTCAATTTCTCTTCTTATCTATACTGAATATTATTATTAATATAGAATTTGAAAGATGGCTGCTGTAATTTACTATTAACCATATCTAAAATACAAATGCCTTCCATTAAAAAGACAAGATCTACCTTATTCCCAACACTTTTTCCAATAGGATCTGGTTGACCATTTGGGCTTTCTGTTGTATACAGAAAGAGTTCACTTCTTTCTCCATTAGCACTCACATAGATTCTTTCTGGCTGGAAGACCTTCTTTCTTCATCTTAGTGAATAGTACCCCTCGCCCCTCCAGACTGACCTCACATCTCATTTCCTCTCTAACCAATCAAGCTTGGAGATCTTTTTTGTTTTTTAAATTCCTATAGCACTTAATATTGGTACCATTTACTTGGCACTTGCACAGGAAAGTTTTCATACCTTTGAGATTTAATCTTGTTAAAGATAAGAAATGCTTCAAATCATCTTCAAGTCACTTGGAACAGTGCTATGCATACAAGTATGTCCCAAAATATTTGTTAAAAGTTGAGTGTCTTATCCGTTGGTGCTGAAGCCAATGAGTATTTAACCCTTTATTAATGTGGTGAGTAAATATCTCTGAGCAAAATGGTACCAAAGTTTGAATTGACTTTTTTTCCCCAGTAAATTTACAGTAAATTTTAAGAAAATTACATATTTTAAAGATCATAATCCTTGGCTTGTATAATTTAGGCATTCAATAAATATTAAAGCAATAAAAAATGAGCCCCCCAAACTAACTGATGGTGTCTTTTAACATGGAAAAAAGTAGTGGTGTAAAGGTGGGAGAATTATGGGCATTTTTACCTTTTTTAATATTTCTAAATTTTATATAAAATTATTATATTACCTAAATAATCAAAATTTCATATATGATCTTATATCTGGAAGGATAAATAGCACACTGTTAGCAATGTTTCTTGGTAATATGAAATGCATTACAGTAGTCTTCCCCTGCCCAAAACCTCAGACCGCACCAAACCCTGTATGTGCTGTGCTTTGTCCTGGACGTACAGACCCTTCGTGGATTCTCTCTGGCATATGTGAATTACCAGAATCACTACTCTGGCGCTTTGGAGCCATTCGTAAGTGAGGTAAGGGTGACTCAAACACGAGCACCGCTGTAGGCGACAATCTGACAATGAGATGGCTACTAAGTGGCCAATGGGGGATAGGTAACATACACAGCATGGCTACGCTGGACAAAGGGATAATGCGCGTTCCAGATGGTACAAGGCCAGATCTCATCACGCTACTCAGAATGGTGTGCAATTTAAAACGTATATGACTTGTTTGTTTCTGGAGTTTTCTCATCTAATACTTTCAGACTGTGGCTCGCTCTGGGAAACAAACTGTGCAAAGTGAAACTTGGACTGGTGGACTGCTGCTGGATTTTTATACCAAAAATACGGAAACTGAAAATCAAAACTTTCAAAGCATAGCTTCTATCAGAAATAATACACCTTTAAACGAGAGTGAAATTTCATATTGAAGTCTGCTACATGTATTAATTTATGTCCTTTTCTCATTTGGTGCCAAATAAATTCTAACTGACAACTTATGATGGACATAGAGCCACTGAACGACCACTTCAAGTTTTTAGAAAACTAGATTATAAAGCAAGAATATCACATTAGCTCCTTAAGTATGAAATATGCTGTACATGTTTAAGCCAACAATTTCCAAATTTTAATGATCTTTTGGTTTCTTTTGAGTTGAAAGAAATTTCTACTTCTAAGTAATTAATTCCCAAAGAAATGTTACTACTTCTGAAGTGAAACAGGATCTAAGGGTTTCTCGTCTTATACTAATTTAATCACTTTAGAAACAGTTTGGATATTTTTCTTAGTCACAGGTAAAATATTCTAGTTCCCACACAAAAATCTACTCCATTTCTTATATTCCTTAACAACTTTTTTCTTTTTTATATTTGAGGAAACACTGAATACATTGAAAGCTTTCAGTGTTCCAGATTTTATTCCATGTATTCTAGTAACAATAATCTCATTTAATCCTCCCATCTATGAGGTATTATTATTCATATTTTATAGGTGATGAAACTGGGGCTTACATTTGTTCTTCAACTGCTCAAGGTCACCTAGTTAGTAAATGATAAAGCAGGATTCCAATCTGATAGGTTTAACTCAAGCTCCACACACTTGACCTAGCAATTTAATGAAAAATTTAAACATTATGTGCCTTTACTGTTCTGGATTTTTTGGCAATTTGAAACCTATTCAATTTTTATAGGGAAAACTAAGGCTATTCATTATTCATGCAGGTTTTAAATAACTATATAACCTGTTGATCAAAAGGCTCATCATAGAGCAGCAAATGATCAACATAGTGCCAGAAGGCTCTATGGGTGTAATTAATTTTCACATATAAGAAATTCAAGGATCCCAAAGTAACATCAGTGTTAGTGTTAGCTTTAGCAAGGAAATCAAATTTGGGATGTGCAAATGTAACTATCGGTTTAATGACGCCATTAAAATGTTCCAGCATCGATATCATTATTTAATAAAAGGCTATTGAACCCAGTGGCACAATGCCAGAAAGACAGAGAAGCAGAGTTGGGAATAATGGGGGGAAACTAAGTAACTATAGTTAATCCAGCTAAAGAAAATCTATAGTACCATGAGTGAGACTGTGGAAACGATACTCTTACTGCCAAGTTGACTACAGAAGCAGAGAGGTAATTCGAGGCTTACTTTACCTACGGATCATGTTCCGGGTAGACCATACAGAAGGGAATAACTTCTTTAGGAGAGAGGTATAGTTTCGGTTTAAGTCCTGTCCAGCTAAGGAACACCGGTAATTTCCTACAATCACACCGTCAGGATTCAGCATGGGCACCACCTTGAAGACGAAAGTGTCCCGGAGCAACTGTGCATCGCGCGAGCCTCCTAAAATAAAATCGAGGAAGCCTTTCATGATCCAAGAGCTGTTGGTCTCTCCTGGATGTACCCTCGCAGTCAAAATCACAGCCTTGCGCTTTCTTGAGTCCCCGTTCTTCGAGGGGGTAGTGATCGTTAAAACGTACACCATGTTCCTAGCAATCGTGTGGCACAAGACGCGTATTTTACAAAACTTTGACCTCACTGGGTCATTATGGATGCTAGAAAGGTATTCTTGCAGGTTGGTGTAAGTGTATGGATAGCAGTGAGCAAAGTAGCAGGTATCTTTGCTGTGTGGAAATTGAAATGTCCACGTGAGAGAGAAATAATGGCGCCCATCTTGCCCAGGGTTATTCCTGTAATACTTGATTTGGTCTCCTATTCTCTGCCAGCCAATATTATGAGTCTTGGCCTCTTTTTCAGAATAGAACAGTGGGCGCATACCCCGGCTGTAAAGACTAGCAGGCTTGGTGAAGTTGATGATAGTGAACCTGTAGACTATTCCCGCTTGGGTATTAGTGACTTGGAAATAGTACCACTGGGTGTGCTTCTTCGTGAAGAGGTCGGGACGCACGGTCAACTGGTATTCATGGTCTGCCCTAATACACAGAAAAGGAGGGAAAAAGAAAGCACGTAAAAATGTGGAAAATGACATTCAGTTTTACATAAATAAGGATAGTTATTGTATTTTTACCTACTCACAGAAAGCATTTGGGGGGGGGCAGGGAGAAAATGTTTATTCAAGCTGTATCCTAAATAGCAAGTAACTGCAAAACGTAAGAGTTTGGAAACTTTCTGTCATTGGATGTGAAACCTCTTCCATGCTAATTCTGAAGCGTTTTTATTACTATAGAAGAGAACACATAAAAAGTGGGCATTTGATTTAAAAAAACTACATTTTTCACTCTAATTATGTTTCCTACAGAAAGAAATAAAGAGTTCCTGAAACTGAATTACAGTTCAGTTTCTTTTCTCTCTTTGGATATATATTTCCATTTTCTATTAGATTCTAACCATAGGGATCTGAAATACTATCGCTGAGAACAATTTAAAACATGTATAAATTAATAGGACCACACAGAGTACACAATTTTAAACACTTTGAGGACTGCACTTGATTCCCCATAAACTACTTGTATGCCCCATGTTCAGTCATTGAGAATATGTAAATAAAGGCAAAAATAACTTTACGGTATATTCCTTATAATACGTGCATGTACCAAACTCACCTGGTTAGTTGTCTCTTTTCTTCTTTACCAAGCAACTTGCTATTCATCAGCATCATGCACTCAGTGCGCATGTGTGTTGTGTAGTTACAGACTGACCTAGGGGTAGGTGGAATGAATGTGCAAAACTAGCTTCTGAATCTAAGTGATCGGTATGTGATAGTCAATGTAGAATTTCATTGTCCTCTGTAGTTAACTGTAACACATTTTTCATAATAGAATTAAAAAAATAATCTATTCATTTTTAGAGAGAGAGAAAGGGCGAGAGAGAGAGAGAGGGACAGAAACATCGATGTGAGAGAGAGGAACATTGGTCAGTTGCCTCTTGTGTGCTCCCTGACTGGGGACCGAAACCACAACCAGGCGTGTGCCCTGACCAGGAATCAAACTGATGGCCCTTCACTTTGCGGAATGACACCCAGTGAACTCAGCCACACTGTCAGGGCCGTAATAGGATTGTTTTTTAAAATGTCATTGGTTGGCATACATGATCCTAAGCATGTTTTATGGAACACTCATCCCAAGAGCTATTCTAGGAGAAAGTTGGAGAAGCAGTGTGTCCTTCAAAGATTGACCTACAGTTCAGAGTTGGATACTAAAACTTCAATGGAGCAAGTATGGAAAACAACATACAGTTGAGGGCCTAGCCCCTCAAACAAACGTGAGTCAAACCTACACTTTGACTACCTTCTGTAGATTACCACTCTCAAACCTTGCTTCGAACATCAGCGTGTTGTCGAGGTCACCCACAGGCTGCTTCAAGGATGTCCGGTTGCCCCCGACTCGGGAATACACAAAGCAGGGCTCTTTGTAAGCTGATGAGAGAAACAGGCCATAATGCTATGGAGCCGTGTCTAAGGTAAAGACGATTCTGCACGGAGTTTGCAGCTACTAGACAAGTGAAGCGTCACTGAGAATTTTAATTTGTAAAGTAATCTAATCCTAACGTGTAGATTTATGTTGAAGAAAATCTAAGAGTACTTAGACTGGGAAAGCAATGCCTACAATAAATTAATATATTAGTCACATTAAAAATACTCATTCTGGTTCTGGTTATTATGAAATATTTGGTTCTGAGCCTGACCTTTCACTGTAAATGACTATAAAACTGGACATAACATATGACCTAACTTTTAAAATATACTTAGACAACACAGACCAGAATGATCTTAGATTCTTGAAAGGAGATAAATACATGCAATAAGCCTTGTTTTCAACCCTGGCTGTCTTCCTGTGAGTACTTTCTGAGTGCATCATTCGGAAGGTTGCACTTAAGAATATTATAACAGGGCCTGGCAGGGTGGCTCAGTGGGTTGGAGCATCATCCTTTGCACCAAAATGGTGCAGGTTTGATTCTGGTTGGAACACATACCTAGGTTGCGGGTGTGACCCTGGCGGGGTGTATACAGCAGGCCACCAACTGATGTTTCTCTCTGACACTGATGTTCCTCTCTCTCCCTTCTTCTCTCTCTAAAATCAATAAACACATGCTTGGGTGAGGATTAAAAGAAAAAAAAAAGACTAGTATAACATTCTTGCTGGGCTAAGGCAGCAATTGTTGCTCGGGGCTGCAGCAATTTGTGAGCAGGTCACCGGAGAAAAGAAAGCTGCACGGAAGAAGGGCCTCAACAGTCTGCTTGCTGTTTCCCCAGCTCTTTGCTGAGGGCCGGGCCATGTGAGCACAGGATAAGACTAAGTGAGATGGGGGAGAATGTTACTGTGGGGATGAGATAATAGAAGGTATGCATTTCTAGAATATACTGGAGTTTCAATGTAACTAGTGCAGAAAGACTTCACTAAGCACCTCAGACATTTAATCGTGACCCCAGAAAGGCTGCACGTTAGGCATAAGAACTGCATCTAAGAGTAAAGGCCATGATCACTATGGCACTAAGGACAAAAGGAAAGTAAATCTGCCCTGTGTGAAAACAAAATCAAGCCTGAAAGAAGCAAAATTATGTACCAGCAATTTAGCTGCCTACCAAAACAAAATTCAACTTAAGTTTTAAAAAGAATATAACATAAACTCCTACAATATATCTTTCACACTGTTCCCTATATGGTTAAAAAATGATGAAGCAATGGACAGAAGCACGGATCAGGCAAATGGGATCCATGATCACACACACACACACACACACACACACGCACACGCACACGCACACGCACACACACACGCACTGTCACCAGAGCCCAAGACAACTCAGGTTGGAGTTAGGGGGTTTTGAATATATGTTAAAAGACTTAAAGGAAAAGATAGAGATAATGAACAAGCAGATTAATCTCACAAAAGAAACAGAAACTATAAAAAAGAACCAAATGAAGATTCTAGAAATAAAAAGTGCAATAACTGAAATGAAAGATTTACTAGATGGGCTTACAAGAAATATTGCAGTTTGCAAAAGAAAGACTCCATGAACTTAAAAACAATTAAAAACTCAAGGACAAAAACATTAACAAAAATTCAGGGACATGTGGGACATACCTAGAAATTCAACATTTGGAATTGGAATTGCAAAGGACAGAGAGAAAGAATAGGATGGGAAAGTACGTGAAGAAATAATGGTTGAAAATTTCTCAAATTGGAGGGAAAAAAGTCTATTAACCAATAAGATCAGAAACTCCAAGCAGAATAAATATAAAGACAACCAATTCTGGGTAGAGCCTAGATTTGCTGAAAACAGCGAGAGAGAAAAAGACACATAATATACAGTATAGGGAATACTGATACAAATTACAGCTGACTTTTTATTAAAGACAACAGAGGTCACAAGACATTGGAACAATATCTGTAAATAAAATGAATCTTTGAAAAACAAAATGTCAACCAGAATTCTACACATCCCGTTGCTTGGGGACTCGACTCTCCTACAGCTACAGGTTGTAAAAATTACCTGTCATTTACCCTTTCAGGTCTAAGGAATGAAATGGTTCTGATCTGTTTAGTCTTATGTTGCTTCACCATCCCTTGTTAGTCTCCCTGAACTTTGATCTCTCATTTTCCTTGAACTTTTAAACTTACTCCAAGTATGCCATCCAGTTCCTGACAAGGCCTTGACTGACTTACCTCGACTATTTCAATTTATTTAGAGATTTTATTTATTTATTTTTAAAGAGAGAGAAGAAGGGAGGGAGAAAGAGAAGGTGAGAAACATCGATGTAAGAGAGAAACATCCATTGGTTGCCTCTGTATGCGCCCTAACTGGGGACTGAACCTGCAACCCAGGCATGTGCCCTGACTGGGGATCGAACCTGCAACCTTTTGCTGCATCATCAATTGGGATGATGCTCCAACCAACTGAGTCACCCACCCGGGACTTCTGTTTTATTTTAAAGTAACTTTGCACAAACTGAAGCACACCTTCAAGAATATAGAGAGCACTAAACCAACACTTGGATCAACATGTAACCAAACATCTTTATGGGGACGGATTTCCTGGCAATCTGCAAGTTCCACTGTAATCAACAAAACAAATACTTGTATAACTAAGAGATTAACCCAGGTGCCAGATTACATTTTAGAGCAATGTGTCTCATTATGTACCCACCGTCTTCAGCTAGATAGACCACTGTGTCTTCACTAGAGTTGGGATATAAGGGTTCTTCCTCTAGGCCTGTTGGGATGTACACTGGCTCAGAATAAGGAGTCCAATCTGGAGAGAGAGAGAGACAGACAGACAGACACACACACATTACTTGAATATGTCAACAATAAAAAAGGAAAATTTTATCGGACATTTTAAAATTGTTCATTGATAGATCCAGGCCACGATTTGGAGTTTTGTGCAGGGCTAGATTTTTACCAAGGATTCATCAGCAGTAATAAGGAATACGGTCACACTGTATCAAAATTGGTAACATTTCACTTGCTCCTTGTTCTGTGTTATTGTGGTGAGTAGTTCATGATCATTTTGTGTCATTGTAGATTTTGTACTAAGGTTTCTGTTTCTCCGGGACATTTGATATCTTTCTGACCCACCTTTGGAAATCTTGCTCCACCTTTTATTCTCCCTTTCCCTGCATCTTCAGCATCTTGCCTGATAATGGTTGTCTCCTGAGCTTGTAAACATGCTCTAGTGTTTTCTGTCTCCCTGAAGACAGACTGTCCTTAGACTCTGCCTTCATCTTGAGCTATAGCAGCCTTCCTTTTCTTCATTATTGTTGGGACCAAGTTTCCTTCTTTCTTTTCTTTTTTTTTTTCTTAAAGGATAGGCTATGATGGTCGAATTTATGTCGCTTAAAAAAAATCAATGTGCAAGAGAAACTTCCATCAGGTGCCTCTTGCATGTCCACAAATGGGGACCCTGCCCACAACCAAGGCATGTGCCCTGAGTGGGAATCAAATCAAATCACAGGAAATCAAGCCTTTTGGTTTGCAGACTGGCACTCAATCCACTGAGCCGCACCAGCTGGGGCAGGCCCAAGTTTCTAAAAAGTTGTCTGAACCACACTCAAATGCATGGTCTATCTGGGACCATATTCTACCTGATTGGAAAAAATTACTTCACAGCCCAACTACCCTAGTTGTTCCCACTTTTTAATGGAACGAGGATCTGACTCATCATCTTATTTCTCTTTTATTATTGGCTTATGTGTGTCAGACTGTGTTTGGCCTTGGCAATGAATATACTCCTAGACAGGGAGCTAACCTTTGTAATCACAAACACAGTCATCAGAACAGTAAAAAAAAAAAAAAAAATTGGTGGTAATAAACAAATAGTGCTGCAAAAACACTTTGGGGATTATGTATACAGTTATTTTAGCAACATAAGCATACTTGACATAATTATTAGGAGCCAAATCTAGCTACAGAGAAAGCATAGATTAAATATTGATACCAAGAGGCATCGCTGGACATTGTCAGTAAACTGAACAACACACAACCAAACAAACTGGTAATAAACAATAAAGGAAGTTATAACTAAAAAGTCATCTTTATTAGGTGAAAACCTTAACCGACTCAAATCAAAAGTCATCCTGAACTGATAACATAGTACCGATTTTGAAATTTGGGCAATTTTAGCTATTTGCCTTGGTGTCTGCATATCATTAAAAGTTACAGGACAGCCAGACATCCCAGTTAAAGAAATGAGACTTCATTAATCTGTTAATGTTCTTCTTTAATTATTTAACAGCGAACAGTCCTTATACTAAGAAATAGGAGGCTCTAGTATTAGAACTGGAGAAAGGGTCAAGTTAGCAGCTTATCAAAGTACTCTTATGGGGGTAACTCTGATTTTCTGAAGTGGTGCCAAACCTCTCCAAAGAGGCAGCGTGATTTCACATTCCCACCGTCAGAGTATGAGGCTTCTGATGTCTCTACATTGGCATCAACATTCGCTCTCTGATTTTTATTCTAGTCATCACATTGGTGTAAAGTGCTATCTCATTGTGTTATTGATCTGCATTGATGTATACTAAAGATGCAACTAAAGATGTAGAATGTCTATTCATGTGTTTATTGGCCATGTTTATTTTCTTTGTAAAATGCTCATTTAGACCATTTACACTTTTTTAATTGTCTTTAAAATTTTTTAATTAATTAGTTTTTAGAGAGGGGAAGGGAGGGAGAAAGAGGAGAGGAACATTAATCAGTGGCCTCTGGTACTCACCCCAACGGGGACCAAACTTGCAACCTATGCAGGTGCCCCAAACCAGAGGCCTTTCACTTTGCAGGATGACACCCAGCCAACTAAGCCACGCTGGTCAGGGCAAGTTACATCTTTGAAAATTATAAGCAGTAAGAATTCCACATATTCTAGACATACATCCTTTTTATTGTTTTAAGAGTTCTCTGTAAGTCCTTCACCAGATAGTTTGCAAATATTTTTCTCCCATTCTGTGGGCTGTATTTTCACTTTCTTGATAGTTTTCTTTAAAACACAAAAGTTTTTAATTTGGGTGAAGTTTAACTGACCCATTTTTGTTGGCCGTTGCTTGTGTTTTTGGTGTTCTAGCTAAGAATCCATGGCCAAATTCAACGTCATTAAGATTTACTTCTGTTTTCTTTTAAGAGTTTGACCCATTTTAAGTTCATTTTTTATATGGTGTGAAGTAAAGGTCAAACTTCATCTACATTTCATGTAATTATTTATACAGTTGTTTCAGCACCATTTGTGGAAAAGACTATTTTTTCCTTGTTAAACAGACTTGCCCATTGGGTTGAAAATCAGCTGACTGCAAACACGTGGTTGATTTTTGAGCTTTCAGTTTGACCGATTGATCCATATTCTGACATTCATGGCAATACAGTGCTGTTTTGGTTATTGTTAGTTTGTAGTTTTAGAATTGGAAACAGTGAGTCTCAAATTGTTCTTTCTCAAGACTTTTTTTTTTTTGCATGTTATTCTAGGTTCCTCAAGTTTCCATATGAATTTTAGGATCAGTTTTTCAATTTCTACAAAGCAGGCAGTGTTCTGACAGAAATTGTACTGAATTGGCAGATTAATTTGGGGAGGAGTGCTATCATAACAATCATAAATTTTCTGATTCACAAACATTGGTACTTTCCTTTGAGATTTAAAAAATTTCCTTTCAACAATGTTTTATAGTTTTCAGAGTATGTTTTACATCTCTTTTCTTAAATGTATCCCTATAGTATTCTTTTTGATGTTACTGCATAATAAATGAAATTGTTTTAGTATTGTTCAATGTAAGTATATGGGAATATAAATAATTTTTAAAATGTTGATCTTTTATCTTTCAACCTTGCCAAATTCATTTACTAGCTCTAATAATTGTTTTCTGGTGGGTTGGTAAGGGTTTTCTATATACAAGATTATGTTATTGGTGAACAGAAATAGTTTCATTATTTTTCCTCTCTGATCTGGATGCTTTTTATTTCTTTTTCTTGCTTAATCACTGTGACTAGAAGCTCCATTGCCATGTTGTATAGAACAGGCAACAGTGAATATCCTTGTCTTGTTTTTCATCTTACAGGGAGAATACCCATTCTTTCACCATTAACTAAAATATTAGCTGTGAGATTTGATAGATGCTTTTCCTTATAATAAGGACTTTCCCTACTCTCTCTACGTTTTTTGGAAAAGGGGGTTGGATTTTTATTTTATTTTTGTTTTTTATTGTCTGATTGTATTTATAGAAAATGTCCAGGAAAAGCAAATCTACAGTGACAGAAAGCAGGTTAGTAATTTTACTGTTGGAGGACAGAATGAGGAATGATTGATTAATGGGTACAGGGTCTCTTTGGAGGGACAGTAAAAGGTCCTGATTTTAGATAGAGGTGATAGTTACACAACACAAAAAAGGTACTAAAGGCTGCTGAACTGTTCACTTTAAAATGTTTAATTTTATTCAACATAAATCTTACCTCATTTAAAAAAGTTGTGAGCAGCTAACTGAACAATAACTTTGAGTACCACATCACAGCTAATATTGTAAGACAGTTACTGAAAAAAACTTTATAAATGGTAAAATGTTCTACAGATATTAGATGTATATCAACTGCAACATGTAGGTAACTATGACAAATAAGTCACTTGTGATATGCATGTTACTACTGACACTTGTCATCTATGAGATGTATATTGATTTGAAATGTATGTCAATTATGATGCATCAGTTTCAGCACATACAAGCATGTTCACTGTGACAAACATGTAAATCCTGACACCTCAAACCTGACACGTGTCAATTCTGACACATTTATTGATTCCGACATGTCAGTTTGAGGCAAATGCTGGTTCTTGCACATGTCAATTCCAACACACATGTAAAAACAGATGTGTAGTAAGTTTGGCACAATTCTGAGATGTGTGCACATTCTGACACATGTAGATTTTGACACAGATGTTGACTCGGACTTGTGTCAACTCTGTCAATGCACTGACTTCAGCACATATTCTAATACATGACCGTTCAACACATGTTGACTGACACACATGCCATTTTTGACACGTTGACTGATGTGTGTGCACTGTGGCCCATACATATGTCAGTTGTGAGATGTGAGTGTGACAATGCAGCATTGCCAGCAGATGATCATGATCTCTCAGCTGCAGCGGTTTACAGAACCTAGCAGTGTCCCAGTCATTAATTTCACATGGCTGACTCATAAACACTGAGAGAGTAGGGTTCCTGTCACGTCAGCACTTGGTCAGTATGTGGTTTGCATATCTTTGGTTCTCAGGATTGAGAAGATTACTTCTTTAGTCATCAAACACCAAGGCCAGAACATCCAGGTTCCAGAAATTCTCAAAGCTTCAAGGTCAGTGATTCTCAACCAGGGGCAATTTTGCCCATGGGGGAGGGTGTTGGATTGTAAATAATGCTTTTTCTGTAGCTATTAAGAAGTGATTATACTTTTTGTTTTTTTCATTCTATTGGTATACTGTATTACATTATTTGATTTTATTACATCAATTACATTAATTGATTTTTGAATGCTAAACTAGCTTTTAATTTCTGGATAAATTCTCCTTGGTTATGATGTGAAATTCTTTCCATATGCTGATGGACTCAGCTGACAGTATTTAGTTGAGGAATTTTGCATTTACATTAATAAATATTTGGCCGTAGCTTTCTTGTGATTTCTGTCTGGCTTTGTATCCCGGGTAATACTGGTCTTGTCAAGTTTCTCCTCCTCTTCTGCTTTTTGGAAGAGTTTGTGAAGAACTGGTAGGAACTGTTTGATAGAATGTTCCAAACTTTAAGTGTTTGGTGGAATTCACCGATGAAGCTATCTGAGCTTGGGCTTTTCTTTGTAGGTGGCTTTTCTATGACTGATTCAATCCCTCTACTTATTGTGTATCTATTTATGTTTTCTGTTTCCTCTTGAGTCAGTTTCAGCAGTTTTGTCTTTCCAGGCATTTGCCCATTACATCAAAGCTATCTAACTCACATCCCTTATTAGCCTATACCTCGTTCTCATTTAATTTGATAATTAGATCTTCTTAGTTTTCTGGCACAGTCCTCCCAGGACAGTTACCCACATCTTCAAAATTCAGAATGCTCAAGCTTTTAAAAGTGTTCTCAATCATAGTCCTGTTTGTCCTGCACTTGAGTTATCTGCCATAAAGCTTGACGTACTTCTGGGTTCTCTTGCTCCACGGATCTACGAATACCCCACCACTAAGACCACAGGGCCCTGACTGCTGCAGCTACGTAAAAGGTCTGGATATCACATAGGCTGATCCCCCCCTCTTTATGCTGCTTTTCCAAGTTGTTCAGGCTATTCTCAGTTCCTTCATTTTTGCACACAAATTTTTGAACAATCTTGTCTCTACCTACAGAAAAAATTTTGATAGGAACTGCCTGGAACCTATCCATTTGGGGAGGACTGATACCATGAACATGGTATACTTCTTGATGTATTTAGATATTCCTTGATTTCTTTCATTAGCATTATGTAGTTTTAAGTACACAAGTCTTGTGCATGTTTGTTATTTTCATTTTTTAAGTGATTGTCATGGTCATAAATACTGTGGTGGTGGTTTGGACCACACAGATGTGTGCATTTGCTAAAATGCATTGATGGATACACTCAGATTCATGCATTGCAGGATGCAAAAGTTACCTCAAAAATACTGAAAGGAATAATAAACCAAGATTAAACTCTAGCTAATAATATGCATGCTGAAATGTAAGAATGCCTGAAACTTATTTTGAACTACATAAAAATTAAGATGGTCTGATGGACAGAGAGAGGGCACATACACAGTAACTTAAAAACGAGAAATAAGAGGTGGGTAATTTCAAAACTTATATATAAAACGTAACTGTCCTCTACAAAACAAGTTAGAAAATAACATGCAATAAAGATTCTATTTAAAATAGCAACAAAAGAAGATACCTAGCAATAAAACCTAGAAAAGGTGCAGGAAAAAATGTATAATTATACTAAGGAGAGTAAAGAAAATCTAGAATATATCATGACACATACCTTTCTCTTGGCTAGGAAGATGCAGTATTGTAAAGATGTCACTCTTGTTTTATCTATAAATGTAATGTGATCACAATAAAGTTACCAGTATTAATTCTGGGACAACGAGGAAAGCTTATTTTAAATTCCATACAGAAATACCCATAATAAGGCAAAATAAGCCAGTACAATAAGGCAAAATACAATAAGCCAAGAAATTGGAAACATCTTTAAACAAGGAATGTTGGGGAACTAAGTTTACCACATAACAAAATGTCTAGTTTTAAAGACGACGGCATTAAAGATTTTTGAGGCCCGGCCCAGTGGCTTGGCTGGTTGGAGCATCGTCCCACATACAGAAAAGTTGTGGGTTTGATCTCCAGTTGGGGTACATACGGGAGGCAACGAATTAATGTTTCTCTCACACATCAGCGTTTCTTTGTCTCTCTCCCTTCCTCTCTCTCTTAAAAATCAATAAACATATCCTTGGGTGAGGATAAAATTAATAAACACAAATTTTTTAAAAAGGTTTTTGAGCTACCATATGAATAGAGAGGTGAATGGAATGGAATAGAACAGAATTTAAAATTGCACCTTGGAACTTAGTGTATAAGAATTGTGGCATTTCTAATCAGTAGAAAACAAATTATTTAATAATTTTGTTGGAACAAATGGCTAGACAGTTAATGGAAGTGGACCGGGTCTCACTTCTTCCTTCAAAATGGATTACTGATAAAAAAATTTTAATCATAAAAAATACAACTTGAAAAGTTCTAAGACAAAAATGAGAATTTCAAAATCCATAAGCCATAGAAAAATGATAGACAGAGTGATTACATAAAAACAAAATTCTTCTACATGAGAAAGATAAAAGGTAAATGACAGAGAAAAAAGTACGCAACATACATGACATATTAAGCCAATCTCATAAACATATAGAGAGCACTTACAGATCAAGGAGAAAATCAAGAGGACAACCAACAGCAAAACAGCACAAAATTATATCAGACAGTTTACATAAAAAGTCAATAAATACATCTGTTTGTCACGTATACATCTTTTTTGGAAAGATGTCTATTCAAGTCCTTAGCACATGTTTTAATCTGGTTATTAGTTTGCTATTGAGTTGTAGAAATTCCTCAAATTTTAAATTAACTCCTTATCAGAAATATGGTTCGCAAATATTTTTTCCATTCCACAGGTTGTCTTTCACTACAGTATTTCCTTTGCTGTTGGAAGCATTTCAGTCTGATGTTGTTCCACCTGTTTTTGCTTTTGTCACCTCTGCTTTTGGTGTCATACCTGTATCATTGCCAAAAAAAAATGTCCTGAAGCTTTTCTCCTACGTTTTCTCTTGGAAGTTTTATTGTTTCAGGTTTTATGTTTAAGTCCTTAACACATTTTGAATTGATGTTTTTGCATGGTGTCAGACAAGGGTCTGATTTCATTCGTTTGCATGTGAATATTCAATTTTCTCAATATTTGTTGAAGAGACTATCCTTTCTCCATTTGTGTTCTTGGCACTCTTATCAAAGATCAGTTGAACATATATATGTGGATTTGTTTCTGGGCTCTCTATTCTGTTCATTGGCAGGTGTGTCTGTCTTTACGCCAGTACGATACTGTTTTGATTTCTGTAGCCATGTAATATGTTCTGAAACCAGGAAATGTGATGCCCTCGGCTTCGTTCTTCTTTCTCAAGATTGACTTGGCTATTTGTAGCCTTTTGTGGTTCCATCTGAATTTTACTGTTGTTTCTCTATTTCTGGAAAAAATGTCATTGGGATTTTGATAAGGATTGCATTGTCAACATCGCTGATCTTCAGTGAAATGTCACTGCAGTGAGATATCATCTCAGACCTGTCAGGGTGGCTATTCTTAAAAACAAAACAACACAAAACAAAACAAAGGAAAAATGTTAGCAGGGATGTGAACAAATTGGAATTGAGCCGAAATGTAAGTATGAAAGGACAACAGTTTTGAAAGACTTTGTATAAAAAGAAGAATGTAAAATATTTTGAATATATTTGGGTAAAATAAAAAAATATTTTTAAATCAATTTCACTTGTTTCTTTTTACCTTTTTAAATGTGGCTACTAGAAAATTTTAAATTATATATACAGGGTTGGCAAAAGTAGGTTTACAATTGTATGTGAAACACAGTTCATTCTTCTGTTATTATTTATTCATTAATGTATTATTTTCCATTCAAATAACTGTTAACCCACTTTGGCCCACCCCTGTGTGGCCCACTTTCTATTTCTGTTGGAATGACTATTCTAACACCCGGAGTCTTCTCATTACAATCAGGGTTGGTGCAGTAAGTTTAATAATCCATTTGAACCCCTGTAACTGCTAAGAACATACCAATGTGCTGGACTTTTTCATCGATGACCTCACAGTGGTACGGCCACCGTGTTGGGCTCAGTGGACCAGAGGAAGAGACACCAAATAAATCACGTGGTTCACGAAGACGAGGCACCCACTTCCCTCGCTGATATTCCAGTATAATCTGTGTAGTCCGCGGGAAAACTGAGTCACTGAGGGAATCAGCTGGAAGGAGATTCAAACACAGTCATAGTGTTAAGAAGCAAAACTCCGATTCTTATAATTTTTTATGTATTCTTTTTTCCTCAGATATCATTCATTTGTAAATATCTGTGAATATAATCATTTTATAATTCATGGCATTTAAAAAATAAAAGTACTAATGAAATTTTGTAACAACTGATCTCCATAATAGCTAAAAAACAGTTGTTGATCTCAAATAGCATTAATTTATGCTAAATTGTCACTGCTACTCCAAAAACATTTTGGACTTTGATAGGGATTGTATTTGTTTCTTGTGGCTTTTCTAGCAGGCTGTTTACCATGGAGTCCTCTTAAACTGAATCCCGCTGAGCTCAGTGAGCTCGGGCCGGGTAGCTCAGTTGGTTAGAGCATTGTTTCAGTGTGCTAAGGTTGCGGGTTTGATCCCCAATCAGGGCACATACGGGAATCAACTAATCAGTGAATAACTAGAGTGGAACAACAAATCAAGCAGTCTCTCTCTCTCTTCCTCCCTTCCTCTCTTTTAAAAATCAGTTAAAAACCCTCACAAAACTTAATCACACTGAGGCAGCTATGTGTCTAATAGATTAAATATACCCACTGATCATATTTCCTCACCACCGACTGGAACTAAGTTCTCAAAGGCTGTCACTGAACTCCCAGGCACTGCTGCCTCTCAGTTCTCATTCTCGGGCCACCGTGTGACACGACCCTGGGAACGTAATTCACAAGGACTACAACGGGGTTGTCCCCAAGTGGGCAGCACAGAGGCTGTCTCTCTCTCAACAGGATAACTGGGGCATCAACTTGACAATCACCCTTCCTTAAGCTCATTTCCCTTGTCTCTCATGCTGCTACATGTCCTGGGTTTCAACCTTTCACATTCTTGGTTCCATTTGTCTCACCAAGTCCTCTTGCTCTTCTGCCTCCAAAGTGTGGCTTTTTACCTAGATTTAGTTCTGGGCTATTTTTGTGCAACAGCAGATGCAGCAATTGGACTTGGGGTCAGACAAGCTGAGTTCATGTAGAAGCAAGCAGACAAACTTGCTTCTACATGACTGTGGTTGGCCAATGCAGCCTCTTTAAACATAAATCTTACTTCTTATAAACAAGGAATATTACCTTCCATGGCTACTTCTTGAGATTGTTACACAAATCCATTTATTCCACAGTCATTAAACATCCAGTGTTCCATTATGTGAATAGACCACACTTTGTCTAATTTACAGTATGACTCAAAAATGGCAAGGCAGCTATTTATGATTTAGGAAATAAAATTAGATCCACACCTCATACTATTTGTAAGTGCAGATTATAGAGAAATTAAATACCAAAATTCAAACAAGTATATAAAAGTATTTCAAGAAAATTTTGATAATTCTATTGATGATTTTGGAGTAGGGGCTTTTGTAGCTTACACAGATATAAAAATAAAAAGCCACAAATGAATAATGATAAAACCACATCAAACTAGTTTCAAGCAATGTAAACAAAGTTAAGAAAGAATTACTATAACAGAGCCATAACACAAGGGAATATAAATAGACAAGCATATGAAACAATTCTCAATTTCTTTCGCAATCAGGGAAATGTTGTTAGTTAAAATAGTGAGTTACCTTCTTTTTTCCAACAGACTGGAAAAGTTTTAAAAAGAAAAAAAGGGGCAAAAGGAAGTACACCAGATAGTACTACAAGTTTTCTATGAGTATGATTATAGATCCGTGTAGGAATGCAAAGAAAAATTCTAGAAGGATGAACACCAAATAGAGAATAGTGGTTATCTCAACAGTGAAGATTCACTTTAGGATGGAGGTGAAAAAGACAAAATGATAAAAAATAAAGGTCTTATCTTCAATTTCAAAATATCTGTGATACGTGCATATTTAGAAGCAATATTTTAGGGTGTATTTGAAAGTACAACTCTAAATGTATAAATTTAAAAAATCAAGTCTACATGGACAAAAACTAAGGGGGATGGAAATGGGAGGGAGGTGGGGAGCACTGGGGGGGTGGGCTGGGATGGGAGTAAAAGACAGAAAACTGTACCTGATCAATATTTTTTTTAAAAAATCCTAAAAAAAAGATGCCCATATATATATATATATATATATATATATATATATATATATATATATATATATTTGCAAATGAATGACTTTAGGAAAAGTCATTCAGGCATACTTCATTTAAGGCATACTTCATTTAAATAAACATGCAGTTCCAAAACACTGTATCCATTACAACGCCAGTCATGTTGTAAACGCATTTAAAGAGTTGCTTATTTAGAGTGGAGTTGTGTAAGTTCTTTGCATATTTTGGAGATTAAACCTTTGTCTGAGGTATCATTTGCAAATATGTTTTCCCATACAGTTGGTTGTCTTGCTAATTTAATACTGTTTTCTTTAGCCACGTTACAATAGCCAAGTGTTGGAAGCAACCTAGGTGCCCATCAGTAAATGAATGGATCAAAAAATTGTGGTACATATACACAATGGAATTGTATGCAGCAGAGAGAAAGAAGGAGTTCCTACTACCCTTTGCAACAACATGGATGGAACTGGAAAGCATTATGCTGAGTGAAATAGGCCAGATGTTGAAAGACAAATACCATATGATCTCACCTTTAACAGGAAGCTAAACAATAAAACAAACAAGCAAGAAGAAAAAAACAAAAAACAAAGACACTGAAATAGAGAACAAGAGGACAGTGACCAGAGGGGAGAGGGAAGGGAAGTTAAGGGGAAAAAGGGGGAGGGATTTGGAGGAACAAATAGGAAGGACACAGGGATGAGAACTAAGGGGGGGTGGAAATGGGAGGGAGGTGGGGAGCAAGGGGCGGGGGAGGCTGGGATGGGAGAAATAGACAAAAAAACTGTACTTGAAAAATAACTAAATAAAATTAAAAAAATAATAATAATAAAGAGTTGCTTATTTAAAGAACCGTCAAGGTAAATTCTTATGTTAAGTCCTTTATCAAGTATTAACCATTTTCATTTAGTTTCATTAAAAATTAGGTTTATCTAAAACAAACTTTAAAAGTTTTAACTCCAAAAGATTTTTATAAAAATGAACACATTCCTCTCTCCTTATTTGGTAACAGAATAAGTCCCTAAATTATGCAATCTGACTTTTTTCTAGTTTCCTCATCTTGTTATTTTTCATCCACTCAAGGCAATAATGCAAAGACACATGGATGTGGAAACACATGTGTAAATTCAAACCTGTTAGAACTGTGCTCTGCTGGAGTTTATCACTTGCAAACTTCATAAAGGTATCCTCATCCTACAAGAGAGTTTTAGAGGATTTCTTTTAAAAACCAGCAACTTCCAAATCCAGAATTCTTTTTATATCTAGGTTGTACTCAGAATTGAGTGCATGTGTTTACTATTTAATGAAAGAAAATTACAGAATTATTATGGGCTCCTGTTCTCAAAGCACCCAACACTCCAAATATCCTGAAACCTGAAAGTTTTCATCTCTCATTCCTTTTCTTTCCTCTTCACATTAATGACTGAAGGGAAGAAATAAAGTTTCAAGATTCTCGGTAAACTTGGCAAAACCACTTAAATTAGTAAAAATTAACAATAACAACAAAGAACAAGAAAGAAAAGAGACACGGAATGCTAGACTTAAAAGGTTATACATCATTCTGGGGAGTTTATTTTGGGACCTTAACTTACACACATGGTAATTGACACTGTACTAAAATGTGAAGAAAATATCTCATAAATATTACTAGAATCAGACAAAATATTTTTAAGTACTGCAGAATTTTTGTGTTGTCCCCCGCCTGCTTTTCTTCCTCCACGTCCTTTGCTTTGTTACATCACAGCCACATTAAGACTATTATGGAGCTACACAGTAGGTTTAAAACACAGGGAGGTTCCAGTATCATACAATGATGAACACAGTAGAATCAGTACACATGAGAAAGTGGACAGGAATTATGAAACACCCTAATAATGACTTAATACACATACTTTAATACAGCTCAGAAGAATCCTACCCAATTTCTTTTCTCATAAAAATACTATCACTATAGGGCATACAGCATACAGTGATATCTTGGCTTTCAATCAAGTTATTTCCCAACTTCAATGACAATCAACTGACTGATTCTGACATTCAACTGACTTTATAATACTTTTCCTGGGAATCTCTGTAACACAAGTTTTATCTCAAATGAAGTAAAACAAAGTTGAGGAAAACATACAGAATCATCTTCGCTGCTGGTTCTGTCCGAATAGTCTTCCTCTTCTGAATCTTCTAAGGGCATCATTTCAGTATTTGGCTCGAAATTTCTTTTATTATGTAGGCAGGCTGTAAAACAATTTCTAAGGAATTTATTGACAATTTTCTTTTTAAATTTAAAGAGTTCAAATTACATTAAATGTGTAACCAGAATATATTCAATTGTATTTAATTGACAACAGGCTTATTTTAAAAATTAAGTTATTAGGAGACAGCTACATAAACCTTCAATTTTAAAGATTGGAAAAAAATTTTCATTGCTATGAGACCAAATCACAATAAAAGACAAATCAAGTAAATAATTTAATTGAAAAAAGAATTAATAGGGTAGACAGCCAAATGACTTATACCCTGTATTTACAATTAAATACCAGAGAACAATAACAAGTTCAGAATCATCAAAAAAAATTGTAGCTACGCCCTGGCTGGTGTAGCTCAGTGGACTGCGAACCAGAGCATCGCGGTTCGACTCCCAGTCAGGGCACATGCCTGGGTTACAGGCCAGTTCCCAGCAGGGGACCCACAAGATGCAACCATACATTGATATTCTCTCCCTCTCTCCTTCCCTTCCCCTTTAAAGATAAATAAATAAAATCTTTAAAAAAAAAATCATAGCTACTTGTTCAGGCAGTCAATTGTGGCAATAGAGAAAATGTATCTTCTGCTAAATTTTCAATGGACCAACAAACAGTTCAAATGCCAACAACGGACTTTTCACATTTTGATTAACATTCTGTAGATACTGTCTCTACAGAGTTCTAATAATCAGTTATATTTGTCCCACTGAAATCCCAGTGGCTCTCAGAAGGTTGTATTGGTGATGACTATTATCCCTCTTGTTGTAAGTACCCTCCCAAGTATGTTTTACTAAGACAATGAAATAATAGAAAGATTCTATTATTTTTGAGACCAAAGGAATTCACCGGTTTCCAGTCTATTTGTTCAGGCTCCTCTCTACAAAAAAACCCATGTTTTGGAACAAGACTATATACAAAAAGTCCAAGTTCCATAGCAAATAACTACAAATGCAACAGATAGGTATGTTTTTTTAGGACCTTCAGTACTAAGAGACTGAAGTTTCAGCCTGGGGATGTCACAGTTCCAAATTTGGGAAAGTGGGGCATAAATCTTGATTCTATTTCCTTACATGGGCCTATGAGGTACACCAAAGTAAGACAGGACAAGGATCTTATTGTCTGGGTGGTTCTTACTAAATGATGTTCTTGCTAAATGTTAAACTACAGGTATAGTATCTGCAGACACAGCTGTAACTTGATGAGCCTAACTGGAACCCAACCAAATACGCTAAGCGAATCAATCACAAAGAAGAAATCAACATGTAATTAACCAAATAGTGTATATAAGGATGGCTAAGCCTTCCTGTGGGGAGACAGAGCTTTGAATGTGAATTCCTTTACTGGCTATAACTAATACAACTACCTAGCGACAACCACACCTCTTTTTTGAGTAGAACACCCCAAGCAGCCAACTGGTTGAGTAGGGTAACACCGACTGTGCTGACCTGAGCTTCAGGTGGGCCACACACTGCTTTTCTAGTGGGCACCCTGCGTGTATCTTCCACGGCTGAAGCAGAAGAGGCGAAAGCAGGCGCCTCCACGCGCAGCCACGCCAGGCCAGGTGTGCGAGAACGCGCGATGACTTTCTTGGTGGGAAGGACGATTAAGCCACAATTCGTGTTGTCAAAAGTGTTCCTCCCACGCTCACGTCTGGTCACGGCAGTGTGGGTAGCTCATTTTCCCCGGCAGGTCTGTCCACGTGCGCTCGTTCGCCGCACGGGGCGCCCCGCCTGTGGCTTCCTTTCCTTCAGAATCGCACACGTCACTGTCCGGCCTCCCCCAGGCCCCCGCGTTCCTCTGGCCCAGCCATAGTAACCTTTCCCTTGCCCCATAATTAAGGTTCAGTTTAGCAGCCAGAGCCACGCCCTTCACGGGGAGGCAAAGCCGCTCGTTACCAGGGCGACGGGACCACCATCGCGAGACTTCAGACAGCCCTCGGGAATCATCTCCGGTTTGCGAATTGAGAGCTAGCCTTCGCGGGATTTCGGCCAAAGGAGGGGAGACCCTGAGATGCCAGGACCTGGAGGCAGGGGCAGTGTCGAGCTGGGAAGAAGTGGACCCACAGGGTAGGGTGAGGCTAGCAGGAAATTTAGGAGGGACACTGATCTATTTCTGGGTTCTGCACGACGGTGGTTTGCCCTGGCCCTTCTCTGACCGAGGAGGCTGTAGAGCAAGCACACTGGTTAAGACTGGCACTTTGCTGGTCTTTATTACTACCCCACGCGGAGTTGCGTTCTGGCACAGTTGTGTGGCTAATGATCTTTATTTGATTCATACATGAAAACTTTTCTCTTAAAATACTTGATACAGGAGTCCTAGGTTTGCTGGGGTGGCCTCTCAAGGTTCTTATCAGCTCAGAGATCCTTTAAATATCATAATCGTTAGGTAACATTGAGCATAGATCTGGCACTAGGCAAATTGGTTCACATGTAATGCCTCATCTAATTAATTATGATCTTCCCCTAACAGATTGAGACATTATTCCTGTACATCCTGACTTGATTTTCTCCTGATCTTTAGCTCTGGTGGATAATGGAATAAATTTGGAACAGTTGTCAAAGTAATATTGGTTGGGTGAAAAAATCTAGATGTTTGGTTCCTACCCGGGCATTATGTGCCCTGAGACTTGTAATACTGTAGACATGGAGATAAGGAATTATAGCAAGTTTTAACGTAGAATAAAGGGCAAAGCACTTTGGCTTAAGCATAGAAGTAGATCATTATCTTTAGATTTTGTAAGTTTCTGAAAAATAACAGGTTTGTTTTTTATATCGAGATTAGCAATTTAGAAGTTTGGACCTTCCAGAAAAAGAAACAGAGCAAGTATATGTTACATAAAGCTCCCTTGAAAAATAGTTACCCTTTACAATTATTGTATCTTGTTTTATGCCCTGAATATGTTTCTGAAGGTGAAATGCACAGAGAATTTTTATATATAAAATCTATTTTCCTGTTAGATTTTAGAGCCATGGTTGTGAGCTACAGGACGTCAGGTATACAGTGTGAAGCTTCAAGAAATAACATAAATTAATAGCAGAGGGGGGATTTAAGTCCCATGACTTTTAGTCCAAATATTTAAATGATCATATTTCAAGTAATCCTCTAGAAAAAATATTTTAGTGTCCAGATACTTAGAAATTTTTAAAAACTTGGAAAATCATATTTTTAAAATTAATTCAACAAGTATTTATCAAATGCCTACTACTTGTCAAGGACTGTTCCAAATATAGGCGATTGCATGGCTATATACAATTGAGAGAAGACAGACAAACCAGTGGAAAACAGACATTCAGGTGAGGATAACTGCTATGGAGAGAGAAAGCAGGAAAAATAAGAGCATGAGGAATGACCTGGGTAGATGGGCCTTGGCAGACATGTCCAACCCACATCCCATTGACTGCATGAGGCCCAACACAAAATCGTAAATTTACTTAAAACATTATGAGATTCTTTTTTGTGATTACATGTTGCAATGTATTGAATGTGTGGCCCAAGACAAATCTTCTTCTTCCAGTGTGGCCCAGAGATGGCCATAAGGTTGGATACCCCTGGTAGGAGTAGCTCTTTTGATGGGGTGTGCAGGGAAGCTTCTCTGACCACGAGGCCTTTGAGCAGAGACTGAAGTAAGTAAAGGGAAGAGCTACGTGCCTGTCTAGGGGGAGACCTAGCCAGGCAGAGGCAACAGCAAATATTGTACAAAAGCTTCAAGAGAAAACCAGGGTCATGAATTGTACTAGGCAGTACTGTTCAGCCTGAGCCAAGTATCATTTTAAGGAAAGAGATTTCATTAGGACTTTTATTCCTTCCCCAGATAAATTAAACATGGTTTCGTTAAGTAGCTTCTTCTATTTCTTCCTTTTAATTTACTTTCCTATTACAGATAGTGGTATGTAGTAGAGACGAAATTCTTTGCATTTAGGGTCCAGTGGAGGTGACAAGAACTTGCTGTCAGTCTGACTGTTCTTCCCCATGATCTTAGCGGAGAAGGTTACTGGACCTACTCCTTATACAGCCAGCTTCTACCTTTGGGAGGCAGCTTTACCCCTACAGCAACGTGTCCTCTAATTTTTGGTGAATATTTACTGCAAGCCTACAGTATATAAAAGGAATATAATAAGAGTAAGAAAAGAGGAAAAGAAACAAGACTCCAAAAGGCACAATGATTAGTGTGGGAATCAGAAGGAAAATTCGCTTTGTCAACACAAGCAAATGTAAAGTTGTGTGGTATAATTATGTCATTTTGAATTTATTGACCAGAGACAAAGGGGAACGTGAAGTGACTAGGGCAGAGTTATTTATGACATCACAGAAGTTAGTGGCTATGTGGCTACAGAGGTCATGTTCTAATTTGGCTAAGTAAGCCACACTAGGTCCTGGAAGCCCTGGGGTCCTCCGTATAGTACCCATCTCGGCCTTTCTCAGACTGTCTGGGTCTAGAACGCCCCAGTGTAGCGCTGAACCTCACAAAATGTTTCCAAGCTCAACTCATGAGGTGTTTCCCAGCCAGTCAGCTAACCCAGCCTCAGATCAAAGGTCATCCCCACAATGAAGTCTTTCCTAATCCCTCTATAATTGGTAGAATTAGTTTGGAGACTGTGTCAAAATTTGGGGACCATCAGGAAACATCGCTCTCCTAAACACTTGGAAATGAGGTAGTAAAAATATCCCCTGCTTGCTCTACAAAAAACAGATAGGGTAAATCACCTGAAACAAGAAAGACTAGTTTCCAGGGTTAAGTTTCATGACAAAAAACACAAAATGGCCCTTTTTTACCCCCTCCCAGTAACTGCTCCTAAATATTCCTTTCCACACAGGACATGTTGTCCAGATTCTGTAAATTTTCAGTCACATTTAGCGACTAAAACAGTTTCATTTTGGTATGTAAGATTTCATTCTGGGATTTGGTATTAAGTACAATTTAAACTTCCATTTCAAATTGAATTCAATTGCCCTCCTTCTTCCAGGTCCCCAGCTCTAGTGGCTGGGGAAGTGGGAGGGAGCTGGTGTTTTGCTATTTATATCCAGCTCCTTTTGTGTGTGTGTGCAGGGACCAGTTCCTTGTCTCAGGATGAGCAGGGGTTGGGGAGGAAAAAGGCAAGTATCTCCTTAACTGGGCCAAGTTGAAGTGTACAGTGTTGGCCTTAAGCGCTATTCTTGCTCTTTGTGGGCTTCCAGGGGTTAGAGGGCAGGGGTGTGGGCTCAGGAGCTAATTGCCTTAGGTCAGATGTTCTGCCACTTAGTAGCCATGTAACCTTGAGCAAGCTTTTGAACTTCTCTGAGCTGCCACTTACTTACATGTAAAGTGGGAATAACACGGTAGAACCTATCGTGGAGGGTTGTCGTGAGGATTACAGGAGTGAGTATCATATAAAGGGCCTGGGACTTGGTAGGGGCCCAATAAAGGTTAGCTGTCATTTCCATTTGACTAGCTGACATCCAGTTGGTGACAATGACACCACATAAGCCTGATGGCTAAAGTCACGCTGACCCAGGTTGAAAGCTAGTTGGGGAGCTAATCTTGTGTTCTGTATGACTTACAGCTCTTTTGCATACTTTTTATATTAGTACCTTCAGTAAGAGATTATTGGTTGAAAGTTGTTTTTTTTTTTTTTAAATCTCAGTAGAAATGATCAGTTTGGAGTCCTAAAACCCATTTTAATGAAACTTCTTTGGGGAAAAATGTCCAGAGAACAAAAGCTGACATCAGTAAAAGCCTCGCCTAAACGCTGCTGTCGAGAGCTGTATCACTGTCCAGTAAGAGGCCAGCAGTCTGGACAGAGCTGAGATGCAGGGCTGAGTGGACACAGGAATTATAAATGTAGGAATGAGAATGTCATGAAACAAATGAATCTCTCAATCTCTAAGAACCCTACAGACACGGACAGCAGTACACCTAGCAGTTGATAAACTGGGTTGCTCAGGAAATCATCTTATGACTTACCAAGCACCACCACGGGTAGGGCACTGGGTATGCCTCCAAGGCTACAAAAGAATATAAGTCAGATATTTTTTCCCTGATCACCCCCAAATTTCTCTCCACCTTCTAAGCACTGAATTATGTGTTACATAATTCTTTGACAATTATATACTAAAACCTTGTGATATTTCATCTCTTAAATTCTTGAATTGCAAAAGAACCTATGTACCCTAATGTTCGCAGCAGCACCATTTACAATAGCCAAGTGCTGGAAGCAACCTAAGTGCCCATCAGTAAATGAGTGCATCAAAAAACCACGGTACATTTATACAGTGGAATCCTATGCAGCAAAAAGAACGGAGTTCCTACCCTTTGTGACAGCACGGCTGGAACTGGAGAGCATTATGCTAAGTGAAATAAGCCAGGGGGTGGAAGACAAATACCATATGATCTCACCTTTAACAGGAACCTAATCAACATAATGAATAAGCAAGCAAAATATAACCAAAGACACTGAAATTGAGAGCAGGTTGACAGTGACCAAAGGGGCGAGGGGAGGGGATTACAGGGGAAAAGGGTGAAGGGTTTGCAGGAACAATTATAAAGGATACATGGACAATAATGAGGGGGGGTGGAAACCAGTGAGGGAGGTGGGGAGGGCTGGAGTGGTGGGGGAAAAGGCAGAAAACTGTACTCGAACAATAAAAAAATTCTTGAATTGTTACTCAATATTTTGTAACTTTCTCTATTATTTATAGTTTACCTCCCCACTAGAATAATGCAGTCATCCCCCAGAGCGAAGGCAGGAGGAAATCTTTACAAAGACCAGATTCCTTCAAGCTCATCCTTACATGCAGGAAGCAGCTGTTTGGACAGTTGAAGATTTTTTTTGTTCTCTACTCCCACTGGGTTGCTAAAAGTCCTGCCTGGCCTCTCTCTCAGCTGCCTCTTGTAATCAGCATGTACTTGGAAGCCTAAGAAATTCCAGCCTCAGAGGCAAGAGGGAGAAAACAACAGGTGGCCCAGAACCAGGGTGCTACTGAAATGCACACACATCAGTAATTGCATCAAATATAAAAGGACTAAATACTCCAGTTAAAGCTCAGAGATAATCAGACGGGATGAAAACCCAAACTCAAACCACACGGTTTTCAAAGACTTGGATTAACAACTAAAGGAGGTACAAGGGTCAAAAGTAAAGGGGTGGAAAGTTATGCTGTGCAAGTGTTAACTAAAAGGGTAGCAAACCTTAGGGCAAAAACCTTTGCTATAATATTCACTTCAGACTGATAAAATATTTAATTCGCTGGGAATCTATATGATGATTCTAGATTTGTTACCTAAAACATGGCCTTAAAATATGGGAAACAAAAATAACCAACTTATGAGGAAAAACAGACATCCATATTCATAGTGGGAGATTTTTACCTTCTTTTTCTTTTCAGTAATAGAACAAAACAAAAAAAAATCAGGAAGGATACAGAATGTTTAGACAACATGGATAATAAGCTTGACACAAATAGACACAGGACTCAAATTAAGACCTCACTAGTTCTTCATTTGTGGAAGAACACCTATTTAGGGTCAGGAGATCTTTTTTTATCTGTGTTTCCATCTGGGGCAAATGTGCAAGCAAGGATAGGGACACACCTCCGCTACACCTGTCTCTATACCCACCAGACACTGTGTTTACACCCTGAGTGCACATTGGAACATTATTTTTCCTCCCTCTCTAACCCCGTCATCTTGGTATCGATACTACAGACTGTATTCTTTCCATCGCCTAATTTTGCGAATGGCCTTTGATGCCAACTATCATTGTCTCAACTTAGTGCCATCGCCCTTCTTGTCAGGACATAAGGGCAAGAAGGACTAATTCTCCTTTAAGGCACAGTAACTTAGTGCGGGATTTACAGACTGCTCAGGAGCTCCGGGCTCACCATTTAAAACCTTTATGAGAAGAATCTCAGAGTTCAGACCAGGCAGTGCTACATAAATACGCAAAATTACTATGAAGAAACACTCTTGGACTTAAATGTAATCGCTACTGCCTTGCCACTAGTAAGTATTCTGCAAACAAATGCATATACTAAATGGGTATTTCTTCCGTAGAAAAAAACCACCTTTGGGGAAACAGTCCTGCCACCGTAGTAGCAAGAAGGGCAGTGCACGGCAACACTGGGAATGAGGGGGGACAGAGGGACATTTCATAATTTTTTTAAAGAATTTCTAAAACCCTCCTTTTCAACCTTTTTCATACATGCTTGGTCAGTTGTCCATACCAAATCAATTTTCAATATTTTGTTAGAAAATTGCCTGTAATAAAACAATTTTAAAAGATACAAAATGGCTTTTCTTCTTTAAAGAATGGAACCAAGACTCAAATCTGAAATATGCATTTTGCTACGCTGTCGTCTTTATTACAACAAATATAACACTGATAACCAGTATAGTACATAAAAACAAGCGAGGCAATGACATTTGGAGGAATTCCATTTATTGTGGATGCATTTTCACAATATATATTTATTGCAGCGATCAATTATCAGTGAAAAATATCAAGTGTTGATAAAATTTTCAGGAATGGCAGATTCACAGAACATGCTAGTCACTTTGCACTTTTACCTCTTAAAGATAACTGTAATCAAACCAATAAACACGGGCTTCATTTTTTCAAAAGATTAAATCCAAAACGGAACAAAATTCTACCCTAAAACTTATTCCATCTGAACCCTGGAATAAAAGTCAGGATCGATATATTCTCTTCTCATCTCAACGTTAGACTTTTGAGAAAAAAAATACATAATAGTGATCAGGAGAAGCTCTTGTTCAAAAGTACAACGAAGCAAATGCTGCATCAACATGGGCCTCCATTCAAACTTTGGTCCATTTCACTCCAGTGATGGGAGGCGATGCTCACCCAGACACTACAGGTGGATTCTAGTTTACGTTCTCATAGAGTCCTATCTATCCTGTCTTGGTGGCTTTCCTTCCTTTGGCCCAGGTGTGCAAAAAGCTAGAGAATTCAACTACTCTTGACTGATTTTTGAGGAAAATAGACTTTGCCAGGCAGTGGTCCTGGCTCATGCCAGCCCTGCCCTGGCTAGCTCTTCTAGAGGAAGACTGTAGATTAGAAGACAGTCATGTGGGAGGCTCCCTCATTCTGGTAGGAATGGAGGCTAGGACACTTTTGGTTAAGTCAAACGAGGTATAAGTTTACGGAACTACCCTATATATCACTATGCTAGAACACATTGCCAAGACATTGGAGAGCTCTCTTACCATCATCGTGAGGACCAGAGGGACACTTCCTGACATGCTAAAATAAGAGCCGATGTTGGGCAGCATGTGTAAACAAGAAAAGTCAATACAGATTCTTGGGGAAAATGGTACACCTAGTGCAAATTATATATATTTTTGGAAAGTTCAGCGTATGATCAACTTATGGTTGATAAGTACCAATGACTAAGAATAAAAGTAGAAACATTTCAGTTAAAAAATGGTTCAGTATATTAAAGATAGAAGGACTATCATGACTTCTAAGTATGGATTTTGCTTACTTTTCTTCTTTGCTTGCAGACATTAGCCATAGTTGGTCTTTTGTGCCCATAAATGGAATTTCAGTCCGTACAATCTTGTCGCTGAAATTCTCAGCTTTCGATTTTAGTTGAGGAAGAGACCTCAGGTATCATGCAGGCCACCCTGTTGGGAACTTGATTGTTAACAGAAGAAAGTTCTCAGCGAGCTTTCTGTTTGACCCAGATGGCAGACTGGGTAAAATTCACACTGGGCTTCAAGATTGCTTTTAATTATAAGCTAAATACTATGTTTTATAGAAAATATCCATTCATTTTGACATTTCAAATCTCTCCTTTTTTCTACAGGTTGTCTACAGGGCCTTGAACACACATCGAGACCCATTCCGCCATGTCTCTACTGGCAAATATGAATATTAATATATTGTGATTTTTAATTTTTTGAAAAGCTGTGATGTTGGCTAGTTACAAGGACAGGCTGCTAAATATAATAGCCTAGCACATGAGAAAGCTTTCTACCGTTCGTGTGTTTGTATAGGGATGCACATACATACATGAACAAGCCACCTAAAATGTGGTTGACTATCACTACCAAAGAAATCCACAAAGCAACCAACCTAAAGATATGGGTACCACTGTCTTCTAGCATCATCATCCAACATAGATATGCATGAGCATGAAAAAAGGAATACCTTAACAGTACATTGAAAAGAAAAATCATTATTGCAGTATCTCAAATCTGCAATGGGTTACTTTCAGAATGTGTTATGATTGCCTACTACGATGATTTTTTCCATGCTTTATTCTAAAGTGCAGAAACAACACGACTTCTGTATTGAAAATGGAAAACAACAATGACAAAGCACACTATGGTTTGTTTTTTTCTGGCTACTGCACACCCTCGGGCAATTTCCCACATGCACCTCCTTTGGTCTGCGCTCCGATGTGTTGGCGTCGCTGTTCCGGGCTACGATGCTCAGTAGGAAAGTCTCTATTTCACAGCATGGGTTTCTTCAGAAACAGGCTCCTGTGCAAAGGCAGTACTTTTACCACGAACTTCTCTAGACTGTGATTATTAAATAGAGTGATAATATACATGGCTTTACTGGGATTATGAGAAATAAAACAAAAGGAAATTAACCCAAATTTAGTAAATCAACATAAATATAACACAGAGCAGGTCAGCCCTCTGCAACTGGGCGGGTCCAGCCTCTGAAGGGGCTACTCTGGCTGCTTTCTTGAACTGTCTCAAACCTGCGAAGAGAAGACAGCTTTCAATCGGCAGGTCTAGCAAGATGTTTTGTGTCAGAAGAAGAAAAAAGGAATTGTAATATGCAGGAATAAGTATTTACGAAAAGGAGGGTTTTGTGGGCATTCTCTTTTTTGTGTTTCTTCTGTTAATTATTTTTTTTTTTTACTTTTTCCCTCCTTTCCTCCCTCCCTCCCCCCTTCTTTTCTTCCTTCTTTATATTCTCTTTCGTCTATCTTGATCTTTAACCTTGCTCAGGGCATTCGGAATAATTTCTTTTCAAATTCCTACGTAATGGCCAGGAATCTGCAGTGTCCATTCAAAACAGGCACATGTGATAGAATGACTCAGTCTCCACCATGTCAAGGTCTGGTGGCGAAGTGCAATATGCTTACCCATAGTTTCCTTCTGTTCTTCATTTCTCCCCTCCTGTTCTTGTACCCCTACCCTTGAATCTGATCTGACTCACAGTCTTATTTGTATGTCATTCCTTTTTTTAAAGATTTTTTTTCATGTTTAGAGAGAGGGGAACAGAAAGAAACATCAATGTGTGGTTGCCTCTCATGCGTCTTGTACTGGGGACCTGGCCCACAACCCACCTGGGCATGTGCCCTGACTGGGAATTGAACCAGCGACCCTTTGGTTTGCAGCCCACACTCAATCCACTGAGCTACACCAGCCTGGGCTGTATGCCATTTCTTTTCCCCAGCTAGCTGCTAAAAATCCTTGCTGAGGTATTTACATGTACTGTAGTACACTCATCCCTCAGTATCTTAGGGGGATACTGAGGACCCCCCTGGACACAAAAATCCATGGACACTCAAGTCCCTTACAGAGAAGGGCATAGTATTTGCATATAACCTGTATTCTTCTAATCATCTCTAGATTACTTATATAAATGCTATATAAGTAGTTGTTACACTGCATTGTCTTTAGGGAATAATGATAAGGCAAAAAGCCCATCCACGTTCAGTACGGATGCAGCCACCGCGGGTCTAACTACACAGTACATGTCAGCAACAGTGTCGCTTTTTTCAAATACTTTCAATCCATGATCCCCTGAATCTGCCAGTGCAGAAACTGAGGATACGGAGGGCCCAATGCTGTATTGTGAATCTGCATTTTCAAATGTGTCGTGTGTTTTCATTTCAAATGAGTGACTGCATGACGCATGGTGAGTTTGACATTTTGGAGCAAAGGAGCTACCTGCTTTGCCACCCCATAAACTCAGCTCTGGGCCTGGTGCTTATACTATTATTACCATAGAGAGAGTTTCATGGGACAGACGTGTATGTGAAGACGGCCCCCCTGTCACCTTTCACTCACCCTGTCACCTTTCCGCCTTGTACCACCCTGTTGCACAATCCTGCCGTGGTGTTGTGTGTGAGTGCTGCTGTCTGAGTCCTACCAGTTCAGATCATATCTTTACTCTACCTCCTAGAACCCTGGTGCAGGAGAATGGGGTCCAGAGGGGTCCCGTCATGCCTGTGATGATGGGCTATGGACAGCTGACTTCCCCTAGTCCAGAAGGAGACTACAAACATTTGGATTGCCATTTCTGAAAGGTCAGAGTTGTATGCTAGAGGGGTCAGAATGGCTTAGGCCAGCAAAAGTTCATCCTTTGTTTAAAAAACAAAAACAAAAATCAAACTAAAGAATAACTACCCTATTCCCTTCCACCAGGATGAAATTATACACGGAACTTTGAAGCCATATATTTTCTACAGACTGTGCAACTCTCAAAAGAGAGCAGAATGTGTAATGGTTATGAATGTAGGCTCCGATCAGACTGCCTGGGTGTCAAATCAGGCTTTGCTGTTTATTTGCTGTGTGACGTTGGGAAAGTTACTTAACCTCTCTGGGCCTTATCTGCCTCGGCTCTAAATGGGGATAATAATAATACTTCACATGGTGGTAAGAGGGTCAAATGAGATAATGCAGGTTAAGAAGGTAGAGTAGCACCCTGCATGTAGTAGATGCTCAATAAATGTCAGTGGTTTGTAGTGGTGAAAATTATTACTAGGTACTATAGCAATGACTTTGAAACCTGAACTTATTTACAAGTCACTTTAAGCGGACAGGCTGGGCTAGTGGACTTTCTTGAAATGTAAGCACAGTGGAGAACTAATAGAGCAGATGGAGTGACATCCTTAGGCAGTGCATCGGACTTCAGAGCACCCAGAAGGTCGGGAAGGGGAAGGAATTCGCTCACTTCAGTGATTTGTGCTGATGACCATCCGGTTGCCTCTGGGGTGTCCTTCAGTCCTGAGTTTGCTTAAAAATTGCTTCTATGTCTAGAGTTCTAGGTGGGCCCATAAGCAGACTCTTCTAATCTTACTTAGTGTTGGTCTCTGGTGTCTTTCTCTTCAATTTCCTTCTATTCAATTTCCTTCTATTTCCTTTCCTTCAATTTCTCTTCTATTTAAGGAGAAAGCTGGGTAGTTACAGAAAAGGAGGAAGGGCTCTGATTAAGAGTGGAATTAGCTCCTTGTACAACAAGGGGTCCCATTTTTACTCCGGGCCTCATTTAAATGTTGTCCAGAGTCCCTTTTTGTAAAGAGCGGACATACCCTTTGAGCAGAAGACCAAAAAGAAAAAAAAAGAAAGAAAGACAAATCCAAGCACTGTTAGCCATCTGTTTTCATAGGGTAGAGAGTGTCGCCTAATTTTTGAATATTATTTTAACTTTCTGCCCCAGCAACCTTGAGTCCTTGGCTGCTGGCAACACAACCCCACAGGATGGTTGCAGAAAGTGGCTCTGGGGCCATGCAGGGAGCTGGGCATTTCTCCCTAGGTGATTTTTAAATGGCTGTGGCTCTGAGCCTTGTAAGGAGATGCAGACCATGGATATAACATAAAGCCTTCTGCAGTCGACACTCCTACTACTCTGGTGTTTCCAGAATGTCTGACCGGGAACTGGCCGGCGGGTCTGGCCTGTTTACGTTGCAGGACTGACAAACCTGCAATGCCGGAGGCTCTGTGAGCTTTGCATTTCACCGCACCAGACAAAGGTCTCTAGACACAGACGGTTCCCCGGCTACGGGGGATGGGCAGTGACACTGATCTTTCTCATTTGACCCGGGACATCAGACTGAAGGAATAAGACCTAGGAAACGCAAATGCTTCCAGTAGATTACCTTAGTAGGGGATGTGACCTTATCCACAGATTGCTTTTCCCAGAGGTTCCGCTTGCCAGATACGTCTCCTGGCCTCAAATCCTAGTGAAGAGAAAGCAGAAGACATGGATATATGGCCATTTATTTTTTTTTTCTGGCCAGGTCTTACTCAATCACATCTGTTGTCTGTTTGTGTGAATCAACGTGTTGTTCAATATACTTTTTGTCCTAGTGGTCAGAAATGGGTGGAATTGAAAGGACCATTAGCCAGTGTTTGTTTGTATATAGACCTTGACCTGTGTCGTGATATGAGAATGGGCTAGAACTATCCAGCATTTAGGTCCTGTTCTTTGCCAAGGACTTACTGCTTACTGATCAGTGAAACTGGAATACAAGCATATTAAAAATAATGTAGCCTATTTCTAATTTTCTGTGCTCTTAGATGTACATACAACATAGACTGGTTTTAAATGCAGTTGACTCTTAAGCAATGTGGAGATTAGGGGTGCCTGTGCCTCCTCCCCACAAGCATGCACAGAAGAAAACCTGCATCAAACTTTTGACTTTCCTCCAACTTAACAACTACTAGCCTATTGTTGACTGAAATCCTTACCAATAACATAGATAGTTGATTAACACATACTTTGTATGTTATTTGTATCATACATACACTGTGTTCTTAGAATAAAGTAAGCTAGACCAAAAAATGTTAAGAAAATGATGAGGAAGACAAAATACACTGACAGTATTTATTGGAAAATAATCCACATATAAGTGAACCCACGCTGTTCAAAGCCATGTTACTCAAAGGTCACCTGTAACTCCTTTGGGGGTGGATAGGCATTTCGCCCCTTGCCGATGAACTTTCAGAGCCCTGCCTAAGTCCCCGAGCCCTTACCGTTCTAGGAGTACCAGCCCGACTTCCAGCTGCCAACACTGCATTTCCTTCCCTGAGGACCTTCTCTGGGCACACATGCCCCCTTTGCCCACTCGGGAGGCAGACTGGAAGTTCAGAGTTAACACTCCCAAGAGCAGGCCTCCAGCACCCACCCGTGACATCTTGCACAAGGGTATTGCCCAGGCCTCAGGTGGGATGACTCTGCAGCCCGTGTTTTATGGTGGCTTCCCGGGTTTCCCCAGTGGGATTAAGTTCTAACAGCCCACGTAGTGATTTGCTGGATAGCATTACTAATATTCCTGACTGGCTTGCCTTCTTCACCTCCCAAGTAAACTACTTCCACTGGAATCACTCTGTTAAGATCTGCTTCCAGACGGTCTAAACCAAGACACTTTTCTAATGGCACTTTACTCGCACTAAAATCATTTCGTGCTTCCCGTGGAGCAAGGGGATAACTCGGAGGGGCATCAGCAGGACCTCGCCCCACCAAAATAAACATCTACCCCGAATTTTACCCACGCCAGAAACTGACACTTAATGACATATGTGAGAACATGTGGGAATCTTGGGAAGAAAACAGTTACAGAGCTTTGATTCTTTATTTGCTACCTCGTAATTAATTGGGTTTGGATAAGGATCCACATTTCTGTTTCCATTTACTTTTCTTTCAGCATGTGCTTATACTAGTACTTGGCAGAGGGTAGCTTGTGCAAAATAAATGTGTTTTAACTGAAATAGTGATGTTTATTTTGGCACATCCTCTTCTCATTAGGAAGGCAAAGCTAACAGCAATTGCATTATCCACGGACACCAGTCTCAATGGACGTATTTTGACAGACAGTATGGAGGACTCAACACTGGAAATGCGCTGGGTAAATGGTACCATGTGAAGCGTTTCAGATTTGCCTTAATCTTACTGAGTTTCTGGAGTTCCACTGTGGCACGAATTCCTGATGTTCTGTTAGAGAGCTACACCTATTTAACTTGGAATCAGCAAGCAACAAATCAGACTGTTTTTGCAGGATTCCACTAGATTTGCCAATGGAGGGAAAAGCTGCCAAATTGTCTGGAAGACTGTTTTAAAATTTTAGAGACTATAATTAGGCACATGCTGATGGAAGCTTGGAAAGTGGCTATTATTACTTTATTTATTTGACTCCTAGAAGACAAATATTTTTCTTTCACATGAATGTTCTACAGAAGAAAGTGGATTACGGCTCCCTTAAATCCTACCTAGGAATCTTTTTCGATTACTCAAAGAGTTTAAAGAGTCTATTTAAAAAAATATATTACCATCTAAGTGCTAAGTTGGCATTTTAAATCAAAGGGGAATATAAACACAATTACCTGACCAGACTACATTTTAGAGAAAGAGCCACTCCGGAAGAAGAGGGAGAAATGAAGGCAGGAGAAGCAGGTTTCCAGTCAACCAGAGATCAAAGAATGAAGCAGAGAATTCAGCTGAGAAAGACTATTTTTCAAAACAAACAAACAAACAAATAAAAAAGACAAATTAGCACTTTAATTTAGCTGTACATAACATGCAGTTCAGATAGGAAGAACAGACAAGCCAGCTAAAATGGGCATACTCCGCATTGACGTCCAATTACAAACGTGCAATATGGTAAATTCGACCCACAACTAGCAGCAGACGTCCCAGTAAGGGATCAGATGTAGATCAATGTTGACTTTTAAGTAAACTTCCAGGGACATCAAAATAATATTTGACAGTTTTGAGCACTTTTACTTCCTAATATACATGGAAATTATACAACTTGGTAAAGGATGGTTTTTCTCTCCTGTGAATTTTAGAACTGAACACTAATCCCAAAGGAAAGACGAATTTCCCGTTGAGGTTTCACTGGGTGATGCTCATTTGGGTGAAAGAATTTCCCTCTGATTTTTCCTTAATGGCCACGTGCCACACAGCTGCAGGTGCAAACCCCGGCTTTCCTCTCTACACTTGGCAATGTAAACGAGGGGTAGAGAATAAATCGCCTCTGGTCCAAAATCAGAGGGCAACTTTGGGTGCCTACTATTTGCTGTTGTCTTCAGGGAGTCCTCTGACATCCTGGGCTCAGGGTCAGTATGACCAGAGTCCTAAAGGTGTCAAACTCAGACACCTGCTCTTAAGGGCCAGGCTGGAAACATAAAGGCCTGGAGGAGCTTGGTGTAGGAAAATCAGGAAAAGAGCGAATCAACAGATTCATGCCTCCACATCTCAAAAAATATTGAAATTATAATGTAAAAAAAAGCTTCACCCCAGGATATATTTATTGATTTTAGAGAAAGAAGGTGGCGGGGTATGGGGGAAGAGAGAGAAAAACATTGATGTGAGATAAACACATTGATCACTCGCCTCCTGGATGCACCCTGACTGAGGATTGAACTACAATGTAGGTATGAGCCCTGACAGGAAATTGAACCTGCAACCTTTCGGCATATGGAACGATTCCAATCAGCTGAGCCACCCAGCCAGGCTCACATTATAATTTTTAAATGGAAAGTAAAGCACAATGTTGTGGGCGAAACAACACAAATCTTAGCTGTGGGCTCAGTGTGAGACCCCTGAGAAGAGCAGGGCAAGATCCTTGCTTGACCTGTTTTCCTAAGCTGCCTTCCTGGACTTCACCTTTTCGCAGGCAAGTTCTGTGCATCTGCAGAACCCTTCCAGCCTTTCTGCAGTTTGGGAATTTCATCTTTTTTTTTTCCCACTGGATCCATAGAGTCTGCAAGTTACCCTTCTATCTTCTTGAACTCCAGGTCATGTCTTTTCCCAAAGATACTGTCATGATGCTACTCACACTTTGACAAATGGTGGCTCTAATACCCTTGAAGTGGGCATAAAACTCAAGGTTGCTTATTCAGTGTACTTCAACTAGCTTTTTATTTACAGCAACCATTACATATTGCTTTTTTCCCATCTGGCTTTTGTTCAGGAAAGCACCCTAGTCTGCAAAATTCCATGGGTCATGGGAAAAGAGATCGCTACACCTTGTATGAACTGCCACATTTTCCTTTCCTATTCCTTCTACCCTCTAGTAGATGTTCTAGCAAATAACTTACTAACTAGTAGGTAAAGCAGGCAATGGTTTTGTAATGTCCCGGTAATTCCTTTTTGGCCTTCCACTTTTAGGAGGCTGTCAGTAACTCCAGAATATGGGGCTCTGGTGGAAACCTTGACATAGTTATACCTATTCTAATAACTGAATTAGATTTTTTCATCCCTCCCATTAGGATGACATAGAAGATGCTAGCCTGATCGGTTAAAGTCATGACAAAAGGATGGGTCAAGTCCTGTACCAAATGTGGCTATAATCTGCTATAGAAATGAAATAGGTCACAAATATAATCAATGTGAAAAAGTGACCATGCCCTGGCCCTGTAGCTCAGTTAGAGCGTCATACCAATAGGTCAAGGTTGTGGGTTCAATCCCCAGTCAGGGCAGATACAAGAATTAACCAATAAATGCATAAGTAAGTGGAACAACAAATTGAGCTTTTTCTCTCTCTCTTTCCCTTTGTCTCTCTAAAATCAATCAATCAACATTTTTTTAAAAAGAGAAAAAAAAGTGACCATATTCTCTAGCAATGTGCCTAATTCATCAAAAAGGAAAACACCATTCTCTATCTTGCTATTTTGAGAGTCCTTTAGTGGGTCCCTGAACTTCTGAAACTTGAATGATAGGCATGTTTTAGGGGAGAAGTTCCTCAGATTTCATTAGATTTTCAAAAGTGTCCGTTAATAACCACTGGCCTGGAGGCACAAAATTTACATAAATTGCCACTAAAAAAACAACTTCTACTCTATGTGTCACCTTGGGTGCTGGGGAGACATAAGGCACTGCAGGGCACACGCCTTGTGGGTATGACCCCTCCCTCACCTCGACTGTCTTTCCTTATAGGACCTCTTTCCTGTGTCCACTGGGAGAGGGGGAAAATTTTCTTTTCAATGTTTAAAGACTTTCCAATTGTAAACTGGGCTGACATTAGTTTTATACCTCATCTGAGCCCTTGTGCCAAAAATCCTGGGATGAATATTAATGGACTATAAGGAGTTACACTCAAGGAGGGTAAAAACTATTTCTATTTTTTCTTCTTAAATTGGAAAAGTGATAAATTTTGGTGACTTTGGAGGTTAACTATGGAACCGATGGATACAATTAATTGCTCAGTGGGTCAGAGGTCTAGGGGAATTTGGAAAGGTTTTATTCTGCCTCTGGAATGGAGCAGTTATGAGGTTGAGTCTCTGCTTCTTTGGGTGCCAAGAACGATATAAAGGCCAGCCTAACAGAGAAAGCTCACCAGTACACAGTAGGGAGCTTAATAAGGTTTCTGATTATAGTGATAAATGCATGGCAATTATCATATACATGCAATGCAAAGGTTAAAAGAATATTTTTATAGTAAGGTAGTCACACTTATTAAGAAAATGTTAGATTTCCAAAAATAACATTTATAACCAGTTCTTATAGTTTTCAGTTTTTTTAAATGGCTTTTCTTTGGAGGTGGTGACAAAAATTTATGGCAATTACTTCTGTTAAGTTACAGAAGTTAGGCAAATTATAAACTATGGGCTCAAAATCACCAAGATACACTTTCTTTGGAGAATAAGTTTAGGGGTGCTTTTTATAGAGAAGTGGCCAAGATAATCTGACACTTTCATTTTCAAATTTCTAGCTGTGATTTATAGAATAGGAGCTAAACACACAGACCAGTTAAGAGTGTAACTCTGAATGGCTTCTGCGTTCTGGCTAACTTACCATGCCCAGGGTGTAAATTTGAATGGTTTCAGTGGTCTGGCCAACTCCTACCCTCTGGGCAGTTAGCATGCAGCTGCCCGGGCTGCTCTCTCTAAGTCTGAACCACTACTCGTTTGTTACTCAGCAGCAACAGCAAAGACCAGGAGCACTGTCCTTCCTAGGATAAATAGTCCAAGAGCCCATTTTCTTCTGCTACGGGCAACTGAGAGATCAAAGAAACCCAGAAAATCCAAAGCTACTTACAGAAGGTTTGGGAGCAGGTGACCGGTTTCCATCGGGGGTTTTAGTGAGCCATTCACTGATGCGGCTGGAGACCCCCACCTTCAAGCCAGCCGTTTCCTACGAGGAGTCAATGATCCAATGTTTAAAAAAAGAAAGAAAGCAACTTTACCTGGGAAGAAATCTTCAAAGCAACTTCGAAACACTATTAAGTGTTATTTCACTTAACCATCCCATAACACCAGTGAATGATCGTTATAATGAATGTTTTGAGTAAAATAAACCTTAAACTTGATATTTAAAGAAAGTTCTCTGGTTTGCTTGCCCCTGCATCTTACCCCTGCCCACTCCACCCACCAGGTGGATGGTTAATTTCAGGGACTCTGTTGTGGTCAGAGCATAGTACATGGTCTAACGCCTCTGGGCTTGCCTTTGGGTTAGTTGCAAAAGGAAGTAAGAATTACACCTTCTTCACTGCTTTTATAATGAACTAGGGTGATTGCTAAAAAAAAAAATACAAAGGAAAAAGAAAAAGAATCCACCCTCCAACATTAAAAGACCGACCCCCATGCTCACCTTGTTGGGTGTGCCCGACGTGGTGGGGGACGAAAACACATTCCCTTTCTCCCACATGCTCTTGATGTTGCGAACGCCTTCAGCAGGAACAGGAAGATCCGAGGCTGCTGGCTTGGTAGGTTTTGCAGTTTTTGTGCCCTGAAGTGTGTGAATGATCTTTAGCATTGGTGCTATGTTTGTTCTTGTAAATACTGTCTTCCTCAATAGGAAGCATCATTTGTAAATGACAGTATCATTTAAAAGTCACTGTGCAAATGCCTTCACCAAAAATGAGAGTCGTAATTTCTGTTGTGAAACTGCATTTTGATGACATATACACCCCTCTCCCCCAAACCCTCTGAGGTCTAGGTCATTAGAAGGTTTTTCAAAAATAATATATGTTTTTCATTGGGATGCGATTTATTGTTACATAAGGATTCCACTTCATTTCTTCAACAGATGCTTGGGGATAGAGCAGGTACTCAAAACAAGACAGTCTACTCTGTAAGCTGCAGTGGACTTAGATTTTAATAGGACAGAAAGACAGTAACTAATTGTACATACACTTAGTTCACACTGAGAAGAGAAACATAGTGCTATAAAGAAGCCAAGAGAGCACCTAAGAAGGGAGTGATACTTAAAATCTAGGCAAGCAAAAAAGGCTCCACTGAGGAAGTGACATTTAAACCCAGACTGATGGAAGACTTGGAAGTGATGCGGTGAAAGAAGGCACAGACACTGTTCCATGCAGAGGGAACAGCATTTACGAAGGACTGGAGACAGGGATGTGCTAAAGGAAGGAGAGATCAAGAGACCACTGCATGGAGAATATATTGGGAAGAGGAAAGAATGGATGTAAAGAGAAGTATGCATTTGAGATACTCTTCCAGAAGGAGTGATGGGTATGCCCACAGTCATGGCATTTCTTGCCTGGTCCTGCTTTGTAGCCTGTGGCCTGTGTTGTAGGTGTTCAGCCATGGAGAGTGGCACCATCACTGGACTAGGCAAGGGCTGAAGCCACAGGTTTGGCTTCATGAACCCTATTAGAACTGTAATTAATTTAACCACAGAAAATAACTCTCTGCAATTTGTCAGATTTTGGTGGACATCCAATCTCATGCAAATCACCTCTTGAGTGTTCAGACTTCCTTATTCATTTGATAAATCATTCAGATCTCTCTCTTATTCCCTCTTATCATTTATTTGATTGAGAATGATTTTAAACTTATCTCCACTCTGCAGTACCACGGAGAGGAGAAAAATCCAATCAAACTGATCCAATGATGCCCTAGCAGGTGTTCTGACAGAGAAGGCAGATAAAATCATTGACTGAAGTCCGTACCACGGAGAAGAACCAGGATCACGCCCTGGTTACTGCACCCTGCCCTCTTAGTGCTTGGTACTTGGAAATTTAGGCACTGTTTCTAAATATGGTAGAACCCCTGGTGGGAAAAAAGCTGAAATAGAAGCATAAAACTATGGACCTTTGAGTATAAAATAATCTATTTGAAATTCATGGTGATTAAGCTCTAGATGGCAATCATCTTTCTATTAACTTATACTATTATTTTTATTCAATAATATTAAGTTTTTATAGACCAAAGAAGATTAGCCAAGGATATATGAGACCTGTTTAAACTACATATGGGAATGCATTTTATAAGGAATTAATATTAGAAGATGTACTGACTAACACATGAATAATCTAGTTGAATATCAAGAAACCAATTCATTCAAAGAATAACAGCTTCATTAAAGAACACTCAGGCTGAAAGTAGTAAGCAGTAATTTATTTAAAACCCTTCCATAATTTGCCTTTATTACTGTTCTTCTCTATAACCAGTTTGGAGTATAATAAAGCCTGATTAATATCCTAAAACATGTGGTTACTGGACTTTGCGTCCTGTCCTAAGTGTTTCTATGGTCGTTTATATAACCAGAGTTGATTTCTGTCTGACCGTAACCCTGAGGACGTCTCTCACCTCAATGGCACTGGTGTACTGCTCCAGTCTGCTGTCGATCTTGGAGACGACTGCCGCTTGATGAGTTGATTTGACACCACTGTTTGGTAAATAAACACACACACACACATCCATAAAAATACGAGAGAAAAATCTTTCCATGCATGATTCTTCAGTGAACAATCAATCACTTACCTTTTCTGCACAGACTTATTCAAAAATTCAGCTCGCTCTTCTATCTAGGAATGAAAGAAAAAAACAGTTAATATTTTCATTTCTTAACCAGTATTTCTCACCCCATACGTCTACCCCTGCAAACCTGGTGCAGAAAAGCACCGAGAGCACTGAGGAAGATGAGGGTATTGTGCACAGCAGCTCTGCTGGAGGGAAAACTATGAATAAGGTTTTTGAGATCAAGGTTTGAGAGATGAAGGTAAGACTGGCAGAGGGTAGAGAAAAGGCAGCAAAAACATAGGAAGTTCTGGAGGCAAACTGAAGACTAGACAGAAGTGGTATAAAAATGCCTTTGAAATAATTTACATCAATGGCACAATAATTATATTTCAGGATCATGTCAAAAACTTTTTCCTTTTTTGCTGTCTGGCGGACTTTTAAAATGTGTCTACTTATTTCTTTATTGAGGTATAATTAATATGTAACATTATATTGGTTTCAGATGTACAACAGAACGATTCAATACTTGACTATATTGCAAAATGATCAACACAATAAGTCTAATTAATATTCATCACCTGATAAAATTTTTGTGATGAGAACTTTTAAGATCGACTCTCTCAGCAACAATATTTTAAAAAATCCATGCTGTTGTCCTTTGGGACATATTTATATGAGTACACACGTACCATGCCCTCTGATGAAGAAAATTTTCCACAACGTTTGACTGTGTATTTGGTACGTAACAGAATTGAATAAGAAAGATAATCAGGAAGTATGAACCGTTCACTCAGGGCTTAGCCTGGTTTCCTAATTTGATAGCTACCAAGCCTATTTGTCAAACTTAATTCGCCCTGCAGGTAGAAGATGGGGTGGGGGTGAAGCCTGGGGCACAGCTCAGAGGTAACGCCGAGGCCACATGCCAAGGCCACACGCCAAGACTTCCCACGAAGCCCCATCAGCCCAAGTGGAAAACAAGAAAATTAGCTCAGAGAAAATGCAACAGATATACACCAAATGGGCAGTTCATTAGTCTTTAATAAATTCTTTTTTATTTCAAAGCTAGGAACCTCTCTTTGCTAAAACTAAAGCTACTAAATCCAACATTGTATTTTAATGAAGCTGCATCCCTCAAATCCAGATCTTCTCTCTATGTTAGCAAACATTTGTTGACTCCTTATGATATGCAACTCCAGGCTGGAAGTCATCCCTGCCACGCACCACCTACCAGTATTAGCAAGCGGTGAAACCTTTTTTGCGTATAAGCGCACGTGCAAAGCACAGGTGCGGAAAGGGTCCATTTTCTGCCCTATCCAGGGCAGCCAAGGAATCGACTAGTCACCACAGGCTGGTGTGGCTGAGGGACCCTACCGTCTTCTGAGATGTTAGTAGACTGACCTGGGACTTGGGGGTGATGAATAAATACTCTTAAGCTTTTTGGAAAACATGCTTTACTCCTAATGCCAGCTGAGTAATACTTTTATAGATGTTACTGGGCGCACTGCATCTTTTCCACTGATTTCTTATGAAGATAAAAACAAACACATTAAAAATAAAACTTTATGCAAGAAAGTGTTAAAGGCGTCCCTGAGATTGTGGAATGTAAAAGGTCTTAAATCTTTTTTTTTTTTTTTTGGTTTCAATATAAACTTAGAAGTGCATTTCTGGAGAAAAAGTTCTCAGTTGAATAAGGCGAAATACAATTCAAACCACACAATGCACCGGAACCTTTAATATCTATTCATCCATCCATCCATCCATGCATCTATCCATCCATGCATCCATCCTACTTCTAACCTTGTCAGCCTGTCAGTAAACCAACCAACCAATAAAGTGTGCTGAGTACCTACTATATAAAGTTGAGCACCCAACCAGGTATTAGAGTCTTTTAGAACACATTTGAGTAGGGGAGACTAGCAGAACTTAGAAATAAAATATTTAAATTTCAGGAGATAAGACAATGTTGTGATTATGGGAGAAACAACTACTTGGGGGAGTTGGAGAAGGTTTTTCAGACATTTAATCCCTGAGCTGAGATTTGTAGTTTATCGTTTCCATAGTTTTATAAATGAGTTCATGAGTGAAGGTAGGAGTTAGAGGGCAGAGGACATTCCTAGCAGAACAAACACGTGGGGAACCAAGAGGCAGTGCAGACTGGTGGGACCGATGAATGAAGAAACGTTCAGCGTGGGGGGAGCACAGGGCCCCAGTGGAGGGTGGCGGCAGAGGCGAGCTGTGTTCTTTGCGGCACTTCCAGCATCGTTCTGGGTCAGGGATCGCCTTGTCAACCTGGGCCCTCACATGCATCCAACTTATACAGGTCCTCAGGTCCCAGTGTCTCCTTCAATACGGCTTGAGTTCATGAGCACACTTTGGCTGGTCACGCCATCTGTTTATGGATGCACGCATATTGGGAAATTCCTGAACTTAGTGACTCTATGTAATGTAACCCTTTATTTTACTAAAGTTGTAAATTTAAACGTTCTAAGTTTAATGAGGAGAACTGGTTTCTCTGGAGACCAAGAGGTGGCAGTGTTGGCTGGAAAAAGCTTAGAGAGCCCTGCGTGGTGTGCCTCAGTGGCTGAGTTCTGGCCTGAGAACCAAAGGGTTGCAGGTTCAATCCCCAGCCCAGAGCACATGCTTGTGTTGTAGGCCAGGTCCCAGAAGGGCAACCACACACTGATGTTTCTCTCCCTCTCTTTTCCTCTCCCTTGCCCTCTCTAAAAAATTAATAAATAAAATCTTTAAAAAAAAACCTTGGAGAAAAGCATATTATTTGTTTCAGAAAATGACATTCTCTTTACTCCAGACTTTCTGCACCACCCATGTATGCAAACAATAACAATAAAAACAAAAATTTAAAGTTATTTACTTAAAATATATTCTTTATATATTATGTAAAAAAAAAAATCACTGCTAAAGTAACTGAAGCATGAGCAACCAGGTACAGAGTTCCCAGAAAGGAACAAAAGTCACGAAATACACTAGTTGATAATACTTTGAGGTCGAATATGAAATGCCCTGCCTCCCACTGGCTTCTAGAATGTTAACTTGGGACCAGTTATAGAAGTCGCAGGGCCAAGAGTATCGAGAGTTGCAGGAATCCAAGGACAGACTATGAAATCCAGTTCTCAGACCAGAGCCCCGGCAAGTTCTTCAAGGCACATACTACGGAGAAAGGCAATAGGTTGCCTGTTCTTGAAAGTATGTTCTGTTATATAGGAGTTAAACTTTAAAAAATCTAATTGATTGATTAAGTTGTATCTACTTTCATTGATTGCTCACACATGCCTCTCTGTACGCGTATCCACCAGAGGAAGCAGGTACATGGCTCCCCAGGGACCCAGTACTCCAGCCGATGGAGAGACTGGAGACGCTGAAATATTGGTAGAGAGGAGATTTTTGGAGGAGGAAGATGGGTTATAGTTTCTCCTGAACAGAAGGGTAGAAATTAGAAGTCTAGATCAATGCCGCTTTGCTCATGTTACCAAGACTGTCCAAGGAACGCTTAGCTTGGGCAGGATTTTGAGGAAGGCAGAAAGAGAAAATGTGGTTGCCTTCGAATGCCGATGAGCCAGGAACCAGAGGACCTGGGCGGGGAACAGGGCGGAGGCCAGGGTTGCCTGGAGGCAGCCAGAACCCAGCAGGTGTTCCACTTTCTACTTTTTCTTCTACAGTAGCATTTGTAAATGACAAGCATTTGCCCATGAGCTACATGTAGCCCTCGAGCTAAGAATATTTGATATTGTTCAATGGTTGCAAAAAGTCAAAAGCAGAATATTTTGAGGCCTAAGAAACTTCTGTGAAATTCAAATTCTGGCGTCCATAACTGACGCTCAGCTACTCTCCAGAACGGCCCTCTCTTGCTGAGTGGGCTCTGAGACCTCACTTCTGGGGCGGCCTGGATCTGGTGGCCCTCCTAGTTCTGGAGTTCCCGAGTCGGTCAGTTCTACTGGGGCAGCCAGCTTGCTGTGGGCTTGTCTCCCTCACAGTAAACGGCACACATTAGGTGCATTATAAAAGTCAAGTATCAAATAATAAAGCGCCCCAGTGGCCTGGTTTGGATCTCCCCTAAAGCAGACCTTGACTACAAGTAGTTTATTGGGGACACATCAGAACTACGACAGACCCAGGAGACTGTAGAGTAAGGGAAGTTACTTAAGGATAGAACATGTTGCTTTGCATGTGAAATGGGTAATAACTATAAAATGTAACTGGTTTTTGCTTATTTTATTTTAGCCTCACCTGAGGACATGCTTATTGATTTTTAGAGAAAGAGGGAGGGAAACATCGATTGGTTGCCTCTTGTGCATGCCCTCACTAGGGGAATGAACTTGCACCCCAGGCATGTGCCCTGACCTGGAATTGAACTGGTGACCTCTTGGTTTACAGGGACACTGCTTCAACCAACTGAGCCACACCTGTCAGGGCAAGGGTTTCTGGTCATTTTAGTGCGCCACTTAAGACCTCATGCACGGTTATGGATATGCACGCACACACTTTAACTGCCTGGAGCCTGGCGGTGGTTCTGTATCAGCTTTGCCCACGGTCGACGCTCTGTAACCGAGGTAGGTAGATGGAAAATGAAGGTGAAATAAAAATGTTAAAAGTTCCTGCCTCTGAAGGTTCATTCACTCATCTATCCATTCAACAAATACTGATTGCGTATATTCAGTGTGCCAGGAGCTCAATGTGCCTTAACCCTCGTGAGCAAAAAATGTGTTTGGGAAAAATGGCAGACTGAATCTAGATAACAGTACTTTCTTGAGTCTGCACTCCTGTCCTGTCTCGACCATTCCATCACCCCCCTAAGTCAGTCTTCCTGCTCATTCTCGTCCATCAGCACTTCTGTCTCATAGGAGCTACACTCTGCAAAGGCAGGAGCACCAAACTCATTCTGGCCAAGGACTTTTCCAAACTGCATTTCACCTCCTCTCCTACAACGGCTTTCAAATTTGAACTGTACCATTTCCAGCCGCCCTGCTTTTAATAATGACAAAGAAAAAGAATCATCAGCTAGTGTGAAAAGTAGCATAACCTTTCTATTTGCCCATTATATCGATGTTTCCCTTTTCGACTGCCCAAAGCATTGAGGCAGCTGGAACCACTGACTGTCATTCTAACATGTCCCAAAGCATCTAATAAACAACAGATGCAAATCTCCCCACTTCCTCTGCTTTGTCTCTGTTGAGAACAAAGAAAAGTTGTGAAGTGGCCGAACAGAGGAGTAAAAAGATAAAGGAAACAGGCTTTTAATAATCAGTAACTAAATAATGGGCTGTAATCAAGCTTCTAAGGCATTCTGGGAGAGACAGTGTAAGGATTTCTGGGGGAAAAATACCTTGAGAGATGAACCTTTAGGAGTGAAACACTTGAACGGCTTCTTGTCATCTGACAGGCCGTCTTCCGGCATCCTGTGGCGTTTCTCAGCAGCCTCCGCCCTTCGTCTCTCAATCTCCTCCTTTAGCCTCCTCTTCTCTTCCTTAAGAGAGAAAGAGCAAGTGACAAGGGCACCAATGTCAGGTCCAAGCCAAGGGGACGGAGTGCTGCAGGGGAAAAGGCACAAATCCCAGAGGAAAAAGACCCAAGTCCTAGACTGGATGCTCCTGAGTCCTCAAGGGCGGTCACTAGAGTCCAGCTGCCTGATTCACACTCTGGCGCTGCCACTTCCCAACTGCGTGACCTTGACCACATTAGTCATCTGCTCTGTGCCTCAGTCTCTTCATCCGTAGCGTGGGGATAACAGCAGAACTCACTGAATAGGGCTTTAATGAGGACTGAGTCAGAGAGCCCATGTGAAACGCCTAGACTGGAGCTCGGCGTGATGACCACCACTACCATCATCCTGCCAAGCCCTTTAACACGGACCTCCCATTTCTGAGTGTGTGAAATCGGTATCACATATTGTGTAAATACGTGCATCTCTTCTCTCTCCCTACGTTCTAGGGGAGTTGTGGAGACAAGTGAGAGCGTCTGTGCCAAGTACCGTAAATCAATGGCACCGCATTTGTGGAACTACACATGAGATGATTTTGTGGCTACCCGCGCCTCAGGTGAGTAGATTATTTTAGACGGTCTGACAAGCCCGAAATGAGGTAGACATTGCACACAGTGGTGAAACCACACATTATTCACAGTCTGTCTCATTAACTCCTCTGGGCCGTCCTTCATCACTGGCCTGAAATACTCTCCCCTGTTTCTCTCTCAGGCAAAAACTCTGGAGCTCTAAATCGCACATCCCCTGTGATCCATTTTCTGAGAGATTCCTGTTGTCTTTTCTAATTGTCAGATTGTGAGATCTTTATCACTGGATGTTCTCAAGCAGAGACTGTATGTCTGTCTGTCCGGCAGAGGAGGTTGCACAAGGATTTTGTGTATTGTAGACTAAGTGTTTGCATCTCCCCCAAATCCATAGGTTGAAACCCTAACCTCTGGTGGGATGATATTAACAGGTGATGAGGTCACGAGGGTGGAGCCCTGATGAACGGGATTGGTGCCTAAAAGGAAAAGCCCCAGAGAGCCGCCCACTCCTTCTACCGTGTAAGGAGACGGCGAGAAAAGGGCCATCTGTGAACCTAGAAGAGCCGCTCCCCTCACCAGACACAAAGTCTGCAGGCCTTGATCTTGGGCTTCTCAGACTCCAGAACGGTGAGAAGTAATTTCTGTTGCTTTTCGGCCCTCCAGTGTATGTTATATTGGTAAGAGGTTAGAGCAAATAATCTCTAATTCAATCCAGTTCTAAGAATTCATTCTGCCTTCACTGGTACTCTCCTCTTCTAAACAATAACAATGGTTATAACTACCACTCCCTGAGTGCCTGTTAGTGGTACCAGGCACCGCTTATTCATCACAGCAATTCTGGAAGCAGAATATTCTATACACAAGGAAAAGAAGAATCAGAGTCACCTTCCAAGGGCCCAGCTGCCAAGTGGCTGTTAGGACACAAGCCATCGACAGCTGGACTTGGAAGAGATTTTGGAGTCATTTTTCCAAACTTTCTGCACAGTTTAGGGAAATGTTAGTTAGTATCCAAGTGAGCAAGTCATCTGAAATCTTGCTGAATCTTCTGAATGACAGGCAATGACAGTTCCTTAAAGTTGGCGGGAAAAGCGCCAGGTCGAGTGGGAGAAGCTGGGTCCCAGCACAGATTCTACCACTTGTTAGTCAAGTGACTTGACACAAGGCCCTCAAACTATTGGATTCCCATTTCTTTGCCCATAAAATGAGAATAAAAATGTACCCAAGGATGAAAGAAAAGAATGCACCTTGTACACAGCAGCAGTATAAGTTGTAGATGGTCAAGCACTTTTTCAGTCTTTAAAATTAGCCTTTTGGTAACTTTATTTGTTGTTTTAGTTCTGTCTTAAAATACAGAACAAATTCGTTGGCTCATAATTATTGGGTTCCTGTGATCTGCCTGGCACGGGGTCTGCGTGCTGGGTACACAGGGATGAACAAAGTAGACACCGTCCCCCCACTGCAAAAACGTAGACTTTTCCACTAAAAGGGCCCAAAACCTACTTTTAAAAATCTCTCTAAAAACTCCTCAAACATCAAGATACAACCATCATGTGACTCTTGGTTCTTGCAGATCTTTTCGTTCTTCTCTGCTCTCTATATTCTCTACTGAGGGACAGTATAGGGTAATGCATGAAAACAAGTGGGACTTTGGGAAAACGATTAAAAAACCCCACAAAACCTCTCCATGCCTCAGTCTCCACATCTATAAAATGGGGTTGCTGTTACAGTGGAAAATTGTAACAGAGGAGAACTATAATCCACCCTACCATTCTTTTGACATTGTTTCTGTAAGTGCTGACTAATACATAGCTTGTAGATGAAGAGCATATTTGTATAAGAATCCTGGGAACTAACTTTGAAAGGTACAGACTCTGACCTTCAAACATCCTAGTTCCGGGAGATTTGCTGGCCTTCGGCTGTGGGGCCAGGATGACGTGAAGCCGCGATGACTAAACCAGGATGATGCACGCCGGCCCATCGCCTGTCCTATCGGAATGGACTGTGCGCGTCTGCACGTAGACAACTTTGCAACCCCCTCCCTCGATCTCTTTGTTCTGCTTTCCCTTTCCTTCCTCGTAAAGACCTCTGCCTGCACTGAGAGGAGGAGAGGGGCTTTGAGACGCGAGTCCCTCATCTTCCAGATGGCCTGAAAATAAACCTTTACACTGCTTTCCTGTACATCAGTACCTGCCTCTCAAGTAATGGCTTTCGAGCGGCAGGCAGCTGGATCTGCTTTTGGTGGACCACCTAAATTAATATGCATAAAGGTTCTGGAACCATGCTTAGCACATAGTAAGTTTATTATTCTTAAAATGTATTTGTAGGAGCCCATGCTCAAAAGAGCAGCTGCATTTCAGCAGGGAAGACATTATTCCCTGAGCTGCCAGAGTCCCCAGAGATAGGAATTCAGGGACTTGGGGAAGCTGGGGTGCTGACCCACCGGACGGGCTGCGCCCTGCTTACTTACCTCCTCTCTGACTTTTCGCTCTGCTTCCTCCTGCTTCCTCCTCTGTTCTTCTTCCTCCAGGACTTTCCGTCGCTCCTCCCGCTTTTTCTTCAGCTCCTCCAGCTCCAGGGCTGCCTCCTGCTGCTTCTGTTTGAGCTTCTCGAACTCTTCGCTCTCCGTCTCCCCGCGGCGGCGGCGCAGCTCCTCCAGGCGTTTGCCAGCTTCCACTTGGGAAGCCCCTTCCGCCTCCTTGGCCTCGCTGGCCCTCCCTCCAGGTCGGCTGGTGGCGGTGGTGGGGGTGAAGAGGGGCAGGGAGAGATGAAAAAGAGTTAGACACACACCTGCCTTGCAGCCTCCCCCAGGAGCGAGGGTAGGTGGGCCTGCAGGCTTTGGGTACCACATAGAAACTTTACTGCCCATCATTGGACAGCAGGTCCTCACAGCAGCCCAAGCAGCAGGCTGGGTCCACCTGGAGGCTCGAGGTCTGAACCTGAGTCCCTGCTGCGCTGCTTACTCTGGGTGTCCTCAGGAACACAATGGGGGTGAGTAGGTACTAGTGGTAGGATTGTAAAACGGGACAGCCACCGTGAGAAACAGTAGGGAGTCCCTCCAATAGTTAAAAACAGAACTACCATATGGTACAGCAATTGCACTTCTGGCCATTTATCTGAATAAAAAAGAAAATACTGAGTCCAATGCAGCATTATTAACGACAGCTGAGACAGGGGAACAATGCAAGTGTCCACTGATGGATGAATGGATAAAGAAAATGTAGTACATATTTATAGTGGAATAGTATTTTGCCATGAAAAAGAAGAAGCCTTATTTAAATACTAATTAATGAGTAATGAAGGCATTCTTAACTAGATCTGAACATAGGTAGCCCACGTCTAACACTTTTTTCCAAGCAACGGATGAATTACTGTCTAGCACCATTTACTCCACGTAGAGAACAACAGTGTTTCTAGCTTTGCAACCAGAGGAAGAATAGAACAGAAGATGAGTTCAAGATGACGCAGTTACCCACACTGATCGCACGTGTATAGCTCATGCTTTTTTAAAACATGGAGGTAGTTCTAGATATCCTGCGTCCTTTAGAACAGTGCTGTCCAAACTGCTGGCCAGAAAAATCAATTCAGTGGACTATAGTCAGCATTAAAAAAAAAAGAAAAGAAAAAAGAACTAGGAAACATCAGAGTGCTTTGCACAGAGCAAGGGAAATGACTGCATCCTGACGTGCCCAGTTCCCGTTACGTATGGAGACATCGCTGGACCACGATGTAAAATTTCTTTCTTACCAAAAGCTGAGGTTTACAAGTATAAAAATCTTACGCTAGGTTCAATGATGGTGAAAGAGGAACGAACTGTTTTATTTTGAACTCAGTCGGAGTGTGATGGTCCCTTAACACTGGATGCTGCTCTTGCGGGGTCTTACAGGATTACAGACTTGTGCCCCCAGAGAGAAATCTGCTCCCTCAATTCATTTACGGTCTTTCCATCTTCGAAGACATTGCTTCTCTCCATGTCCACCGTGTCCGTGTGCAGTCGGGTGGGCAACACCCGCCTGTAGAAATGCCCCCAGATTCCACTAGATGGCGCTCAGTCTTCATCGTGGAGTTTCAAAAGGCCACCATTAGATACGGTTAACTAAATCACCACACTTCCGTTCTGTGGGGCATTCTAACTTTGTGAATTGCAGGCTTACATTCATTGGTTTAGAAGGCTAGCTAAGGTAATCCATTTAAAATGTAGATTTATAATTATACTCACACATATACATGCTGTATGTCTATATGCAAGTCTATTTTGAATGGAAATATATAGGGAATATCTAGGGAAAATGTTACTAGTGGTTTTCTTTGGGTGGTGGGTACATATTTTCATACTTCTATTTTCTGAATGTTTATAAGGAGTACAATTTTCCTATCACCAGGAAGAAAAACCCGTAATTCCCACATACAAAAATGTTAAACGAGAGCCAAACAAATCCTTGTTTTGTACTTTCTAGACAATCCGACCCACCTCTATAAAATTGCTCCCTGAATTGAGATTTTTAGATTTTCTCTTAGAGAAAACGATCTAGTTATAAGAAAGTAGGACTATTCAAGGGGACAGTAATTCAATCAAACAAAAGGAATTATGCTCAAGACAGGAAAAAGAGTTCTGTCCACGTCACCTCTGCCCAGATGTGGGTGCCGCTAATACTATGAAAATTTCTTCTCGAAGAGGCTCCCCTTGGCTTCTTTAGGTGTGAAGGCAAGAGGAACATCAGCCCTTTCACCATGAAGGACACAGCTTGTTTTCAGTTAGGCTAGAAGGCCCCGGGCTAATCTACACAGAGCCTCTCCCTCCCCAGCTCCTCGCTCTATGGAGCAAAACCAGGCATCTCTGCTCCTATCGTCATCACTTCTAATTGAAACTAAAACTAACATATGTTGGCAGCTGAACCCAAACTTTATGGTGACAGCTTGTTTCTGTCATTTTTTTCCCCTGCCTAAACATGGAAAAATTAAAGTGGGAGTCACATTTCAGGGTTCTCACTGCTCAGTCTGCTGGCAGTCCTTCTGATTTTCCTCCTGGCATCTCCCACTTCTCCGGGTTTCTACATAACGGACATGTTAATTATTAATTCGAGCTTAGGCTGAAGCTGGTTGGTAAGTCTGCTAATTGTTAACTGAACTTTCTACCGACGGTTTTTTTTTTCAAAATATTATGTATTTCTCTGAACAAAAAAGTGTATTCATACCCACAAAACTATTTTAAGCCATCAAATGACAACACACTAATACTGTTAGGTAATATGCATTGAAGATTTTTTGTGAACGCCACACTGTTTTAGGGCTTTAGAATATTAACCTACAGACACCTCAGCAACCTTTGGGCTTGGCTGACCTGCCTGGATCAACTTGCTGTCCAGATTTGCTATGAATTCCTGATAAATGCTTAATTTTTCACATCTGCTTTCTGCCAGTTTAGGCTTTCTGTGGGATACCTGTGACTACATTTCTGCTCAAGTTTTTGTTTAGAAAGACTGTTTGGGGCCCATTACTTTTTACCTACTTTAGCCTCTTAGAGGACAAGGGGCTGCAAATGTCCACCCCTAGAAGCTCTGCCTGCTTCTGGATGTCCCAGAGGCTTTGTCGTGGGGACGGTGTCTGACTTCTACACAAAATCTGTTTGGGGACATACTTATTTCAAGTGTTCAGACACACAGGGTCGGTAGGCAGGGGTGCATGGAAATCCACGTTACAGGAACCCAGAGTCTCTTCTGTAACATCTGGCAGAGCGACCAGAGACATGACAGAGGTTGACATCTGGCACCCGTGGCTGGAGGGAGTGCATGAGTAGGAATGGGGCCCAGAGAGTCCTGGAGCCTGGTGTCCCCAGCAGGCAACTTGGACTTCTCTTACAAGACTGGTGGGGAGCTCCAAGGATTCAATGGATCTGGAAGTGAGAATTGACCTGCGTATACCTGTCTATTTGTCCTAAAATCAATTACCCAGCCCTGGCTAGTGTAGCTCAGTGGATTGAGCACGGGCCTGTGAACCAAAGGATCCAGGTTCGATTCCCAGTTGGGGCACATGCCTGGGTTTCAGGCCAGTTCCCAGCGGGGGACACATGAGAGGCAACCACATATTGATGTTTCTCTCTCTCTCTCCTTACCTTCCCCTCTATAGATAAATAAATAAATAATTAAAAAAAATAAAATAAAATCAATTACCCAGATTTTCAACATAATGGGGGGGGGGGAGCTGAAGCCATGCAAGAGGGTTTTCCAAAGGGCAATAAATGAAATATTCATCAGTCAGATGCCTTCTTCCTCCCTCTTAGAGACTCCCAGTACGAATTAACTCCAAGTGCCTTCAAAGTCCTGTGGCAGAGAGCTCATTCATTCAGTTTAATCTTACCTTTCCCAGGGATTTGGCCACAGAGCAATCTTAGCCTTACACAACATTTATTTACAACCTTTGGGAAATACATTCTTGAACATGATTCTGAGAAGGGTTTTGTAGGAAGCTGCCTGGCCCACATAGAGAATGAATTGATGATATTAATCCCAGTTACGATGTTTTCTAATAAACTGATCCTAACATGGGCATATGAGGTCAGGGACAAAAACCTGGATGCCCAGCATAACCTACCTTGCTAAACTATGGGAAAAGCAGGTTGAACCTTTGTTTAAGTGATGACCGCCGGTCTTCTTTCTGTTAGTGACTGACAGCCGGACCTGCTGACTCAGCGTCTCTAAGATGATGGTCTCGCAAAAGAATTATGTTGCCTGTTTAGCAGGTTTCTGTTTACAGGCACAGCAGAGGAAGCTGACTTTCCCCCCCACGTGAACACAGTCACCGTTTGTTAATTACTCACTACGTCTTACCTGAAAGTATTCTCGGTGTGTTTCAGTTTGTGGGTCATGAATTCTCCATTCTGCGACTTCACTTCTGTAAATCCCTTCTTCCCATCCAAGAAGCTCTTAACTTCTTCTCTGGGCTCTCTGTCTTTTTTAATCTTCTCATCTTTGATCTAACCAACAGTACACACCAGAAAGAAACATAACGGTAAGAATCTTATTAGGTTTGGGTTGGTGTCACCAAAGATGACCCCAAATTGATAGGAAGCCAGGAGCCTCAGAAATGAAACAAACCACTACAGGATGATGTGGTAGAGATGGGGTCAGAGGAAACTCTCAGCGCATGAGTGATGGTTCTCTAGCCTCTGAGAAGAGACCCTGACCACACTTTTAGGAAGTCAAGATGTTTCCTGATTTCGCTGGGGGTTTTATTTTCAAAGGCTTTGGGGGTGTTACTATTGGAAGCTATTATGTCTTGGGAAGCCCACGGGAGTGATTGTTTGCAGGTCCCAGTGGGAAGAGCCTTGCTGGGAAAAGGCCAAGGTTGCTCGGACAGGTTCCTTCTTGGATGAAGGACCCTAACGTGTGGAGGAGGAAAGAAGGGCAAACCTATGAGATTAGCCAGACCTGCCACGCTGGTTTTGACTGCTGTCAGAGGAGATGATCCTGTCTCTTAAATAAGTAACTGGGGTCTCCAGGACAGAAGACATAATGACTCTACCTTTAGGGGGGTGACTCACAGCTGTGGGACCATATATCTAAGCCACAAAGTTAGAATGGAACAGGAAAAATTCTGGGGTTTACCTTGACTTCCAGAGGGCAGGTAATAACTTATCTCCAGAGTGGTTTTGTGATTTTTGAGGGTGACAGATGGTCATACATGAAGAGCAGGTATTGGTTTTAATATTCTGTGGATTTCATGTTACAAGTTCCTCGTGGTAAATAAGAGATTATTTCAAAGTAAACTGAATTTACAAAGCTTTTTTTAGGGGTAAAAGAGTACAATTTTCCTATAGCATCTCCCTGAATCCTAAAAGATGAGTAAAAACAGGGGTGGTTCATCATTGCTCTCTTTAAGACAAACGGAGAAAGCGCTAATGTTCTAAAGAACCCTACAGAGGAAGGCAGGTGTCAGAATTTAGGGCTTTAAGAGGCGCTGCCCAGATGGTCTCCCCTTCTCTGACCACTCACCCCTTTCCAGCTCTTCCAGAAACCCTCTGAGCATTTACTACTCAAGTTCATGTTTTACTAAAGGCCTGTGCACTTTTTTGCTCTACTGCTGAGCCTTCAGTAGTCTTTTCCCTGATGGACTTCTTTGAGTAGTATTTGATCAAGTTACTCCAGAAGGACTATTCTGTAGGAATTTAATGGGCAACTATTGTGTGGTCCCAATTAGTTAAAACTTCAATCTTTCTCCAAAGGGTGAACACTTGGAGACAGGGGATCCCTTGCACAGGCTGAAGGAGGGAGCTATTGTTTTGCCATTCTCTCTGAGAGCTTCGGCGGCAAAGTCAGGAAACCTGGGTTTTGGTTCCAGTGGTGTTGACAAATTGGCTGTTACTTTGATTAAGTCACTGGACTTCCATGGGGTGTTGGCTCTATGTACAGAAAACAAGGACATCGGGCCATCAGAGGTGTCCAGCCTTTTGGCTTCCAGTGTGTCTCTGGGTCACACTGGAAGAAGAGTTGTCTTGGGCCACACATTAAATGCACTGCAACACACAGTCATAAAAAAATCTCGTCATGTTTTAAGTAAACTTACAATTTTCTGTTGGGCGCATTCATAGCCATCCTGGGCTGCATGCAGCCTATGGGCTGCAGGTTGGGTAGCCCTGGAGATGACCCCTTCCTAATCCTTCATCCTTTCCTTTCTCTGGTGTCTTCTGATTGGTCACAAGGGCCTACAGAGGAGGAGGCTCCTGGCTTGTGCTACTACTTGACTGCAGCTCCTTGGTGATTGTCCTTGCCCAATCAGAGATCAGTATTTATGGGGTGGGCAGGGTCTGTCTTTGCCTAGGCCTACCATTGGTGGACACGGCCCCAGAAGCCATGGACTATAGAAGCCTGTGCTATATGTTGTGGTTAAGAAGTTTCTGGGGACACAAACTTGGGGTTGCGGAGGGTCCCAGTTCAGAAGAACCATGAAACGAATTTGGACTCCATTCTCACGGTGTGTGGAATAGTATGTAAAGGTGAAATACCCTCCACCTCACTTCTCCTGTTTTGGAGTCAGAGATATTTCCACTCCCCCCAAACACATTGTCTGATTTACTGACCAAAAATGTATGTAAAACAGATTTGCAAAACAATGCATATTTAACAGAAGGAAAAAAAAATCCTTTTCTTCAAGCTCTGCCTTTATCGGCAAAGGCTGCAGTGGATGGTATGCCTGTATTCTCTTTGGAAGACTTCCTTAGAAAAATTCCCAGTGAAATCATGACAATTTGAGCATGAACATTATTTTATCTTTTTGGGAAATGAATAACTAAAGTAATTCCATAACAGCTTTATGTTTTATTTTAAGGAGCACAGTGGACTGCATTTTATACAAGATTTAACCTAAACTCATGGGATTCTGAATCTCTTGGGAAAAGCATTAGACCTCCTAGGTTGGAATGTTGCCATAAAGACAACCTGTGCTGACGGACTGATGGGTAGCCAAGTACCTGAAAGAACGTGCAAGGCTCGGGCCAAATGTGATCATTCAGATAAAACTGGGTGTTTGGGATATGCCTTGGGATGACAAAGGTGTGTGTGGGGTGGGAATTCAGCGACGTGACCCTGTGCCGGAGAGACATTCAGACGGTCAAGTAAGCAGGCCATAAAGGACTGTGATATCAGTCTCTGCAGTTTGTTTGGCATTATTTGCTTCCAGAGCAGTGACAAGAACCGGTGCAAGTTACCGATTTTTGACTCAGAAGCCTCAGTTCCTTCTCTGGGTCTGCTATGTACCATGTAAATGTCCTTGCTACCTAAAGTTTTGTCTGGGGACAACATGGAACTCACTAGAAAGCTCAGACTCCAGAGCCACTGAGTCAGAGTCTGCATTTCCTAAGATTTCCTGGTGGTTCACATGCACAGCAGCGCTGGGGAGATTTGGACTCGATGCACAAAGGTCAATTTCAATATTATATGAACAACTCCCCTGGAAGTTGTTTTGCTGTTAGAGGTGGGAGAAGGAGGGGGGAGCTTTAGAGGGAAGAACTAGAAAGAGACATTTTACAGTTGGAGAAAAGGAAAAAACAGCTCCATTAAGCTTCAAGGTTGCTGATCATCTGTGATCCATTGCCACCAAAGAGTTAAGCTGCAGCAGGGGGAGAAAGAAGGTATTTTGTAAAGTATTGGAGTGACTTTTGGAAATGTTTTCCCTAAGAAGGCTTACGTGATGTTTATGTTTACTTGTGGTTGACCGATGATGCATTGCTCCTTGAAAGAAAAAGCTTTAAAAAAATTTTTTTAACTAAAAGGAAATTAAAAAAGGAGGAGGGTATTTACAATGACTACAACATGTAAAGTACGGTTTAAAGTTGTCCGTATAAAGCAACCACATAACTAACCAGCTGGAGAGGGGAAAATCTAGTCATTCAACTAGTAATTTATGTACACGCTGTTACAGCAGGAATGACGGATGTATTTCTCAAGCCTGTGCAGAGGATTTAATCTGGCCTTGTACAAAAAAGAGGCCACAAGTTTGGGGACATTGGAATGTGCTGCAGGGCAGACTGGGAAAGAGGCAGCTCTGAATTCATTCTACCAGGGACAATGCTGAACGGGGGGGGGGGGGCCTTATCTGAAAAGAGGCAAAGGGATGGTCTGGATGGCTGCCGGCGAGCTCTTTCCAGCTCGGGGACCCGGTGCACGGTCGCAGAAGCTCTGGTCATTGAAAACCAATCATATTGCGGGGAAGTGGATTTAAAGGACAGAATCCAAACAGCGCCTTTTCAGCTTCCTGGCCCCAACGTGAACTCCATCACCGAGCTATGATTTCGTGCCCTGTTCTGTTCTCTCTGTGAGGACATGGACCACGCAACACCAGTTCTAGACAAGGACCCACGGGGGACATTTCTGTTCGAGTTTAGTTCCGCGGGGACTTTCATTTTTTTGTGGGTGAATCTGTAGTGTTCTTCTGTTACGAAATGAAGAACAGTGTTTTCCCACATGTTCGACCACTTCCTCAGCTGCCTCATTTGAGCCAAATTTAGTTTTCCAGTGATTAGCATTTACGCTCTCTCCTTCCTTTAAATGGGCAGAGTTCACGTTCAGTGTTCACTCTCAAAGCACCACAAGTTCTAACGAGGAGGAACACATACGCAAAATAAAATACGTATAAAATACGTATAACGCGAACTAGGGGTTTTTACTTTGTACATGAATCTTATTAAAAAACACAGAAAAATAACCACCCCCTCTATTAAATCTGGCTATCTACTTTCTAAGTATGATTTTTTTTCCTGTTTCTTTATATATGCCACAATGGGTAGAGAAATGTAGCCATAACTACAGGTCAGGCCAAGGGCAAAGTAACTCAACTCCTTCCCTATGGATGCTTTAGTTTTACTCTGTTCAAGGACTTTGAATTTACTGAATATTGTCACAATTTTGAGGATTCCTTAGGGCTCATGTAGGCACGATGGTTGAAACAAAGTCAGGCTTCCTGATGTGCCATTTCAGGGACGTCAGATCATGACACCCTGCCTGCAGCAGCCTCTGGTCCCCTGACTGGCCACTTACCTACAGTCACGCGCTCTGGCACCGGCTCCTGTGTGTGCCTCAGAAATGCAATGCAACACATTGGGACAGAGTTTTCTTTTGAAAACCAAGTATCATCTTCCGTTCACCAAATTTTCTACTGGGGATGTGGGGGGTGGTTTCCCTCGGAGAAGTTAAATCATGGACCAAAGCCACTTGGAAATGACATGGAAGTAAGACGGCTCAAGGAAAACAAGAAATAGCACTTAAAGGAATAGAAAGTGGGGGAGATGGATCAGGAGTGTTTTTCAAGCTTCTGGACCACGACCCACAGTGAGGAAGATAATTGATGTCACAATGCAGTGCTTACAGTGTTCTGATATTTTCTATTTTATTGCACTTCTTAAAATGCCGATGGACACATTTAACTAATTCTGAGATGTTCTACATTGATTTCACCATTCGATAAATTATGAGTCATGGCTTGAAAAACACTGGCTGAGAGGTTACAACTGTAGGGGAACACAGCACTCTGTCGCTTTATGATTAATTAGGCTATTATTTCCCAATGATATTTACCTCTTCCTTTTTGAATGTAGGCTTGTCTTCTTGGGACTTTTCTCTTTGGGGCTGCACTTTAGCCCCCTTTTCTTCTTCCTTTTTATGTGCAAGAGTGGTCAGGTCACTCATCTCAAAGAAGCCCTTTGTAGCTCTTACTAGCGTGAGAAGGTGCTCGGGTCACTGGGCACGTGGCTCAGGCTGACCTCTCTTTTGCTGTGTCGTGCTCACCCAGCCTCCTGGGCCAGTGCTTGTAAACAGCAGCCTCGGGGGCTTGCTTTCCACCCAAAATTTGCTCTCGTGTGCCTGCCCATGCGCTCACTGATACCTACAATGACATGCTCATTGTGCGTGTTTACAGACCTCACATGTGCTTCGGTGCATTTTTGTCCCTGGTTGTCTCAATCGTAGCTGTGTTCATGAGCCCCTTATGACAAGCAGGAGTGAAAGACAGCTTCAGCGCAGTGCAGACACAGTGACAGAGAGTTCTTTCCAGAAGGTGAACATGCAAGCAGATGGTGGTTAAGGACAGTGCTTATAATGCATCCTTGCAGACAGAAAAAACTCATTGGTAGTTTACACGCCCCCCCAGCCCCTATTTCCACCCTTCCTCGGACTATGTCAGTTTACATGTGCCATTCAGATAGTAAAAGAAGCAAAATGTAGGCTTTTAATTGTCAGTCAATTATGAGCCTATGTTGCCCCAGAGGACTGACTTTCTGCAAGTTTACATGAAGCTCAGGTCTACATGGTGCCAATCATGGATCTGACATTTTTTTTCTCTACAGAAGGCCCCAACTGGCTACTCTCCTCCTTTGTTATCAGTTGATCTCGAAAGTTTGATATTTGCCTTCTTATGATGCTATTTGGGAACACGATTCTTTTTTGTCAACTTCCCACCCCCAACGTTTATAAATTTTTTTTAGTTAAATGTCAAACCCATGGGTAAAAGGAAGAGTTAAGATGCTCTTGCCTCATGTAGACCCGTGGAGAGAGGTAAAGGTGTGAAAAGGAAGGAGCGTAGACACAGGTGCAGAATCACAGGTCAGCACAGCACCGCCACCAGTACCACCTTCAAGTTCAAAACAAGCAAGCCCAGAGCAACACATTTCCTCTGGTTGCCTCAGTAAATTTGGTTGATTGGCTATTGAGCCATCAATCAATTGCTTCATGCTCACAGATTGCTAAGGCCCTAAACAATAAAAACAAACGGCCAAATGATCAAGCGTGCGGGCTCAGGAATGTGGCCTCGGCCCCAAATCTGATGTGCATTACATTTCTCACACGTCACGGGCATCACACATTTGGTGCAAAACGTCCACTGTACCTGTTCCGTGTGCACAGCTGTCTGGCGTCTCTCTGCTTGTCCTTTCTTTTCATTGACCCATTTCCCTGCTAGCGTCTCTTCTACCTTTTCCCCTTCCATCTTTTTCTCTTGCGCTTCACTTTTTTTCTCTTCTAGCTGCTTTTTATGATTTTGCTCTTCTATCTTAGCCTTCTTTTCTTCCTCTGCCTTTGCCCTCTGCCTCTCCTCGGCTGCTCGTCGCTCTTCCTCCTTAACCCTTTCCCTCTCCTCCGCCTCCCTTCTTTCTCTCTCTAGAGCAGCTGCTTTTTCTTCTGCCTCCAGTCTTGCTTTCTCCTCTGCTATCTTTTGTTCTTGCTCAGCTTTCACTCTTTCTCTTTCTTCTGCTTCCAGCCTGAGCCTCTCTGCCTGAGCCTTTTCCCTTTCTTCCTCCTCCACCTGTTCATTATGGGAAATCTCATCTGAACCTTGTTCCCTCGCGTCCTCTACTTTAGACTCGTCTGCACCGATCTGCCCATTTTTCAAAGACATTCCCCTTGTTTCTTCTTGGGTTTCTACTGTTTTCTCTTCTACCAACACCTCTACCTGATTTTCTCTGATGCTCCCTTGCTTTGGCTTCTCATCCTCCTCGTCTTTGTCGTTTTTCTTCTTCTCTTCACGATCCTGCCAGTCATTCTTCTGGTAGGACTTGGTGACTATTTCCGTTTCCTCTATCTCGTATCTTTCTCGGCGACTTTCGCTTTTCTCTTCCTTGTCTTCGGTTTCGTTGTCTGCTGTGTCGTTTCGCATTCTTCTGCTGGGCAGCGACAGACTCCCGTCGGTCACTGTCGGGTCGAACTCCTTCTGACGTTCCAGCGCCTCCTGGAGGCGCTTCTGGCGTCTTTCCTCCCGCCGAGCCAGGCGCTCCAGTAACGCGGCCTCCTCATCGCCCTCCACCTGTGTGTTCGTGGTGGTGGCCTTGACCTCCTCGTCCGGCACACTGTAGAGCGGAAACGACAACACAGGAGACAGCGTGCTGCTGGTTAGTCAGTTGGACTCACGTGGTCTGACCTACCCTGGAACTACATCAGAGGCCGGCAGTACCACACGCACACGGGTAGCCCCTGCAGACATTACTGTATTCGTATACGCCTGCCTGGCTCTCGGCTGACAGCAGGAGCAAGTCTGTGCCCTTGGTCCTTCTCTGGCCACTGAAGTCTACCCTCTGTGCTAAAAGTGCTATGAATATCAACCCCCTCTCTGAGCAGCCCTCAGACAAAAATTGATGTGCCCTGGTGCATAAATACCTCTGCTCCCCACACCTTCTGAGTTGGATAACTCCAAGGTGCCTGGGTCGCCCTGGATCTTAGAGTTCCCCAGGGAGTTAAGCTCCCAACCCCCGCAGTGGTCACTCACTTGGTAAGGAAACCTTGATTTGGTTGCCTTCCCTTCCCCATCCCACTTCCCTACACCACCACCAGTGTTTTCCGGGATCATTTTACAAATACACGACTTGGGGTCAAACCTTTCTTTTAGGGTTCGCGTCTTGGTGAACTCAAACTAAGACAAGGACCAAACTGAATTAATAAGTGAATTCCCCTGGTATCACACAGTATTTTCACAAGTCGCCAAGTCACTGAGACTTCGTGAACTGGATTTGCAAGAGCATGAAGCACTTTGAGAGGAAGAAAGTGTATGTCAGAGCGTGGAAATGCTATACTCACACTGATGACCCCCACGGGAGAGACATGTAACTGTCCACCACAACCTATGCTCTTCCTTCCAGAGTCACAGGAAGTGACTGTCAGTCAAGGAGTACGTTTTCTACCCTCCCCTCTTCCTGGTACCTTGGTAGAGCATGTGACCCATAATTTCCAACTGAATGTGAGCAGAAGTGATGTGTCCAGACCAAGGCCAGTAAGAGGCAAAGATGCATGTTCTACCCTCTCTATCTCTGTCTGCCAGCTAGGTCAGAGGACTCCAAAGCCCTGGGAATTGATAAGAGTCACAAAAAAGAAAAAAAGCAGGTGACCAGTTCTACCTACTACTCAGAAGTAACCACAATGGACTGGTAGGTTTTGCTGAACTAAGCTACTAAAATTTGGGGGCTCATTGTTATAGCAGCAAACATTGTCCTAACTAATATACACGCCATCTATATTCTTTGGTAAGAGTTCCATGAATAGAGGGTCTCTTGCCCTTCTTTCTACAGTAGACAAAGGACAGTTAAATTTGATGTTTATTTAAAATGAAAAGAAAATCTCTGAAAAGCACACTGTACCACGTCCACCACGTCACTCACTATTGCAGGATGCTGGACACGGCCTGAGCCAGGGGTGCCGGTCTCGGCGGCAGAAAACAACCAGTCATGTGATGCCAGGAGCTGCAGCCAGAGCTGGGAGAATGTGCTTTGCAATGTTTAGAAACCCCATCAAATTTCATGGTTCATCCTGAACTTGGCCCTTTTGAAGTTCAAGTTTGCTTAATTTTGGAAAAACACATTTCACATTTAATAAGAAATGGTAGAGTGAAGGCTAGATTTTAAACTTTCTTGGCCTTAGCTGTTGCTACAGGGCACTGTCTCCATGAATTAGACATATAAGGATGAAATTTCCCTGAAAATACAAATAGTTTAGAATTCAAGGGGAAAAGTCTACATACGTAGGCATTGGGATAAACTGAATGGCAATACTTTTTAAAAGGTACCCCAAATTCATCTAGCCAGATGAAAGCACTCTTGGGTTAAGAAGCCAGTGGACGCTCCTGACCCTTTCTTTGCCTGTTTTGAAACCCAGACTGTAGAAGTACCAGTTAGGGTTGGTTGTATTTCAGAGGTGAGTCCTATGTTCTCAGATCTTAGCATGCTTTACTGAACAACAGAAAAAGAATTTTGTGTTCAATCAACAGTATCAAGTAACTATTGTTAATAAAATGTGAAAACATACGAGAAACTCAAAGAGAAGCAAGACTCGAAACGCAAAGAAAACTACAGACCAGGAGTAACTTTGGGGCCACTGCTGACCATTCACTAATAACCAGATTCAGGCAAGGCCTCAAATTGCTATTTTTAAGCTCTCCCACCCCCACCCCCTGCCCTTCCTCAGCTCAAAAGTAGACTAGGCAGAGAATGATTACGCAGCCGCCCTCTGTAAGACTTAAGTGCTATCTTCCCAATAGTAGTTCAAATTAGGTGCTTACCCCGGGCAAAGCCCTGTGCACTTTGCATGTCTTATTATTGCATTTGAACTTAACAATGTTCCTAAGAGGAAGGTATAATTTTCATTTCCATTTAACTGAAGAAATGCAGCTAATGAAAGGCCGAGTTCAGATTCAAAGCCAAGCAGTGAACCCCAGAGAACATGCCTACACCCCTTTTTTTATGTTGCTCTGTAATTAGGGGCTACTTACCAAGAGACAAGCTCTATTTCTCCACCCAGCCAATAAGCTTCCTTATTGAATTCACCCTGCCTGCCAGTATTTTGAAGACTGCCTTCAGAAACCTTCTGTGCACCCACACAAATCTGGCCTAAATAGGCCAGAATTTTTTCCGTTCAGAATTTGCTAGACAGATTGAATGAAAGAAACCATCAACAGTGCCCTCCCAACACACATAAAATAAAACAAACTGAAATCACATACAAAATCTTCTATGGTAATGTCATTATATTTAATCAGTACATGGTTATACATTAATATTAACTTTCTCCCCTCCAAAGAGCCCCATCTTTTCTACACCTCGGGGCACATAAATGACATACACTAACCATTAGCAAAATGGACTGTGTGACCTTGTGCATGTGAACATGTAAAAAGCCCTTTTTCAAGAAGGCGAATCTCTTAAGTACCCTCGACTTTCCTGATTTCTACAGGGCAAGCAGAGGAAAAATGTAGAAGTAAATCCATAAGTTTGTTTATATAATTACATTAAACTAAACAGGATTCTGCCCCTTGCTGAATACTGTCGTGATCACAGGATTTCAATCCAGGCTGTATATCATGAAAATCAGACATTTGCAATGCACGCCTACTTTTAAAATTGAAGTATTATCTGCTACCGGTAGGCACAGAGCACTATTAAATTAATAAACCATTAGCTCAAAACAAATAGCAAGAGACTAAACAATGAATGTAAATAGTTCCCTTTATTTAAAGCTATAATCCACTATACTGACTACAAATAAAAAATGACTAGATAATAAAATAAAATCACTCCATCGGGGTTCATTTGGGGAATGAGTTGAGGGGAGAGAGAGGAGGAGTGGTGTTCTAATGTCAAAATCAGTTTGCCTGTTCAATCTGGTCAGTTGCTGAAGTGACCATGGCATGATTAAACAAACTAGACAGACGGAAAACAGTTGAGTTGGGCAGAGAAGGGAATGCTCTGCCCACCACACCCCATTCGACAGACAGGCTGAGTGAGAAGCAACTTAGCAATTCTCCATCCTGAAGAGGGCAGTACCTGTTCTGGGCGTGGGCCTCCACCTGGTCGGTCACCTGCCCCAGTGATTCTTCTTCTTGCTTCTGCCGCAGCCTTTCCTGTCGGGCTCGCCGGCGCCGTTCCCGGGCGGCCTCTTCCTCATCATCGTCATTCCTCTGGTAAGCGATTCTGCAATATCACAAAAAATCACCTCTTGAGCATGTCAACTGCCAACCATGTTCACCAGCTTCTTGGCAGGATCAGCCCTCAGTCCTTTTCTGAACTTGACTCCTTGCTAAACCAGAGTTCTAAAAGGATGGTTCCTTTCATCAAGTTTAGAGCCCCAATCTGTCTAGTTTGCAAAGTGTTATGTATCTGAAAAGCAGTAATCCAGTATCTACAGAAGATAATTTGCAATGGTTCAATAAATAGCTTAACTTTAAAAATGTACACAAAAGCAGGTTGCCTGCAGAGACTAGGTTGGTATAATCAGATTTCTTCACTAAGCTGACGAATAGCATGTAAGATTTAGAAGCAGAAGCCCAGGCCCTGACTGCTGTAGCTCAGTGGATTGAGTGCTGGCCTGCGAATTAAAGGGTTGCTGGTTTGATTCCCAGTCAGGGCACATGCCTGGGTTGTGGGCCAGGTCCCTGTGGGGGGTGCACACGAGAGGCAACCACACATTGATGTTTCTCTCCCTCTCTTCTTCCTTTCACCTCTCTCTAAAAATAAATAAATAAAATCTTTAAAAAAGCAGAAGTCCAAAGCACCAAATTAAAAATAATCAAAATGCTTATTTAAAAGATTCAGCACATGTACTCATTATTTGTGTAGACAGTCACAAGGTCAGAAAAGAATCGAGTTATGTTAAAGAACCAGGACTTTGGCATTAAAAAGCCCAAATCGCTAATTCCAATCGAGACCAGGGTATCCTCTGTGCTTGGATTTTACTTTTTCCTTTTAGTTTACTTTTGCTGGAGAGAAGGTGGCAGCTGACAGGAGGCTTCAAAGTCAGTGCCGCTCCCTGAAGACCCCGCTTTTGTTCTAAGTAGGCCTTTGTTCCTCAGGCCCCATGGGTATGTTTCGGGAGAAAATTAGGGGCAAAGGCAGGTAGAAGAGGCACAGAGGGCTTTGCATGCACTTTATTTAGCTTTCACCATTTCAGCTGAAGCAAATGCCTATTTAGGGAAATTACAGGATCAGTATCACCACATTAGATACGTTTCCCTTGGTACTTATTATTCTCCAATAAAGAACCGGAACTGGGAACTCCAGGTGCCCAGACTCAAGAAGAAATGACCTGCATGGCCCACGCGGATCCTCTGGAAGGAGTGACGCGCATGCAGACACGGTGCCGAGAAGGCACGCTGTGCTGGCCTGGCCTGGGGACCCATGATGGGTCCGTGGGCGGGAGGGAGGCGGGCCCCGCAGGAGGCTGCTCCTCACATTGGAGGGTGAGAGTGCTTTCATTCCAGTATTACTTACACGTCTACCAATGGATACCCGGATATGGAAGTTTCGTGCTCTCAATTCTTATATAACGACACAGCTAAAATAACTTGCAAATGGAAGAAAACAAAACTGTGGAGCCATTTCTACCACCAATATGAACCTAATATGATCGACAGTGGCTTGTTGCTGTTAGATTCCCAAACCAGGCATGTTGAGGCTTCGATTCAGGGCTTTACTTCCCCAATTTCTCTCTTTTGCTTTCCATAACACGACTGTTATAAATTTCTTTCACCTTGGTATCTTATTAAAAACAAGATGAACGATTCCTATGGTCGCCTGGTTTGTTCTTTGCTCCTACGGATAAATATAACTTCATACTTACCAAAAATGATACTCAAATCTCAAAATAAATAAAATCTCACTGACTGGTTTATTTCCACAGATGTGAGAAGGCTGTGTGATACAGTTGAAAGATCACTGGGTTAGTACCCAGAAAACCTGGCTTCTAGAACTGGCCTCTTACTAGCTGGCAGCCCTTGATTAACTGGAGTTAACTGTCCTTAGTCTATGAGGGTGTGACGGTCAAATGGAATCACAGATGTCATGGCAAAGCATTCTACAGTGTAATGTTTTTTTGGTTCTCGGGAAAAGTGCAGTGGAGGAACTGCTTTGTGAGGAAGGAGGAGTTCAATTTCAGACTTGTTGAACTTGAGGCGACAGCAAGACATGATGTGAAATGTTCCCTTCTAATTTAATCACGTTGTAATTTGCAGTCGAAAGACCTTCCCAGTGGTTTGGCTTCAGTCTTCAGATTCTTGGCCTAATATTCCTTTGGCTTATTTCTCAGCAGACAGCTTTAACCACAGCAGGGTCCTTAATGACTGCTTCCCAAGCTAATCAAACACAAACGTCTTAATACGTTCTTCTACATCTCTGGATTGGCCACGAGGCCTTGGCTATGACGGCACCTTCTTTGTCCAAGACAAGCAAAAGACATAAAGGCTCATATGGGACATCCTAGGCTTCACACAGCGCTGCCCCCTTCTGAAATGGAATTCCATGTTTAGCCCCTTCATTTCCCACTGCATTTGAACAGTTTGAGCGGTTACTGTCTTCCTCCCACCCACCAGTGTGCTCTGTGGCTGGCTGTTGTCGGCTTTTGGCTCTGATGCAAACTCGACCTGCCATTGAGGCCAAGTGACACTCAGCCTTTCTTCACCTCGCTCACGTTTCTCATTGGCGAGGTGGCCCGAACAATCGGATCACCCCCACCAGTCTCCTGTGACTCTCGTCACTTTCTAGAGCTTGGCATTCACAGTCAGTCCCTCGCCTTCGATACACAGTTCCCAGAACTAGATGTTTAAGGATCTTTTATTACCACTAATGAACACACATACTCAAATTGTTTTCAAAGTTAAGAACAGCAATAACAACAACAACAACAAAATAAAGAGCCAAAATGGCTTCATGGCATTTCGAATCATCACATGCCCCGTTCCTGGCTCAGTAACTACCAGCTGGCTTTGTAAGTAAAGTTGTGTCCCTACTAAAGGACCTGGTAGGTGTGGACATTCTTCAGATGCAAGATTCGCTACACTGGCCCTCGGTGTGCAGAGCCAGGTGGCTTCTTGCTTTGAAGTCTGTCCCATAGCAGTCTGCCCCATAGCAGTCTGCCCTCCAAGTCACTATCTCAGGTTTAGGTACTTTTTCAAAGCTGAAAAAACATAGTTGTTCATTTTTTTTCTAAAAGTAACATACACTTATCTTCTTAAACCAGACAAGACAAAATGTAAAAAAGAGAAAGCAAAAATTAGCTCCCTAGTCACACCACTCATGGCTAATAATTTGATGTGTCCTACCAGATACCTCTCTATGCATCATAGGTATTTTTCTTTTTAACAAAGTGCGATTATGTTTATATTTATAAACAGTTTTAAAAATGTACCTTATTTATGACTATTTTAACATATTAGCAAAATATAATTTTCAGAGCCATGCAGAATTCTATGTATAGATGTACCCAGTAATTCTATGAATGCACTATGCTCTTTTTAACCCACATTCTACTGATGGACAGTTTCGGTTTTCCCAACTTATGTTTTTATAAACAATGCCGCAAAGGACATCATTGTAGCTGTACCTAGGAAAAATTCTCAGACGTGAGAATGTCTGAGTTTAAGAGTACGCTCACTTTAAAGGTTTCTGATCCGCATGGACCAACTGCCCTCCAGAAAGGTAGGCGACGCCAGCGATGTACGTGAGTGCTTATTTCAACTCAAGCAGGTTTATGCAAAGACAGGCGAGTACAGGGTGTCCTTAACACACTCAAATGCTAGCAACAACCTCTGCTGTGTGCTCCAGTGAAAGACAGCATGTGAACATTGCTAACTTCCCACACACCAGATTAGAACATATTTGAAATGCTGCTGACTAGTAAAATATCATACCTACCCGCCCACTGGACTGTGATAAAAGCATAACAGTCCAGTCGCCGCTTCTGAGAAACTTCAGCAGATGCGGCATGAAGCAGTCTGCTGTGCTCTCTCACTACAAAGGAGACGATGTTCCCGGATGATTCAGAGGCGGTGTGGGGCTTGGACTTCCTCTGAATCATCTGGGAAAGATTAAACCACGTTTATTAGAGTTTTAATCAAATGCCTTTTATTTCATTTTAAAAAAACAGGTGACCACAGATGCTATGTGAAGTACCAGAATCCACGAGCTTCCCGCCCTGCTGGGTGTTAGTGGGTTGACTGCGGGGTGTTCTGCTCCAGGTTTTGGAGGCCACCTTTGCTTATCTCATGGCAGAAACACTTGGAGAAAGGTACGAGGGACCACACAGCAGGGGGCCAGTGCTGCATCCTAGAAACCATGGCATTTTTACGTATTTGCTCTCACTGCAGAGCAAAATGGTTCACCACGTATTCAGGAGGAAGAAAGAGAAATGGGGTGTGTGTGTGTGTGTGTATGACTAAGTGTTAAACCATCTCCAAAGTCCATAATTACCACATGATGTTGTTAGACCGTGTCAGTGGTACGAACAAAGTAGAGAGAGACCTGGCTTTTCTTCCATTCCCAGAACCACAGCTAGAAGGCTCTGGTGTTAAATTAGAAGAAAAAACAGACCCAGGCAACGGGAAAACTCTCCTGGAATGCTGTGGCTTTCACACCGATGACGTTTGCAGTCTCTTACCACCCACGTGCCCCAGACTCAGTATAGTCAAATCACACGATAATCATGTTCGGTGCTGTGCCTTTTTGATGGAAAGGTCTAATCAAGAAAAGTATTGCAGATATGGCAAATAAGCAAATCACTGAGGAATCAGTGTCTTTATGTTTCCACGGGCCAGGATCTAAATGAATGCTAGACGAGAGAAGGAAAAAGTGACAGAAGCTTCCACAGTAAGACATGGAAGCGGCGTGAGTGGTCACCTTGCCTCATGGCCCCCTCATCCCGTCCTAAAGATTTCTGAAGACCCGTGCAACGCTGGCAAAATCTCATCTACAATCTGGGTGATTTTATTTTGTTTTTACCCCTTGTGGCTCATGGTTTGAAGAACGTTGCTCTTATATCCTTTCATTTTGTCTTTTTTTCCATTTTGTTCTTTTCTGTTTTGAGATGATAGTACATGATCCTTGACGTTTTCAAGTAAAAATGCTGGCAATAGTATTTAATTAACAAAACAAGATCTCTTATCAGGAAACTGGACTTAAAAATAAAATAAGAAAAAGTAATA